AAACTGTGTGCGCTCTATGCGGGGGGGCTGGCCTGCGTGCATCGACCCCGGCCCAGTGAGTATACGCGGATATATACACAACACTATGTTATACTAGCCAATATGTCCCAAACTGTGTGCGCTCTATGCGGGGGGGCTGGCCTGCGTGCATCGACCCGGCCCAGTGAGTATACGCGGATATATACACAACACTATGTTATACTAGCCAATATGTCCCAAACTGTGTGCGCTCTATGCGGGGGGGCTGGCCTGCGTGCATCGACCCCGGCCCAGTGAGTATACGCGGATATATACACAACACTATGTTATACTAGCCAATATGTCCCAAACTGTGTGCGCTCTATGCGGGGGGGCTGGCCTGCGTGCATCGACCCCGGCCCAGTGAGTATACGCACATATATACACAACACTATGTTATACTAGCCAATATGTCCCAAACTGTGTGCGCTCTATGCGGGGGGGCTGGCCTGCGTGCATCGACCCCGGCCCAGTGAGTATACGCGGATATATACACAACACTATGTTATACTAGCCAATATGTCCCAAACTGTGTGCGCTCTATGCGGGGGGGCTGGCCTGCGTGCATCGACCCCGGCCCAGTGAGTATACGCGGATATATACACAACACTATGTTATACTAGCCAATATGTCCCAAACTGTGTGCGCTCTATGCGGGGGGGCTGGCCTGCGTGCATCGACCCCGGCCCAGTGAGTATACGCGGATATATACACAACACTATGTATACTAGCCAATATGTCCCAAACTGTGTGCGCTCTATGCGGGGGGGCTGGCCTGCGTGCATCGACCCCGGCCCAGTGAGTATACGCGGATATATACACAACACTATGTTATACTAGCCAATATGTCCCAAACTGTGTGCGCTCTATGCGGGGGGGCTGGCCTGCGTGCATCGACCCCGGCCCAGTGAGTATACGCACATATATACACAACACTATGTTATACTAGCCAATATGTCCCAAACTGTGTGCGCTCTATGCGGGGGGGCTGGCCTGCGTGCATCGACCCCGGCCCAGTGAGTATACGCGGATATATACACAACACTATGTTATACTAGCCAATATGTCCCAAACTGTGTGCGCTCTATGCGGGGGGGCTGGCCTGCGTGCATCGACCCCGGCCCAGTGAGTATACGCGGATATATACACAACACTATGTATACTAGCCAATATGTCCCAAACTGTGTGCGCTCTATGCGGGGGGGCTGGCCTGCGTGCATCGACCCCGGCCCAGTGAGTATACGCACATATATACACAACACTATGTTATACTAGCCAATATGTCCCAAACTGTGTGCGCTCTATGCGGGGGGGGCTGGCCTGCGTGCATCGACCCCGGCCCAGTGAGTATACGCACATATATACACAACACTATGTTATACTAGCCAATATGTCCCAAACTGTGTGCGCTCTATGCGGGGGGGCTGGCCTGCGTGCATCGACCCCGGCCCAGTGAGTATACGCACATATATACACAACACTATGTATACTAGCCAATATGTCCCAAACTGTGTGCGCTCTATGCGGGGGGGCTGGCCTGCGTGCATCGACCCCGGCCCAGTGAGTATACGCGGATATATACACAACACTATGTTATACTAGCCAATATGTCCCAAACTGTGTGCGCTCTATGCGGGGGGGCTGGCCTGCGTGCATCGACCCCGGCCCAGTGAGTATACGCGGATATATACACAACACTATGTTATACTAGCCAATATGTCCCAAACTGTGTGCGCTCTATGCGGGGGGGCTGGCCTGCGTGCATCGACCCCGGCCCAGTGAGTATACGCACATATATACACAACACTATGTATACTAGCCAATATGTCCCAAACTGTGTGCGCTCTATGCGGGGGGGCTGGCCTGCGTGCATCGACCCCGGCCCAGTGAGTATACGCGGATATATACACAACACTATGTTATACTAGCCAATATGTCCCAAACTGTGTGCGCTCTATGCGGGGGGGCTGGCCTGCGTGCATCGACCCCGGCCCAGTGAGTATACGCGGATATATACACAACACTATGTTATACTAGCCAATATGTCCCAAACTGTGTGCGCTCTATGCGGGGGGGCTGGCCTGCGTGCATCGACCCCGGCCCAGTGAGTATACGCGGATATATACACAACACTATGTTATACTAGCCAATATGTCCCAAACTGTGTGCGCTCTATGCGGGGGGGCTGGCCTGCGTGCATCGACCCCGGCCCAGTGAGTATACGCACATATATACACAACACTATGTATACTAGCCAATATGTCCCAAACTGTGTGCGCTCTATGCGGGGGGGCTGGCCTGCGTGCATCGACCCCGGCCCAGTGAGTATACGCGGATATATACACAACACTATGTTATACTAGCCAATATGTCCCAAACTGTGTGCGCTCTATGCGGGGGGGCTGGCCTGCGTGCATCGACCCCGGCCCAGTGAGTATACGCGGATATATACACAACACTATGTTATACTAGCCAATATGTCCCAAACTGTGTGCGCTCTATGCGGGGGGGCTGGCCTGCGTGCATCGACCCCGGCCCAGTGAGTATACGCGGATATATACACAACACTATGTTATACTAGCCAATATGTCCCAAACTGTGTGCGCTCTATGCGGGGGGGCTGGCCTGCGTGCATCGACCCCGGCCCAGTGAGTATACGCGGATATATACACAACACTATGTATACTAGCCAATATGTCCCAAACTGTGTGCGCTCTATGCGGGGGGGCTGGCCTGCGTGCATCGACCCCGGCCCAGTGAGTATACGCACATATATACACAACACTATGTTATACTAGCCAATATGTCCCAAACTGTGTGCGCTCTATGCGGGGGGGCTGGCCTGCGTGCATCGACCCCGGCCCAGTGAGTATACGCGGATATATACACAACACTATGTTATACTAGCCAATATGTCCCAAACTGTGTGCGCTCTATGCGGGGGGGCTGGCCTGCGTGCATCGACCCCGGCCCAGTGAGTATACGCACATATATATATACACAACACTATGTTATACTAGCCAATATGTCCCAAACTGTGTGCGCTCTATGCGGGGGGGCTGGCCTGCGTGCATCGACCCCGGCCCAGTGAGTATACGCACATATATACACAACACTATGTTATACTAGCCAATATGTCCCAAACTGTGTGCGCTCTATGCGGGGGGGCTGGCCTGCGTGCATCGACCCCGGCCCAGTGAGTATACGCGGATATATACACAACACTATGTTATACTAGCCAATATGTCCCAAACTGTGTGCGCTCTATGCGGGGGGGCTGGCCTGCGTGCATCGACCCCGGCCCAGTGAGTATACGCACATATATACACAACACTATGTTATACTAGCCAATATGTCCCAAACTGTGTGCGCTCTATGCGGGGGGGCTGGCCTGCGTGCATCGACCCCGGCCCAGTGAGTATACGCACATATATACACAACACTATGTTATACTAGCCAATATGTCCCAAACTGTGTGCGCTCTATGCGGGGGGGCTGGCCTGCGTGCATCGACCCCGGCCCAGTGAGTATACGCACATATATACACAACACTATGTTATACTAGCCAATATGTCCCAAACTGTGTGCGCTCTATGCGGGGGGGCTGGCCTGCGTGCATCGACCCCGGCCCAGTGAGTATACGCACATATATACACAACACTATGTTATACTAGCCAATATGTCCCAAACTGTGTGCGCTCTATGCGGGGGGGCTGGCCTGCGTGCATCGACCCCGGCCCAGTGAGTATACGCACATATATACACAACACTATGTTATACTAGCCAATATGTCCCAAACTGTGTGCGCTCTATGCGGGGGGGCTGGCCTGCGTGCATCGACCCCGGCCCAGTGAGTATACGCACATATATACACAACACTATGTTATACTAGCCAATATGTCCCAAACTATATACACAACACTAGAGATGGCGTTAATAATTGAAAAAATTAGTTGTCTCTAAACTCTGTTTACGGACGATAGGTTTACGTGATAACCTCATAAAGAAACATCGATAGAATTTGCATAACCGAGGAGCCGGCGAACGGTATAATTACATAAAATTAAAATTTACAGGAGCTGTATAATGATCGTTTTTTTATAGAGGATCGTGCCAGAATCCATATGCATAGTGTAATTTTGTACAGGTTTTAAATGCAGTCTAAAAAAAAGGCCTACAAATTACGCATGCAACACGCACGCAATGCATGAGCATTTGAATGTCTATGTGATTAGGGATTCCCTAGCTGTGGATCATTTTAAAAGTTTGATAAGGAAAGTAATGAATTTATTATTTTATATAAATATAGGGCTTATATGCTAATGTGATATGCGTGTATATAAAGGGTGTTTGCGCGTTATAGCGACAAAGTGTCGGTATAAAGTTAATGAAAATGGACTATAAGGCATGCGGTTCCAAACACGAAATTAGAAGTAGGATGCGGTGCGTGTGGTACAAAGAGGGTTAAAGGTTACCTGGCTCTCAATGCTGTTGGCTGTAATTCAACCTGGCGACCAGCCAGCGGCGTGGGCTAGTGGTCCGTTCCCCTTTTTTTTCTTCGTAAGCACTTGTAATTCTTGCTTATAGTTACACACACAATCGATGCACATAAACAGTAGTTAGTTCCCTTTATATTAATTAGGTAATTAGAACTTAAGCGGTTTGCACGATTTTTCGGCGCGGGAGAGAAAAAATTCGTTGCGGTAGCTAGCTCGGTTCGCGATACAGTGTCTTCGTCTTCGCCGATGATGCTATCCCTTTTTCTTGGTCGCGGCGTAGCGGGCGAGAGCGAGAGGGAAGGATGGGAAGAAAAAGGTGTACCACACGCGAAATAATTAAATTATGAATGTTGAAACAATGGCGCGAACAAAGGGTTTACTGAATCTGAAAAGTTAATCTATCAATGTGACTGACATAGGTGCATGCTAACTGCATTTTGCTACAATTAGTGATAATATTGTCAATATTGTGTTTGTTCTTAGAATGGGAGCACGGTTCAGGCGCGGGGGCGGACTTGGACATCATCGGCGGAGACATGACGAACTGTAAGTTATATTTAACTAAATTGTCTTTTGTATCTTATTGTATTGGTATTAATCTTTTAGGCAAACTTGTAGCATTAGAAATGATGTCATTTTTTTCTTCTTCGTCTAATTCTGTATAGTTGCCCTGATACTCAAAAATCTATCCTTCACTATTTCATACCTTTTCGAAGTAAAATAATGATGAGACTTTTCACCAAACCCACATAATTTAACATGATTCGATTGATATTCAACCCAATAATTATCTAAAGTATCAAGTCTTTGTTTTATGTACGTAGCTGTTTTTCTATCCGAACCATCTTTCTTAAAGTTAGTAAAAACTTGTTCAATAGCACCTGCGAGCTGCTCTTGAGTTTGTAAGAAATCTTCCATGGTAGACATCTTCTCAGTTGATAATATAAGTTGATAAATAAGATATAAAGATACGCCTTACTTGGATAGGATGTCGCCTGATGACCGTGACCCTGATTACTCACGATCCCAGAAGTCCAAGTTGTCCAAGTTGTAGTTGTTAAAATTCTACGATAACTACAGTGTAAATCCACCTCACTTGCGACACAGAGTCACGTTTTCCGAAATCACGTATGCACTGAGTCACTCGCGAGGCCCTTATACGAAGGACCAAAAAGATGTACGGGTTTTGTACACCTTTTATGATATAGAGAGAGAAGAGAAAGTCTTGATATGTTTAAATGATATATTACTGATAACAAACTGATAATTACGAAACTAAAATGATATGACTGTGAGAACGCGTGGTACGAATAATGACCGATGACGAACTGATTCATAATTAACCTAAATAAATGCATGTGGCGTAAAATGCCGACGGGGCAAAATGTACGCGCTTGCTCGTACAAGGTAGATTATCAAAAGTTACATATTTAAATTGAGATTTAGCGAAATTGCTGCAAGTGGATCTGCGTAGTTTATATCCTAAGCTTTGCACTCCCACCAAAATTGTAATATATGTATGTTCACCAAAGCTTAAAACAAAGCACCAAAACTGAATCCACATCACCAAAATATCATCATTATTTATAAATGAAAAGACAAAGAAAAACGTCGTCGTTAAAACTGCAATAATAAATCATAAAATAAACGATTATTTCTAATATTTATAGCAAACGGGACGGGGTGCGGTTGCAGTGTGGCCGCGGCTCGACTTAGCGCGATGCTGGGAGTGTCCTGCGACTCACTGCACCACGACATGAGATATCTACTGGAAGCAGGTAACGGGATGCCGCAAGGGGCTGATACTGGGACCACTGCTGTATTGATTATAGCAAACGGGGAGTGGCCTGCGACTCACTGCACCACGACATGAGATATCTACTGGAAGCAGGTAACGGGATGCCGCAAGGGGCTGATACTGGGACCACTGCTGTATTGATTATAGCAAACGGGGAGTGGCCTGCGACTCACTGCACCACGACATGAGATATCTACTGGAAGCAGGTAACGGGATGCCGCAAGGGGCTGATACTGGGACCACTGCTGTATTGATTATAGCAAACGGGGAGTGTCCTGCGACTCACTGCACCACGACATGAGATATCTACTGGAAGCAGGTAACGGGATGCCGCAAGGGGCTGATACTGGGACCACTGCTGTATTGATTATAGCAAACGGGGAGTGGCCTGCGACTCACTGCACCACGACATGAGATATCTACTGGAAGCAGGTAACGGGATGCCGCAAGGGGCTGATACTGGGACCACTGCTGTATTGATTATAGCAAACGGGGAGTGGCCTGCGACTCACTGCACCACGACATGAGATATCTACTGGAAGCAGGTAACGGGATGCCGCAAGGGGCTGATACTGGGACCACTGCTGTATTGATTATAGCAAACGGGGAGTGGCCTGCGACTCACTGCACCACGACATGAGATATCTACTGGAAGCAGGTAACGGGATGCCGCAAGGGGCTGATACTGGGACCACTGCTGTATTGATTATAGCAAACGGGGAGTGTCCTGCGACTCACTGCACCACGACATGAGATATCTACTGGAAGCAGGTAACGGGATGCCGCAAGGGGCTGATACTGGGACCACTGCTGTATTGATTATAGCAAACGGGGAGTGGCCTGCGACTCACTGCACCACGACATGAGATATCTACTGGAAGCAGGTAACGGGATGCCGCAAGGGGCTGATACTGGGACCACTGCTGTATTGATTATAGCAAACGGGGAGTGGCCTGCGACTCACTGCACCACGACATGAGATATCTACTGGAAGCAGGTAACGGGATGCCGCAAGGGGCTGATACTGGGACCACTGCTGTATTGATTATAGCAAACGGGGAGTGGCCTGCGACTCACTGCACCACGACATGAGATATCTACTGGAAGCAGGTAACGGGATGCCGCAAGGGGCTGATACTGGGACCACTGCTGTATTGATTATAGCAAACGGGGAGTGGCCTGCGACTCACTGCACCACGACATGAGATATCTACTGGAAGCAGGTAACGGGATGCCGCAAGGGGCTGATACTGGGACCACTGCTGTATTGATTATAGCAAACGGGGAGTGGCCTGCGACTCACTGCACCACGACATGAGATATCTACTGGAAGCAGGTAACGGGATGCCGCAAGGGGCTGATACTGGGACCACTGCTGTATTGATTATAGCAAACGGGGAGTGGCCTGCGACTCACTGCACCACGACATGAGATATCTACTGGAAGCAGGTAACGGGATGCCGCAAGGGGCTGATACTGGGACCACTGCTGTATTGATTATAGCAAACGGGGAGTGGCCTGCGACTCACTGCACCACGACATGAGATATCTACTGGAAGCAGGTAACGGGATGCCGCAAGGGGCTGATACTGGGACCACTGCTGTATTGATTATAGCAAACGGGGAGTGTCCTGCGACTCACTGCACCACGACATGAGATATCTACTGGAAGCAGGTAACGGGATGCCGCAAGGGGCTGATACTGGGACCACTGCTGTATTGATTATAGCAAACGGGGAGTGGCCTGCGACTCACTGCACCACGACATGAGATATCTACTGGAAGCAGGTAACGGGATGCCGCAAGGGGCTGATACTGGGACCACTGCTGTATTGATTATAGCAAACGGGGAGTGGCCTGCGACTCACTGCACCACGACATGAGATATCTACTGGAAGCAGGTAACGGGATGCCGCAAGGGGCTGATACTGGGACCACTGCTGTATTGATTATAGCAAACGGGGAGTGTCCTGCGACTCACTGCACCACGACATGAGATATCTACTGGAAGCAGGTAACGGGATGCCGCAAGGGGCTGATACTGGGACCACTGCTGTATTCATTATAGCAAACCCCTCTGAGATCTCTAGTAGTGCGCCATGACGTCAGAGCCGAGTCTGAGATCACACACGTTCCGCGCGAAAATGTGTACTTTTAAACAATACATAACAGTAATTTATTGACGGATTCCAAAATTTTTACAGGGATTTTTTGTTTTGACCTGTATTTTAATAATATAACGTTAAATATAATAATATGAATATCATGAAATTTCCTTATTGTATATTTATGTTGATTCAGGGGAGATGTCTGACTGCCGCCTGTCGTGGGGCGGATACGAGCTGGCCGCACATCGGATAGTTCTAGCAGCCAGGTCCAGATATTTTAGGTGAGATCACAGATAAAAATTAAATGTATATATGTATATTGAAACTATAGTTTTTGACAGCTACAATGCTACATAAATAAATAAAGAAATATTTCCAACATTCCCACCGACAGGTTCCGGGTTCGAACCCCGGTGGGGGCAGATGTTTGTGTGATGAATACGAGCATTTGTACTCCAGTCATGGATGTTTTAATTTGTATTTCTATATAAATTTATATGTATCAGTATATGTATTCTATCCGTTACCCTAGTATCCCATAACACAAGCCTGCAGGGCTAGGCTAAATGGTGTGTGTTAGAAATATTTATTTAAATAAATATACAAAAATTTTGAACACGTGAAATTCCTTCATTACTGGGTACTGGTAAATACTGGGCAGAAATAAATATTCTATACTGAAATTGTTTCGTAAAATAAATATTAGCTGAATAAGAAATAATAATTCAAAAATAACCGAGCTCAGGATCGAATCACCCATCATTTGGTGTCGACCCCATATTTTACCGTTCGGCTATCTGTCTCTTGCAGAAAGTTACAAAATTACGGATACCTTGTGTCAAATACTGTTCAATTTCATCGAGTTTCAAATCACAGCGGTGCTAAAGAAGTTTTCACTTGTTGAATAGTTATTGTATCTCTCAGGAGTGTCATGTGGCGTCGGGGTCGCGGGTCAGGGTCAGGGTCAGGGTCAGGGTCGGGGTCGGGCGTGGTGCGGGTAGATGAGAATGTGCTGCCCCGACGATTTGCCAGAGCTTTGTTACACGCTGCTTACACCGACCATGTGAGTATCCTCGGTCTACAGCGAAAACCCAGTCAATCTGAATTTTGTTTATGGCATAAAAACGACTTTTCGGAAACATTAAACTAAATTTGTTGTATTTTTAAATATTTATACGTTAGATGTTTAAAACTAAAGAAAATTCGACACGGCCATTATAGCCGCGGTAGCATAATGGTCAGTGCATTCGCTCGGATAGTGAAGGGTGCTGGTTCGAGCCCCGTCAGCTGCATTTTCGGCGTGAATTTCTTTTCTAATTTAAATTTTCTTTAGGTTTAAACTAAGTCGATTTACTAGGTTTTCGCTGTACAATAACTATTATGACACACACAAACACACACATATTACGCAAATAGCGTATTTGACATTGACATTTGTTTAAAAAGTTAGCACCTGTATTTAGAATGAATATAGCAGGGGTTTTTACAATTTTTACAGGCTAAAATATTAATAATTTTACCAAAAACTCAGGAAAAGATAACTGTTTTCTTATCTATTGTCACGTCACCGAAAATGCCTGTGATTGGTGGAGACTAAAGTGACGTCATACGCTAGTAAGCTTCCGGTTAAAGTGACATTATATTTTATCGTTCCATGTTTTAATGACATGCTAATGATACGCCATATTGTCTAGATAAAGGTTTTCGCGGCAACTTGAAAATGGAGCTTTTGATTTCGTTTTTTTAATTGGATTACACAACAGAACGATGAATTTCCATCCATTTTATAAGCTCCGTAGATATAAGTAAATAACGTGAGGTCGTTTTCTGAAACCTGTCAAATACCCTATTACCAAACGCATAATAATTATGTTAACACGATGAAACACAAAGACACGTGTATTGAATTTAACAGGCACATCGCGAAAATAAAATGGTAGGTACGCTTCTATCGGTGAATAATGTAAACTCTATCCCACCAAAAACATAAATGTAAAAAGGAGAGCCAAGTTCAATACAAAAATTATGCTTGGTTGTGTAAAAAGAAGGAAAGAGGAGCTCGATGGCGCAACTGGTCAGTGCGTTCGGCTGCGATCGTTGAAGTTAAGCAACTTTCGCAGTGGTCGGTCATTGAATGGGTGACCAAAAATTTACTATCTCTCACTCCTCCGTGCTTCGGAAGGCACGTTAAGCCGTCGGTCCCGGCTGCATCTGCAGTCGTTAGCACCCACCAATCCGCACTGGGCCCGCGTGGTGGGTCATGGCCCAATCTTCCTATTCCATCCATAGGGAAGGCTTGTGCCCCAGCAGTGGAGACATTAATAGGCTGATGATGATGATGATGATGATGATGTGTAAAAAAAGGGAGATCTAAATGAGTGCCAAGTTCAATGCAAAATCCAAATATGTATTTAAAGAACTTTACCTCGATCAAATTAAGCAATTTTTGAAAATGTACTTGGGTCAATCAACTATTCCTTGCTCGATGTTACCCTTTTCCTGTCCCATAAGCATAATACAAAATCTATCAAAAAATATGCGCTAAAGTCATAATTTATGAATTCCTAGAAACATTTACAAACATATAATCAAAGAAATATTGAATTTTGGTTCAAAATAAACAATCTTTTATGGTTGTCCTAAAGACAAATCGGTCATTTCGTGATATCACGGAATGTCCTCCGGAAACAGGTCATCAAAACTATTTCCATTACGAAAAAAAACTCTATCAAACAATTCTCAGTAATTGAAAAAAATCACTTTCAAGTATGTAATCTATTAATAAAACATATTGGTATTTATTAAGGTTAATAAAAATTGCCAAACTATTTTATTTTACTTGTGTCCCCAAAAATGTTTGCTTAGCTAACGTCACCTGGACCACCGCTAATTTAGTATGCGAAAAAAACATAGATGGCGGCTGAGTACGTTAGCAACAAGGCCGTCTCTCTAAGAAGATGTCGCGTCCTACCGCCATTTTTAGTTCAACAAAGGCGTGGCGTCAGTCGGGCGAGTTCCGTAAGTGAAAGTGCGTGTTCTTATTGTCGTTCCAGCGGACAACCGTCAGAATTCCATAAGTACTCAATATTTAACAATTAACTATATTGTACTAGATGTTGTGTCAGCTAGATTTTTTTACTGTGAGAGTAAGAAAAGAGGCAATAAAACGTTATTATTTAATAGGAAGCCAAAAGTTTATAAAACGTCTTACGGACAACCAGTCACTTGGACAACGAAATTGGTGGTCCGTAGGACATTTTGGTTGTCCTTAGGACAAATAATATTATTTTGATAATAAACATCTATAAATTAAATATTTATTCGTGCATTGGTTGTGACTATTGCTTCTACACCAAGAGGTCAGTGGGTTTGAATCCCGCACAGTCACTTTTGTGTTAATGAACATGTATCTGAGTTCATCAGATGTTTAGTACCCATAGTATAGTAAAAGCTTCGGCTTAGTTTGAGACTAGATGCCTCGGTGTGGCTTTGAATGCCATGAGCTGAAAAATTTTTTTGAAAATGGGATTGTCGGAGAAAGAAAAATCGAAACGATACAGAGAGAGGCTTAAAGCGTGCCCATAAAAATTAGCTGAAAGGAAGAGAAAGAACTGAGAAAGCTATCATAAACACAAAAAGTTAATTTCAAGTATGCAGCCTGAGGAGCAAAAGAATGCAGAATTATTTGGAAATTGCGTAAACAGGAGCAGAGGAAATGAATGCAAGTAGTACGAGATGTATTTTTCAATACACCCGCAAGTTCTCCGAATATTTTGGAGGAAAGGTAGGAAAACCTAAAAAAATTGGAGGAATTTGATATACCGCAAGAACAACAAGCAGTCACACCGCCTCCTTCTCCTGCTGTTACGTTGGATCTTGAATTTAAAGAAAGAGGAAGATAAAAACGCAGAGATAGATCTAATTGTAAAGAGAAAATTTGAAACTACGAATTGAAGCAAAGATGTGGAAGAAAAAATACGAAAACTTTAAAAAGAGAGCTAATCGTAAGAAGAAAGAATTAGTTCAGGTGAAGGAGAATTTAAAACCTAAAGAGAATAATCCTAAGGTAGATTGTGAGGTAGTCTATAAATATAATATATTAACTAATGCTATCAAAGAAAAATACAAGAATACTAAAGACAAATGAGCGAAAACTGAGTGGAAGAATATGTTTGATAACATGGATACAGCGCAAAAAAATAAAATCATGAAAGAGAGCTTAGATTTAAAATATCAAGTCAGGGTAAAAACAACAACGCGCCATGGACATACAGAACTCTCAAAAAAAGGAATACCGCTGGTAAAAAAGAAACGAAGATGCAAAAACGGTTTCTTTTTAAGTCTGAAGTTAAGTCTGAAAATCCAGGAATAAAAAGTTCTTATTTCAATTTAACAAAATATAGACCATTCTACGTCGTAAGACCATAAGAATTTGAATATTTTTTTTTACCTTTATTTATATATTTTTTATTATTTAAAAATAAAACACTAAAATATGCTTTTTAAGTCGAAGTATTTCCTTTGGACAACTGTTAATGTCCATTGGGCAACCAAGTTGTCCCCACATTGAAAATCAGTTCTTCTTTGATTTTTTGACTTTAAATTATAATTTTTTTTATGTTTATTGGAAGGATAGAAAGTACAAATTAAACTAAACGGTCCGTGGTATAATGTTGCATTTATTACCATTATTTTCAGTTTTATAGGAAAGTTTCATTACGCAAAAAAGATCCCCTGGACAACGGATCATTAGTAGTAGAATATTAAATAAATTATACGTTATTTTATTTAAACGAATATTAAAATGTAGAGACAATGTTACAATATAATAAAAAAATGGATTTTCTTTAATTATTATTGTTAGTTGAGTTATTTAAAAAATATATAGTGTTAGTGGTCCAAGGGACTGATTTTGCTGAGGTTGGTGGATATTTTTCCTCTAAATTTTTGTAATTTAAGAAAATGTCATTGCCCGTTACCGGACCATAAAAATTATTAAATCATCTATTATATGAAATTTAAAACAGTAACTCTTTACGAAAAAATTTAAAAAAACACTATTTTGGGCAATGTAGCAATAAAAAGTTGATCGACCCACTTATATGTCTGCAATACGAATATACAATAATTTACCGCCTTATCTGCGGTCACTTCCTGAATATAAGTTTGTAAGATCCCCAAAGCAATGGTTAATATATAATGCATTTTATAATCTAAATGAATATTTTAATAATAATGTTTTGTAAAAATGACTATTGCATGCCCGATTAGGGTAACTGTTTATTTCAATTGTGTGCACTAACATCTAGCAGTATCACTAAATGTAACAGTTTTGCAATAAAGAATTATTCTTTTCTATTCTATTCTCAAAAAAGGAACAAAATAACATTATGATCAAGTACTCGTATTAAACTCTGTTTCATTGCTTTAAAAAAAATGATTTATTTCTTTACCATACATCTGGTTACATAAATAAAGGTAGACTCTTTTTTTTAACTGTAAAGACACCTGTACCAAAAAGAACCACTCATCCATAGCATAAGTTACATTATGGTAAGGTCATTCACTATATTATGATTAAATATATAAATATATTATAGCGGGAGTTACACCTCGGAGCTAGTTAAAGTTAAATTTTACTAAGAATTTACCATGACCTGACATGGAAATTTACATTAAAACAAAATTGGATATTTTTTACTTTATTGGATACTTATAACAATCGCTGTTATTTAAAAATGTGAGATTTTAAAGTAGGTTACATTTGACTTGAAATCAAGTGTGTCGTGTAATATTACACTCGGCGCTGGCAAGCCAGTTCTTTTGCTTGAACTTGGCTTGACGCGCTGCCGTGTGTCTAAATAAATATTTCTCTTATTCTCACAAATTAGCGAGCAATTACTTTTCTGCGAGGCTAGGCGTAAAGAAAAGTTCGGTTTAAAAGTGATCCTCTCTATGCAAAGGTTGTCTGGAAGAGATCGCTTTAAGCGATAACGCCGCCCACTGTAACATTTGATTTAAATGGCTCTATATTTATTGGAATGTTTTCGGTGGTGTACAATACAGTGATTTGAATTGTATTAGCCAAGTATTTTGGGCTATTTAAGTGTTGCCTAGCCAATATATCGATCATGAGTACTCACATTACACATTGATACACAAATACACACATTTTTTATGACTGTAGTCTGTATTTATGTCTTTTCAAATAACTGAAACAAAAGATTACTATAACATAAGTTTTTTTTTCAATTATTTGAAAAGATTTGTATGAAATGCTGTTTTTTTTTAATTATTTGAAAAATATTTCTACGAGTTCCTTTTTCTTTGATTATTAGAAAAAATCTACATGTTTTTTTTTTCATTTATTTGAAAATATTTCTGAGATCCTTTTTTTTCAAATATTTGAATAAGATTTTTATGAGATTTTTTTTTTCAATAATTTGATAAAGATTTCTATGAGGTCTATGAGATATTTCTGAATAATTGATCCTTTTGAATGTTGTAAATAACAAGAATGTTTTTCGATTCCTGTTGTCGGATGTTGACTGTCGTGATGTATTCCAGGTGGATTTAAGTCTGATCGGTAGGAATTCTTCATCACCGTCATCGACCACCACGAGCAGCAGTGGGTCGGTGAGTCATTCATGCATTACTTATGCTATTAGTAATTAACTAGCAAACCAGTGAACCAAATGTTCACCAAAACTTGGTTTAAAAAAAGATGTATTTAATTAATTGAGAACTTCGGAGATTTTGTGTGGTTTCGTTTGAAATTCGTGATTTCTCGAAAACCGGAAGTGCTACGTTACTCAAATCCGGTTTGTAGTCTTATCAGACTATTCTTAACTTGTAACTTAAATATTCTCTTTATCTATCTCTTACGGTTTGGCCGCTGAAACAGCACCACGGACGGACGGACGGACTTGTCTAATAGATAAGAGATATTTTTTTAAACAAAAAACACATAAATATTGGATCAATTAAATAAGGCATGACGAGCTCGATGGCGTGGGTTGTTAGCGCGTTCGGCTGTGATCGTTGAAGTTAAGCAACTTTCGCAGTGGTCGGTCATTGGATGGGTGACCAAAAATCTTCTTTATCGAGTTCCTCCGTGCTTCGGAAGGCACGTTAAGTCATTGGTCCCGGCTGCATCTGCAGTCGTCAGCACCCGCCAATCCGCACTGGGCCCGCGTGGTGGGTCATGGCTAGGGTTGCCAACCCTACTGTATAATATGGTATCCTACTATATTAGGAGATCAAATACTATATGAAAAAAAAATAGTAGGCGAAACAACTATATTTAGCTTAAAGCAGAGTTTTGCCAGTAAACGCTATCTTAAATTCAATTATTACGGTATAGAGCAGAATAAATATAATCATTTCAAAAATACTGTGTTTTGATTTTATTTATTTTTTAAGCATTTAACTGCTAGATGTTTGAATCTAAAGAAAAGTTTACTAGAAAAAATTCGGAAAAAAGACGGGACTCGAAAGGAAAGTATTCATTTGACATTGCGGGTTACCTACAATGCGAAGAGATGGCGCTGCCTTGCAGCTTAAGGCTAGGAAAATTTCGACGCGGCTAATAGGGCCGTGGTAGCATAATGGTCAGTGCATTCGCCCGGATAGCGAAGGATGCGGGTTCGAGTCCCGTCCGCTGCCTGGTCCCCGTGGATTTTTTTCTAGTAAATACTGTGTTTTTTTCCTTTTTTTTTTGCCATCTACTATATTTTTACAGGTAACAGCTTCGAAAATACTAAATAATAATATTAATTATAATTCATTTATTTCAAACACAAAGATCATAGCATGCCAATGACAAAATAATAATAAATAGTAATAATTATGATACATAAAAACAAATTACATCTCAACATACAATAGGGTATTTGACAAGTTTTAGAAAACGATTTAACGTTATTGACTAATGTTTATGGAGTCCGTAAAAAGATATTCATCATTCTGTTGTGTATTTCAGTAAAAGTAACCAAATTAAAAACTCCATTTTCAAGTTGCCGCGAAAACGTTTCTCTGGACAGTATGGCGTCTTACTAGCGTGTGACGTCACACGACTGTTATTAAAACGTCAAACGATACAATGTAATGTCGCATTAACCGGAAGTTTACTTGCGTGTGACGTCATTTTAGGCCCCGCCAATCCCAACCGTTTTGGGTCACGTGATAATAGATAAGGAAACTATTATCTGTTTCGTGGGTTTTTAGTAAAATTATGCATATTTCTTTTGACGTGACAACGTCTTAAATTAGGTTGCGGCTGGGAGTCACTTATGAAAAAGTGTAACGCTCGGTAACGTTACGATGAGTCACCGAACGAGAGAGAGGCCCGCTTACATGTACAATGTTTTAGTAAACAAAATATATTTCTATAGTTAAAATTTGTGCAATTCTTATTTTCATTCAATTCCTTGTTCCTATTGTGCAATTTAATTATATTCATATCAATAAATATTCTACCGAGAAAAAGACGTTGTCACGTAAAATCTTCGCCCGTAAAACCGACTTTACAGGCAACCATTTTTCACTTATAATATTTTTTTTTGGAAAAATATTAAAAATCCTTGCCAGTGTTCATTCTAAACACAGATGCTAACAATTGGCACTTTATTTTTTTATACTGTCAAATACCCTATCTCTTATCTATTAGACAAGTCCGTCCGTCCGTCCGTCTGTCTGTGGTGCTGTTTCAGCGGCCAAACCGTAAGAGATAGATAAAGAGAATATTTAAGTTATAAGTTAAGAATAGTCTGATAAGACTACAAACCGGATTTGAGTAACGTAGCACTTCCGGTTTTCGAGAAATCACGAATTCCAAACGAAACCACACAAAATCTCCGAAGTTCTCAATTAATTAAATACATTTGTTTTTTTAAATCAGGTTTTGGTGAACATTTGGTTGACTGGTTTGCTAGTTTTGTATATAACCCCCCCCCCCCCCCCCCCCCCCCAGGCGTGGAGCGCGGGCCGGGGGCGGGCCACGTCGACGGCGGCGCTGGACGACGCCTTCCAGCTCTACGAGATCGCCAGGTATCACGCACAATCACATGTATTAGATTAGTTTCCAGAAGTTAAACCACAATGTTAATTTTCCACTTGCTTTATTCAACTTGTACTTCACTGTAATATAAACTAAAATTATTATAACAAGAATATTTAGCAGCAACACCACGTTAAATTTTGGACCAGTATTCACGACGAAGGCTCTCGACTGAATACCGTATTTATGACCGCTCCACTCGCTAGTTCGTCCCCCCTTCACGTCACTTGATAAGATGGTGGGGAGGTAAGGTGATGTGGCGTGATTTAGCATAGACAAACCAAGATATAAACAATAACTGTACTATTGACCGATCTGTAAAAAATGCTAATATTATAAAAATGCTAACACATGCTACACATCACAAATCAGGAATCAATATATCTTTATTCATATTGGATGTATAGTAAAACTCATCGTTAATCTATGAAAAAGGTATTTCTTTTTCATTTCGCTTTCAAGTTCAAACTCAAATGCTTTATTGTAAAATGTAGGTTAGTACAGCAAATTGGTGTTAGGATAAATGTTTAGTGTCACTACATTTCGACCTTATTACAAGGTATACAATTTTTTTTATGAAATAATTAGGTTTACAATTATATAAAAATCCATATTAATAAATTACAATAGGGATGATGACTAATTTTTTTTTCTTTGGTTATCAGGTAGATTATCAAAAAGTATTGGACACGTATTTTTTCTTTTTTTACATAATATAAACATTGCAGTGATATATTGATTTGAAAAGTCGCATGACGTCACGTTTGAGTACACTTTTAAGCGAATATTCACTAAAAAGTGACGTCACGAGCCCCTACTCCCAAACTTTGACGCGCTATAACTTTGTCATTTTTTGGTTGATTGCCCAAAGAAAAAATACGTGTCCATTATTTTTTGATCATCTAACTGACGGACTAAATGGAATTTCGTTTATTGTACCCCGTCATCACGCCTATTACAATAAAACAAGTCATAGTTAGAATTAAATGTCAAAATTACTAAGCAATATGTCAAACTATAATAATAATAAATTGTGCTATAAAAATGGTTGCCTGTAAAGTCGGTTTTACGGGCGAAGATTTTACGTGACAACGTCTTTTTCTCGGTAGAATATTTATTGATATGAATATAATTAAATTGCACAATAGGAACAAGGAATTGAATGAAAATAAGAATTGCACAAATTTTAACTATAGAAATATATTTTGTTTACTAAAACATTGTACATGTAAACTTAAACTTAACACGAGAGACTCATCGTAACGTTACCGAGCGTTACACTTTTTCATAAGTGACTCCCAGCCGCAACCTAATTTAAGACGTTGTCACGTCAATAGACTAAAATATAAGTTGATTACGTAATTATGTCTATTTCTTTCAATTAAGTGTCACTAAGGAGCTTTATTGTTTTTATTTGAAAATATTGTCAAGTAGTAACGAATTTATTAATTTGACACCGCCAGAAGTCGAAAAAGGCTACGCTAAGCCTCTTGCCCGAAAAATCCACGGATACATACTTACCGTCAAGCGTATCAAAATTTCATCTTATGGAAAACAAACAAAGGTGCAAATTCATTTTCGGAAAGTACGTACGTACGTAGTATTATTTCCTCGCAAATGTGTTGACAACACATCGCTTTGGTCGCTAAAGCGACCAACTTCATGCTGTTAATTTTTGTGTTGCAGTGATGCGCGCGCATCTTAAAATTTCACTCTCATCATTTTTTCATAACGCGCCTAAAGAAGTATAACTTCAATAATATGTGCGGTTTTATAATTAAAGCCTCTGCCTTCTTATAGCCCTATCGCCTCAGCTGTAATTCTCAACTTACCGCACTTATATCAAAATGTACTATTACAGTATTGTTACCATGTACTTTGTTTTTAGCGAGTTTTCGGCACTGTTGCAAGCGCCATGATCACGGAGTAACTGAAGTTACATATAAAGTAACAATCCTGTAAATGACATAAATTCCTACTATACAAGTGACCATGAAAGTTTAAAACAATACCTAATTATATTTGTGTTCCAGGTTCCTAGAGATGCCTATAGTGGTGCAAGGCTGCGAAGACGCCATAGTGGAGGCGCTCTCCCCCGACACTTTGCCCCACGTGCTGCGATGGGCCACGGCGCCCCACGCCAGCCAGTGGGTCCATAGGTGGGTGCCGTGCTTGTACAATGTTGTTTACTTGTAAAAATTTTAAATTTAATTAAAACTTGTATTTTATTTGTCTACTAATAGTCAACTATAGGCCGAGCTTTGATAATTATTGTATCTTCTATCAAAATAGATTCATACTTGATTTTAGTATGCGAAAGTGTGTCTTTCTGTCTGTTTCTTAAACTGTTGAATCGAATTAGATGCTATTTGGTATACAGATACTTTGACATCTGGGAAAAGACATAGGATAGGTTTTATCCTAAAAATTATCCTTTAAAGAGATTAAAAGGGGGTGAATGGTTTTATCGGAATTAAATCATAAATTCGTTTGTTTTGGTCATGTCATCATCACCCTATTAATGTCCCCACTCCTGGGGCACAGGCTTTCCCTTTGGTTGGAATAGGGAGTTTCGGCCATGACCCACCACGTGGGCCCAGTGCGGATAGGCGAGTGCTAACGACTGCAGATGCAGCCGGGACCAACGGGTTAACGTGCCTTCCGAAGCACGGAGGAGTGAGAGATAGTAAATTGTTGGTCACCCATCCAATGACGGACCACTGCGAAAGTTGCTTGAAAAATCGCAGCTAATCACTTGTGTCATCGAGCTCCTCATTCATGTTTGAAAAGAAATCCTCAAAGTTTTCTTTTATTTAAATTTTATTTTGTTAAATGTGGATATTGGTTACACCATTACGTTAATACTTTTGATCGGATTTGGATGAAATTTTACACAACAAAACTATATTCCTTGGATGCAGACATAACATACTTTTTATCCCGGAAAAAGAGTTAGGGACATACGAGATTTTCTGAAAAAATAAATTATTTCGGAAGATCGAAGGTGGACGTTACTGTAAAGAACATGGGATTGATTTTATCCTAAAATCTTCTTTTCATGCAATGGGGGTGAAAGTCTTGTATAGGAAACCAATCTTTTCGCGTAAACAAAGTCGTGAACGCCAACTAGTATAATGTATTTAAATCTACCATTCCCTTACTTTCCTTATGTATTTAAAATGAAAGTTTGTATGTCTGCTTCTCGATTATACTCGATTAAAAATTCCTGTACTTCATTATTGAAAAATATTATGTATTCTTGAATATCTAATGGGTCCCGACTGTTAAAGTAGCTTCGTTCCTCATTAACAGAATTATAGACTACTGGACTTGTTTTTTTCTTTTCAGTTTTTATTTGAAGTTAATTAAGCAGTCGGGTTTTTTGATTTTTTAAATTGACCTTTTTTATTTCACACTTTTTATTAGTACTCGTCACGTCCGTTACGGCGCGGGCGTCGTTGTTCGAGTTTCCATTTTGATCGACAATAGTATTTCGCTCTGCCTGGTCCGCGTGAATTTTTTTCTAGTAATATTTTGTTTAGATAGAAACGTTTATTTATTTGCACAGACAAGCGATGCGGTATCTTCGCGACGAGTGGTCCAGCATCATGTCCTGGTCGGGGGGCTCCCGGGTCCCGCGCTCGGCGCTCGCCGCCGTGCTGGAGTCTCCCTTCCTGCAGGCCAGCGAGCCGCACGTGCTGCGCGCGCTGCTCAAGTGGGGGGAGAGGGCTCCCCCCCACGCCGCGCACGCGGGTGAGGCGGGGGGGGTGATGCTCCTGCAGGCCAGCGAGCCGCACGTGCTGCGCGCGCTGCTCAAGTGGGGGGAGAGGGCTCCCCCCCACGCCGCGCACGCGGGTGAGGCGGGGGGGGGTGATGCTCCTGCAGGCCAGCGAGCCGCACGTGCTGCGCGCGCTGCTCAAGTGGGGGGAGAGGGCTCCCCCCCACGCCGCGCACGCGGGTGAGGCGGGGGGGGGTGATGCTCCTGCAGGCCAGCGAGCCGCACGTGCTGCGCGCGCTGCTCAAGTGGGGGGAGAGGGCTCCCCCCCACGCCGCGCACGCGGGTGAGGCGGGGGGGGTGATGCTCCTGCAGGCCAGCGAGCCGCACGTGCTGCGCGCGCTGCTCAAGTGGGGGGAGAGGGCTCCCCCCCACGCCGCGCACGCGGGTGAGGCGGGGGGGGTGATGCTCCTGCAGGCCAGCGAGCCGCACGTGCTGCGCGCGCTGCTCAAGTGGGGGGAGAGGGCTCCCCCCCACGCCGCGCACGCGGGTGAGGCGGGGGGGGTGATGCTCCTGCAGGCCAGCGAGCCGCACGTGCTGCGCGCGCTGCTCAAGTGGGGGGAGAGGGCTCCCCCCCACGCCGCGCACGCGGGTGAGGCGGGGGGGGTGATGCTCCTGCAGGCCAGCGAGCCGCACGTGCTGCGCGCGCTGCTCAAGTGGGGGGAGAGGGCTCCCCCCCACGCCGCGCACGCGGGTGAGGCGGGGGGGGTGATGCTCCTGCAGGCCAGCGAGCCGCACGTGCTGCGCGCGCTGCTCAAGTGGGGGGAGAGGGCTCCCCCCCACGCCGCGCACGCGGGTGAGGCGGGGGGGGTGATGCTCCTGCAGGCCAGCGAGCCGCACGTGCTGCGCGCGCTGCTCAAGTGGGGGGAGAGGGCTCCCCCCCACGCCGCGCACGCGGGTGAGGCGGGGGGGGTGATGCTCCTGCAGGCCAGCGAGCCGCACGTGCTGCGCGCGCTGCTCGAGTGGGGGGAGAGGGCTCCCCCCCACGCCGCAGAAATACTAGAGAAAAGTCGACACCGCCATCAGAGCCTCGGTAGCATAATGGTCAGCGCATCCGCCCGGTTAGCGAAGAGTGCGGGTTCGAGTACCGCCTGCTGCGCGTAAAATTTTTCGTAGCAAAAATACTTTATGTGTCAATTCTCGCATGATTCTTTAAACAAACTTAAAACTTAATTCGACATCAGTCTCTCCTTTTCATTTTGTATAGAGAATGACAAGGATACACTGTTGTCAAATAAGTACCTAATTTTAAATATAATAATTTCCAGCGGAACCCAACGTAGTATGGCATACGGCGCACTCCGTGTCTCGACGCGGCCGCAGGAGATCCGTGCTACGATCGTGCGCCCTGAGGGATACCCTCGCTACCCTGCTGCCTCTGGTCAGGGTAGAACATCTACCTCTGGATCACGAGCCTTTGTTGCAGGTAATACCTTAATCATAGGCGATGAGATGATGATCTATGGTGTCTTTCGTCCATTTCGAAAGGACACCCGGCATTTTGTGCCAAAGCTGTATACTTTTTTAATTTTTTCATCTGTGTTTCATAATTGGGTAACGTAGTCTGGCAATATTTGTCATGAGCAGCTAGCTGTCAAAGTCAAATACGTAGGTTTGTCAATATAACCTCTATATGTAGCCGGGTCGTCAAGAGAAATAACGGATAAAAAGGCAATCACAGCAGAGAACATTCACAATCACAGTACGCGGGAGTGGATGCGAAATGCGAATGACTTTTTTGTTTGTATTTTACGATTGTCAAATTGACACTTGGTTTTTTATTTAGAAAAAGCAAAGGAATTATGGTTTTTACAGTCACTAGAGTAATATTTTGAAGTAAAATTCTGTTCCTTGAAGATTTAAGGTTTCCATATCAAAAAATATTAATCATTATATAACTTCTTTTCACGATTCACTAAAAATAAGGCGAAAGTAGTTTTATGTAGCAAATAATTTTGGCTTTATTTTGAGACCAAATTCAACTCTATACAAGTTTAGCATTTTTTCTATGAAAAGTGCCAGGTCTCCGTTACTACGCTAATAGAAGGATCTGGATAGGAGGCATAGAATATTGTATATTTTTATGTTCTTTGAAGGAAATAAAGCGACTTCCCCAATAAATAAGTACAGTGGAACGCCGATTATCCGAACGCTGATTAACCAAATCGCCAATAGGGTATTTGACAAGTTTTAGAAAACGATCTCACGTCATTGACTAATGTTTATGGAGTCCGTAAAAAGTGGATATTCATCATTCTGTTGTGTATTTCAGTAAAAATAACCAAATCAAAAACTCCATTTTCAAGTTGCCGCGAAAACGTTTTTCTTATCAATATGGCGTCTTACTAGCGTGTGACGTCACACGACTGTAATAAGAACGTCAAACGATACAATGTAATGTCACTTTAACCGGAAGTTTACTTGCGTGTGACGTCATTTTAGGCTCCATCAATCCAAAGCGTTTTGGGTCACGTGACAATAGACAAGAAAACTATTATCTGTATCGTGGATTTTTAGTAAAATTATGAATATTTTTTCTGTAAAAATAGTAAAAACTCCGGCCAATATTCATTCTAAATACAGATGCTAACAATTGGCATTTTATTTTTAATACTGTCAAATACCCTATTTAGTCAGGTGGAATATGCGCCTAAGAACAGATACTTAAATCCCAGGAAAGTGTTCGCTTCCAAAAGCATTTTCTGAAAACTCAAGTTAACGCGGACGAAGCCACGAGCGGTGGCTATTAGATTATATTTAATTACGTTAATATAAGTGATATTGAGTATATTTTGGTCAACAGTTGGTCCGTCGCGGGGTGATGCCGGCGCCGGTGATGCCCGACGAGGCCAGTGTAGCCGACGCCTGGCTGGGGAGGGGCTCCTATAGACCCGCCAGGTGCTTCCTGCCATATCTGGACGAGCTGAAGGTGACACATACACTCATATAGCTGGGGAGGGGCTCCTATAGACCCGCCAGGTGCTTCCTGCCATATCTGGACGAGCTGAAGGTGACACATACACTCATATAGCTGGGGAGGGGCTCCTATAGACCCGCCAGGTGCTTCCTGCCATATCTGGACGAGCTGAAGGTGACACATACACTCATATAGCTGGGGAGGGGCTCCTATAGACCCGCCAGGTGCTTCCTGCCATATCTGGACGAGCTGAAGGTGACACATACACTCATATAGATATACTAGTGGCCCGCCCTCGCTTCGCTTCGGTGTAGAGCTGAAGTGCAGACTACAGCTTTTGTTCTCAGGTTTGTATTATACACAATGACATGCATCTATGATTCTTCTTATACCTGCATGCAAAGTCTCAACCCTATCGGTTTAAAATTGACAAAGATTCATATAAACTTTCATTCCCTATTTTATGCCCTTGGGGGTAGAATTGATCAAAATCCTTTCTTAGCGGATGCCTACGTCATAACATCTACCTGCATGACAAATTTCAGCCCGATCCAACCAGTGCCAGCTAGATATATTAAACATCCATGACTGGAGTACAAATGCTACGAGCTTTTGTTCATAACACAAACATCTGCCCCCACCGGGATTCGAACCCGGGACCTCTCGAGTCGGCGACACCATGAAACCCGGCGTACAAACCACTCGGCCACGGAAGTCGTCAAACTTAAATTTGTCAAGAGTGTATCCCTGTCATTTTCCTTACACAATGAAAAGGAAAGACTGATGTTAAATCTAGTTTTAAGTTTACAGAATCAACACAAGTGTTAGTAAATACTCTGAGGTTAACACTATCTATAGAGGTTATTGAAACTGCCTTACTATAAATGTAAGAGCTTCAATAATTCTATCAAAACTTTTTTTAGATTTAAACATCTAGCAGTAAAATGCTTAAAATAAAATAAAAACATAACTATAATTGCTATTTCTTCTTTCAAATGTTTAATACTTGAAAAAGTATTCATTTGACATTGTGGGTTACCTGCAATGCGAAGAGATGGCGGCGCCTTGCAGCTTAAGGCTAGGAAAATTTCGACGCGGCCATTAGGGCCGCTGTAGCATAATGGTCTGTGCATTCACCCGGATTGCGAAGGGTGCGGGTTCGAGTCCCGTCCGCTGCCTGGTTCGCGTGGATTTTTGAAGTTATACTTCTTTAGGCGCGTTATGAAAAAATGATGAGAGTGAAATTTTAAGATGCGCGCGCATCACTGTAACACAAAAAATTAACAGCATGAAGTTGATCGCTTTAGCGACCATCTTCATGCTGTTACTTTTGTGTTTACCGCACATTAAGAAAATCTACCAACAAAATAGAAATAGAATCTCTATTTAGTGGGTGCTAACCACGGAGGAAAAACAAAGAGGAGGTGTGGTAATTAAATTTCCTCAAGAAACGACGCGTGATAATTTGCGGGATGCGGGGTGTTCAGCTCCGCCCACTTCTCAATATTTCATCTATCGGCTAATAGCAAAACTACTAGCTTAGGTTGATATTTATGTTACTACGTAGTAGTTCAGCTATCTAACACTAGATGTCAAAAGTTTTGTAAATGGGACGTACTCAGAACTTGAAGCTTCAAAAAAATGAAATATGTTGGTAAATAATTTGACCGATTTTAAAAATTTTAAGGTATAATTTTTATAATTTTAAAACATGTAACTGCTTGATGAAAAAAAATCCACTCGACTCGAACGCGCACCCGCTCCCGTCTGCTGCCTGGTCCGCGTGGAATTTTTTGTAGTTATATTTTCTTTAAATTTAAATTTTAAGGTAGTTTAAAAATAATAGACAAAATGTTATTAAAAACAATTTTATTAAAAAACATCAATTACATGTAAAAATAATAGTTTTGGTTAATTGTTTTTCATACCTTTAGAAGATATTTCCATTTTAAATGAATCTTCTGTGCAAAAAATTAATATTACATCAGAACTTATCGCATTTTAAATAAAATGAGTTTCGAGTCTTCGGATAGCACGGATGTCGAGCCTATGCCTGACGATATGTTATTGGAATTTGATGAACAATTAAATACAACTATAGGTGACTCAAAGAATTATATGCTGATAACTACGACGATAGTGACCTTGATTTGATAAAAACTAAAAATAAGGGTGATCTTACTTTCCCATCTAGAGATGCCATAAAAATATGTATACGGGCCGAATGCAGTATTCGTTGTGTTAAATAGCAATCTTTGAATACTCCTAACTTTCGTAAACATAAAATTGTATCGAATACATTAAAATCACTTATTGGACAAGATTGTTTCAAAAAATCGGCCAACCATGTGTTTGACCAATCACCTACAGTTAATCATGTTGTACTTCTGATGAAATCGATCGCAGAAAAATATATTGATATTCGTTTTAAGCATTTTGCCACAATACAAAACGATAGGGCAACCAACCGACAACAATTAACCAAAACTATTATTTTTACAGGTAATTAAACCGGCTAGTTGACCCTTTTTGGAAAAAGGTTTTAAATGGTTAATAAATGTTCTATTAGACCGAAAAAATGTATTGTATTTTATTTAAACCTAGAAAGCTACAAATCTTTAATTTTAAAATAGACTTTTCATGGACATACAAAAACGCTGTCGGCCATTATAGTCTATAGATTATCTATGCTATGACGTGAACTGTGGTAAACAAAAACTCGTAAACACGTAGAAAATTACTTAAAACTGAGTTTATAATAAAAAAAAACATGATTTCTAATAAATACCACGAAAAATAAAGTAATTATCATTACTGTATTGTACGAGAATATAAAAACACATCCTTGAAGACTCCAGGAAAGTTGTGGATTAAAGTACCGAAAGAAATTAACCTACGCAACTTTATTACACTTATTCATATGTTGTATCAGTTTTATGTTTATTACTACATTGTAATACTAAATGCACTGTACTTACATAGATGCCTTGTCGTTTCTCGATAAGATAAGTAGGTACTATAGAGTTCTACCCAGAAGGGATAGAACCTAGGGGCGTAGACGATAATTGAAAAAATACTGATAGAGATAAATTATTTATTTTATTTTATCATTCAGGCGATTATAAAGAATTTTATCTAAATACGAGAGGAAGTTCTTGGTGCCTGAAGATCTAATCTAGAATAGAACCTTCAGACGATTCCTTATTTCAAATCTTAAAATCATGACATTAACTTTTTAATATAACTGCCAACCGTAGGCATTGCAAAAGCAAAGAGTTTACCTAAACAAGGAGGCTGCAACGTTAAGGACGTTACATCCCTCCGGCACCTCTAAAAAAAAAATTGTTTTGTCATACCAGATGACCGAACAAAATTTTTTTTTCCTACCTACTACATCGAGAGGGTTCGACGGTCCTAACTAAAATCCCTACCTGCTTAAGGACATACATACAACTGGGAGGTGGCCTTTACTACAGACTAGCCCTCACAATAAGTTTGCAAAACTTGCAAAAAAAAAACTTTACGGGAAAAGAACCCTAACTGTTTGCAAAGTTTTATTGCAAAGACTTTACGGGAGCAAAACCTTAACAAAATCCCTCGCACATCTCCCTCCTAACCTTAACTTTACTTTACTTTACATCGACATCAGTCGGCAAAAACAAAAAAACAAAGCTAACCCTAGCTATAACTTAAATTACCCAAGCAATTTTTATTTTATCCCATCTATCAGCAAAACTTTACCCTATCCCATTTATTAAACCATTAAATATCAAGAAAATTTATATTTTGAAACTTCATTACTTCCCATACTAAGTAGATGTACGAAACGAAATTCAAACTATTTCCTAAGATTCGTAAACATTAACTGGATTTGAGCAAAACCTAAAAGAATTTATAATTAATGTTTACTTTCGTACATCTTTAATAAAGATACAGACGTGGTCCACCACTTTATTGTCTTGTACTTTATTAGACACCCATGATGCGCAAACGTAATAGAAATTTTGGGTAAGGACATCTAGCATCAAACAAGATTAAACCCAATTCCCATGGAATACTAAGGGTTCCCTACCCCCAAGTCAAACTACTACAAGTGACGATTTTGACGAACGCGACGCGACCAAATTGAAACGAAAACGACGCGAATTCGTAGAGGGTGTCTCCATCATCTTCAGGGTGGATCATCGTCAGTATCGCTGACGTCTGCATGAGCGCCAGCCTGCTCTCTCTCGGGAAGTCCGCATCATGTGGTAGTACATAAAACAATCAAGAAAATATTAGTAAAATCCTTTACACCATTTTTCTTCAGTCGGGTAAGTTAATATTCAAGAAAACATTTATGATAAATCTTTATAGCCTCTTTTCCATAGTTGGGTAAATTTTCAAAGTATAACATTATTATTCATTTATTTATTTTTTTTAACCTTACAGGGAATCGAACCCGTTTCCTTTTTTATAATAAGGGAATTTTCTTTATGGACCTATATTATCCTATTATACATTATTAACTATATATATTCTATCCTAATACTGAATTAATCCTATCTATGATCATATTCAAAGTCAATTGAATAATTCCAAGTTGAACAGAGAATCGAACCTGTTACCTATCATTCTTATGGTTATTACCATATCAATAATCCATCTACTCAACAAATTACACTAAAGCTAACAATTAAAAGAAATGAAAATACTTTAATGAAACTAACTATTAATCTGTCATAAACAAAATGTGTAAAAGTTCCTTATAATATGTATATTAAAAAAAATTTCTAATATAATGACAAAGTTATATTTAATATGCTTTTGAAACAAAATTCCAAAATGACTATTGTATTGAACCTTATTTACATACCACCACTGCTTTAAAACACTCATATAAACAATAAACTGAAATAAAATCTCATTAGCAACACATTATTATTATTGTACTATCAACCTATTCGGCATAATATAAATTTTCATCATACACCGAATTATCACTATTCCTTTCATTATTCTTTTGTGTATATTGTCTTTTAAACTTGCACTTAATATGTTTGATTATTAATTGTTCATTATAAAAGTCTACTATCGCATTATTTCGAAGTAAGAAATCCTGTCCTAAGATGAGATTATGCCTAATATTCTCTACCACAAGAAAATCGTGAATGAATAACACATTGTCTATCAATAATTTAAGGTTAACTTTCCCTATAACAGACAATTCTTTACCATCGACAGCTTTCAACTTCATATCGCTTTCATCAATTCGTTGATGAATTCTATTAACTGTGTCCTTCGACACCACAGACACTGCAGTACCACTATCAATGAGCCCTACAAACTCCTTATCACGACACGTTATATTAATTAATGGTTTGGACTCACTTGTATATTGATTGTTGTTTTCTGACGGTTGGGAATGAAAATCTTGTCCATCAGCCATCGTCATAACATTTTCTTCATAAAAAATTTTCTTTGGATGCTTCTTCTTCTTTGATTTATACTTCTTTTTGTTCGTGTTACTGGAACAAAAAGTGCGGGGAATCATATGTTCGGGAGGGACAATGGGATGAGAAGGGACACTTTGGGAGGAAATGAGGTTGATCTCCTTCTCCTGTTCCTCTTCATGCCTTATTATAGGCGAAATTTTCGCCGCTTCGAAGTTTGTCATTGGTGTAACAAACGATGGTTGGATCGGCAGATTCCAACAAATTTCGGCACTCTCGTCTCCGAAAATATCCTGTGCTTGACGTAAAATATTTTTTAAATGTGTTTTATCACTATATAACTGAAATGCGAAAAGATTTTTTGTATTTAAATTCGCATTTTTCAAGAACTGTCTAATGAAGCATTTGTCATCGATGACAGCTCCCGCTTTTGTGGCCAGCTCATCCAATACATAAAAATAGTGCAATGGCTCTTCTGACAAGCCTTGTCTTCGTGAGAAAAATTTTTCCAACGCATTTATCGATGATGGAAATTCATCACAAATTTTCTTTTCTAGAATCTGAAAATTCTCACAAGACTCGTTAATATTTTTATAAAATAACAATGCAGGTCCACTTAAATATGCCGACAACACAACTCTTTTTGTATCCTCGTTGAAATTATTGATGGCGGCGATGATATTAAATTGACGAAAGAAATCGGTTACATCACCTTTTCCGTCGAATGTGGTCCTGGTCTCCATCTTCATAAAACTACTTCTTTCTTGATTTAAAATTATTTTTCACTCGCGGTACTTGAAGCCTACCCGGCGCCTCCACCATATAGAGTTCTACCCAGAAGGGATAGAACCTAGGGGCGTAGACGATAATTGAAAAAATACTGATAGAGATAAATTATTTATTTTATTTTATCATTCAGGCGATTATAAAGAATTTTATCTAAATACGAGAGGAAGTTCTTGGTGCCTGAAGATCTAATCTAGAATAGAACCTTCAGACGATTCCTTATTTCAAATCTTAAAATCATGACATTAACTTTTTAATATAACTGCCAACCGTAGGCATTGCAAAAGCAAAGAGTTTACCTAAACAAGGAGGCTGCAACGTTAAGGACGTTACAGTACCTTCTTTTTCAAACGCTTAACTTGCATTTGTAGTCTTCTGATTTTTAAACCAGTTTTTTTTCTTTATATCGAAGTTGTTCTATTTCTTGCTTAAGCTTCTTTTTTCTAGGCGAATCATTTAGTATCAGAAATTCATCTAAATCACTTGTGGTAGGGTCCACAGATGATTTTACAGGCTCTGGTAATTTTCTTTTAAGCTGTAATGTAAAAAATAATATTATTAACTATTTATTTTTCCAAAATAATTAAAACTCGGTTACGCAAATAACATCCAAACAAACCGATAAATCCAGTTTTAAACTAGGTAAAGTGCCCTTCTTTAATTTTTTCAGACCTTTTTTTGTCACTGTGAAGTCCGCGTCATTGAAATGGCAAGAACAAATCTTTGTGTATTTTGTTGGTGTCCAATCCGGTCTACTAAGTTTTGAAATCCATTGCTGTTTTAAATTATCGTTGGATGGAAATCTAAAACGAACATAAAAATAATTAAAATTAATTTACTTGATAAAATAATGTAATACTTATTACGACCCTGGATATTTGTTACGTTTAAAAAGTTATTCTATATGACGACAGATGGCGGCCAGTTAGTAATATATTAATAAAATCGATATGATTACTGTTTTAGATACTAAAAGTTATTTAGGAATAAGTGTATAACAGTTTTCAGTATTTACGTACGATTATTACAATATACTACTGCAAAATTATACGTAAACTTATGTATTTTCTTCCTAAAAGTGTCGCCATCTGGTGTCAAGTAGTAAAATTTTAACGCTGATAGCTGAGAATGTTCTAGAACTTATATATTTTATTACGTATAAAATTACTTACACATGAAATGTGATGCCATCCATATTATCAGAACGTCTGTCTGAGTAACTTTGACATAGTAAAACACTACACTTCATCCTTTTCTTGTTAAAAACGCAAAAAAACACTTATAATGCGAGTCTCGTTAAGTGTGCACCTGACGAACGCTGAAAGCATACTGACTTAGGCCCCGCCCACAATGATGACGTCAGGACCTAGTTGAAAATCACAGTGCACAGTTGCTTAGGCCAGCTCCTCTTTGTTTTTCCTCCGTGGTGCTAACGACTGCATTGTGAAGGCCTATCAAAAGTATTTATGAATCTAGAACAACGGAACCAAAGCGCGATTCAGGAGACTACAGCGCCATCTCTTGACCATTGGTGTAGTAGAACCAAAAACCACATCTTTATTTTTTCTAATAAAGTAACAAAAAGTATTTATTTTCTATCAAAACTTTTCTTTAGATTTAAATATCTAGCAGTTAAATGTTTAAAATAGAATAATAACATGTAATAGCTTGTTTGTCTGTTTGTCTGCAGGCATTGTTACAACACCAAACTCCCCCAGAAGCGGAATTGTCTCGATTGCGACGAACGCGACTCACACAACGGATACCGGACACGCTCTATATGGTGAGTTGATGTTGTGTATTTAATTTAAACATTTTTAGTTACAATAAGTGATATTGATAACATACACTAAAACAGAAAAATTCATGAAAAACGAAAGTACAAATAGACGTCTAAAACATTGTCGAACAATAATTAAGACATCTATTTGTACATCTACTATATAAAAATAAGTCGGGTTTTCCTTCCTGACGCTATAACTCCAGAACGCACGAACCGATTTCCACGGTTTTGCATTCGTTGGAAAGGTCTCGGGCTCCGTAAGGTTTATAGCAAAGAAAATTCAGAAAAAAAAATCAAAAAAAAATCTTCTTTGAATCACCAAACGAAATGTTATATAAAACGAAGCCATCTGATGGCGAAACGGAGTTCGCCTGGTTTGCTAGTGTTGTTATGATAAATTGGTGATATTGAGAAGTATTTTCAGTTTTAAATTGTTTTCTTTCCACTGTTTATGGACTCGGTCCAAGTCGGGCGGAATGTTAAGTTTGTGGTAATATTATTTAATTATTTTCTTTTCTTTCTGTGGCAAAGGTGTGAAAGTGAAAGTCTGCGAGTTATTTAAATAAATAAAACACCGAAATCTGTGGCGAAGGTGTCTATTTCAAAATAATATTGAACTTATGTGTATTCGAAAAACAAACTAAATACCATGATTCAGAACTTGCATAGAAAAATATTAAACATAACAGTAACGCCATCTATGGCTTTGATAATTAAATAATATTACTACAAACTTAACAGATTGAATCCTAAATCAATAATTTCCTTCTGATGATGGTCTGAAATCGTCAGATGAGCTATCGATATTATCAGTATTTCACCTCTCTGTCATTTACTATGTGGAATCAGGGGTGGGGGGGGGGGGGGGGGACTAACATCTTAAGAGCCCTTTTACAAAAGTGCTACTGTACTGATCGGCGCGTAGGTAGATTTGCACTAGTAATATTGCATTTTGCGGTAGATGTTTCGAGTCTTTATAAAATAATTATTAATGAACTAATTATAAAAATATATACATATTTCGGTAGTTCAATGATGGTAGAATAGTTTTATGAAAGTTTTTGATAGTAATTCTATTTAATTCAATATCAAAATACGAGGTAAACCTGCATTAGTTTTTGGGAAAACTCACGGAGGTTAGATGTTTTTATTTTTATAATTAATGCAATGGAAAATCAAAATTCTGATACATTATTTTACAATTAAAACATATTTCTGATGTCGTAGTAATTAATTTGATCTAATTTTTTGAACATTATTAACAGATTGAGGCGTTTGAAGTTGTGCATATTATCGTTTTTTCCGTAAACTAGCTGCAGTAGAACGATCAGTACAAAAAAAGGAAAATAGTATTTGCAAATGTTCTACATTAACCTACAATAGGAAGAATAAATCTACTGCTTACTTCTATTGGAAACAGTCAAAATCTTTTCTAAAGGGGGTAAACGAGGCGCTCAAAAATTACGATTTGTTGCAAAAAATGTGAAAGGGCTCTTAACTGACCATATTGTCAACCTCACCTAAGGACGACGAGGTGATTCCTGCTAGATAACGGACGAGGCTATAAGGACGACGATTAGAATATCGGGCCATCAGATAGAAAGAGTCACCGAGTACAAATATTTGGTCACCTGCCTGACTGAAGACTGGGATTGTGAAATAAAGACCCTTATAGAAGTCGCCTATAGTGCCTTCAATACTATGAAAAAAAAACGAGTCTGCTTATGACCACACGACTGATGTGAAACTTCTTTAACTCCAATGATCTGAAAATCATAAACTTAACTTGAAGATTTGTTGATAGAGTAAAAAAACCACCAATCCGCGTTGGATCCGTTATCATCCACTAATCCGCGTTGAGTCCGTTATCACCCACCAATCCGCGCTGAGTCCGTTATCATCCACCAATCCGCGCTGAGTCCGTTATCATCCACCAATCCGCGCTGAGTCCGTTATCACTCACCAATCCGTGCTGAGTCCGTTATCACCCGCCAATCCGTGCTGAGTCCGTTATCACCCGCCAATCCGTGCTGAGTCCGTTATCATCCACCAATCCGCGCTGAGTCCGTTATCACCCGCCAATCCGCGCTGAGTCCGTTATCATCCACCAATCCGCGCTGAGTCCGTTATCACCCGCCAATCCGTGCTGAGTCCGTTATCATCCACCAATCCGCGCTGAGTCCGTTATCACACACCAATCCGTGCTGAGTCCGTTATCATCCACCAATCCGCGCTGAGTCCGTTATCACCCGCCAATCCGTGCTGAGTCCGTTATCATCCACCAATCCGCGCTGAGTCCGTTATCACCCGCCAATCCGTGCTGAGTCCGTTATCATCCACCAATCCGCGCTGAGTCCGTTATCACACACCAATCCGCGCTGGGTCCGTTATCATCCACCATCAAACTTCATAAAACAAATGTCAAAATGAGCCCATTATTTTGCGATGACTTTATTGCTATCTTTTTCCCCAGGTGGCTGCCAATCGCACGGCTCCCGTGGTCGGCAACACTTCGAGCAATCCCAGCAACCCCGCCAGCACCAGCTCCGACGTGAGCTGCGTGGACAACGCCGTGCTGGCCGTGCTGCGCGCCCGGATGGGCCGGCTCCGGAACACGGCCGCCGCTATCCGGGCCATGGCCGGGCCGCACTATGACTCGCATGCTGTGCTCACACAAGTGAGTATACTGAGGGCCCGGATGGGCCGGCTCCGGAACACGGCCGCCGCTATCCGGGCCATGGCCGGGCCGCACTATGACTCGCATGCTGTGCTCACACAAGTGAGTATACTGAGGGCCCGGATGGGCCGGCTCCGGAACACGGCCGCCGCTATCCGGGCCATGGCCGGGCCGCACTATGACTCGCATGCTGTGCTCACACAAGTAACTATGGATACCTTTATTTGGGACTAACGGCCGGCCCTCGCTTCGCTTCGGTGTAGAGCTGAAGTGTAGACTACAGTTTTTGTTCTCAGGCTTGTATTATACACAATGACATTCATCTATGATTCTTCTTATACCTGCATGCAAAGTCTCAGCCCGATCGGTTTGAAATTGACAAAGTTCCATACAAACTTTGATTTCCTATATTATCCCCTTGGGGGTGGAATTGACCAAAATCCTTTCTTAGCGGATGCCTACGTCATAACATCTACCTGCATGCCAAATTTCAGCCCGATCCGTCCAGTGGTTTGAGCTGTGCGTTGATAGATCACTATGTCAGTCAATCAGTCACCTTTGAGTTTTATATATAAAGATTACCTAGGCGAAGATTCAGCTGTTCGAAAAGATAAGAAAATCTATGAAAATGCTACCAAATGGCGAAGATTTAACCCTCGAAGAAACGCAACAAAAATCAACCAAATAGAGTGTTATATTTGATTTTAAACACGGATTCAGACCTGAAAAGTTATTGTATGTAGTTATATTTAATGAAAATTTAACATAGATTGGTCATTATTCAACCAAAATCTACCAGATTTTAGTGTTTTCGTTTATTTTATACAACATATAATAACACATAGACAAAAAGAGTAAATATGTGTTTGTTTTGCACATCGCAATGTCAGATTAATGCCTGTATTACAGAATGACAGCTAAGTGTTGATCTGTACTAGAGTACAGTTAGAAAGAGACTTTTCCTTTTTTCCTTTACCAATAAAATTAAGGAATATTTCCTCAAGCTGGACTCGGACTGATCTTTTTCTTTTTATCTGTTAGTTACTCTGTATTATATTTTATAGCTTCCTTAAATACTTACTATTTTTATATTCTTATATTTACGTCTATTTATTTATTTTTAAAATGCACTCGCCCGCAGTTTCTTCTATTTTCATGGTATGGTTTCATTTAGCCAAAGGTTGCCTGGTAGAGATTGTTACCTTAGCAATAAGGCCGCCTTTTGTGTTTGTGTCCCTTGAATTTTATGTTTTATATATTTTATTAAATAGTGCAATATAGAATATTAATTCATTCATTCAAAGGTGCTTTATATAGCGACATCCCTTTCTTACTGTGCTCAAGACTAGGACAATCACTGAGAATCTTTCTATAATACCGGCCTTAGACACTGAAACTACTGAGCGAATATTGGTGAAATTAGCACTTTAAAAGCTCCTTAAATCATTTATAGTCTTTTCATTCTATTATTTACTTTTTGACAGATCAACGCCCATGAAATTTTCTATTATTTACGTTAAAATGTCATACAAATAATATTCTACTTCATGGACGGGTACCGCCCACTTAGTGATGTGCCACACATTATGATTACTAAGATTGTGCCACAGATTACAAATAATCGGTACAAATAAATGAGTACAACCAAATTGTAAGGTAGAAACCAAGTAATTAAAATATTAACATTAAGTTCATTATATAACTAAATAAACATATAAAAAGTATATTGTTTTTTCTTGCATATTATAGATAAATCACAACCAAACGCAGAACAAATGCTCGTACTCATCACACAAAATTGTACTACGTAAAATAATAAATCTAATGAGATTTTGTAATAATTTATTAAACACCAGTATTTTTGATAACTTAAATATTTTCGATACTTATAATCGATTAAACAATGTCGAATGTTCTAGCATAAAATCGATTATAGCTTTAAATCGAACAAGTTATGTGATAGGGTATCACTATTTTTACTTCGATCGATCTGACAAAACGATATTAATAGAATGGACAGACAATAATATGTGTGTGTATATAATCGTGTAATATATATAAATATTGTATTGTTGTCAGATCGCCCTGCGCGCCGTCCGCGAGATGTCGCTGCCCGACTCGTGCGCGGATCTGTTGATCAACGACAACGACAACAACGACAGGTATGCTCATATCATGTGGCATGCTCCTATATTTTTGCCCCACAAATAATCAACATGGAGGAAATAATGACTCGCCTCCTCAAGAGATGGCGCTACCGGCGTTGCGATCAATACGTATGGAAGCGTACATCGCGCAAGTGAAATTCGGAGGCTAACACTCCATATATATGATGGCCGACTAACAGCAGTCGGGCCGCGGCACTCGAGCTACTATCATCCAGCTCGGGGGAAGATCTTCCCCTTTGGACTTGCTACAGATTTAATAGGGTAATTTACTCTATTTGACGAAAAAAATATATTGTTGGGTTTCAAAAATAATTAAAACTACATAATTGATTAAAAAAATAAATAGAAAATTACAAATTTCAAGAAAAGAAATTACAATTTTTACAATATTGTATTACTTAAAAGACATTTTTAACAAATGTGTTTAATACCCTATTGAGAAACATAGTACTTTATGCGTAGCTTCTTTAGTACAAACTAATGAAAATCTTATCTAATATTATAAAATAAGTGAAGTGAATCTTTTTTCTTAAATAACCTAACATAAGGAGATGAATAAAGCATAGGGGCATGGAGCAGCGCACGATCACTCATAAATATGTATATATTGTCGCGTGTGTATATGCATGTATATAATATATATCTATATAGATTCACTCCACTTATTTTATATATTAGATAAGATTGTGATTAGTTTACAGGGTGTTACAAAAATACAAATAAAGCTTGAAGGGCGTTGAAGTACATCATATAAGGAGTCTTCTTTAATTTTCTTAAAATATTTTCATGAAGTTTTAACTTTTTAATGATTAATAAAAATATCGATCATTTTAAGACACGTCACTAGTTCGAGGATCATTAAAAATAACTGTATTTATAAAAAAGGTTAAAATTTCATGCAAATATTTTAAGAAAATTAGAGAAGACTCCTTATATGATGTACTTCAACGCTCTTCAAGCTTAATTTGTATTTTTGGAACATTTTTGGAATATATATACAGGATGTATATAAATATATATATACAGTAATGTGACGCTCGTGACGAATTTCCGTTTTATCTTTACCATAGGGTTTTTCCATTAACACCTCGTCCGAACAAAAAGTTTCATTTCCTAAATATAATGTTTTTTAGTATATTTATATGTAACGGTATGGTTTGTGGTTTGTCCCACAGAGAGAGGGAGTGGGACTCCCCCAACGAACGGAGGCGCTGGGACGACGCGCCGCCCGACTGTTGCCGGTAAATATATTACATATACACAGATATACACACAGATACTTATTATTGTATTCATTTCATAAACACTCACATTTTCTAGATTAATTTGTGATCCATTTAAGGTTGTCACATACTTTTTGATGTGATAACTTGTTATGGGAGGGTAAACCGTTGCGTTACGTAACGCGTTACGGCGCCAGTCTGTCTGACTTCCCTTCGCCCCGAAAGCGTCCCCAGATCCACTGCACTCCCTCACCCATCGATCCCCACTATCACCCACCAATCCCTTTTTCACTAATAAATCAACGGTTTATGACAACAATACGTTGAGTAAAGCTAAACTTAATTTAAAAATGATGCTTTCAATTTTATTTGCTAAAAAATAGTTAATAACAGGTGTCACTAGCCCATATTTGGATTTGATTTAAATTAAATATTGTGTGAGTATAATTGCGCCATTATAATATCGTTTTATTTAGCGATCGTTGAAGTTAAGCAACTTTCGCAGTGGTCGGTCATTGGATGGGTGACCAAAAATATACTATCTCTCACTCCTCCGTGCTTCGGAAGGCACGTTAAGCCGCCGGTCCCGGCTACATCTGCAGTCGTTAGCACCCACAAACGAGTCATGGTCATGGGTCACATCCCGCACTCCCTATTCCATCGACAGGTCCAGGCCTGTGCCCCAGCAGTGGGGACGTTAATAAGCTGATGATGATGATGATGATCTATAGAAAATATAACTAGAAAAAATTCCACGCGGACCCTTCGCAATCCAGGCGAATGCACTGACCAATTATGCTACCGCGGCCCTGACGGCCGCATCGAAATTCCTCTAGCCATTCTTAAGCTGCAAGGCAGCGCCATCTCTTCGCATTGTAGGTAACCCTCAATTTCAAATGAATACTTTTACAAATATTAAACATTTGAAAGAAGAAATAGCAATTATAGTTATAATTTTAATAAAGAAAATTGCGGGTTCGAGTCCCGTCTGCTGCCTGGTCCGCGTAGAATTTTTCTAGTTATATTTTCTTTAGATTTAAACATCAAGCAGTTTATCATCATCATAAACCTATTAATGTCCCCACTGCTGGGGCACAGGCCTTCCCTCCGGATGGAATAGGGAGATCGGGCAATGACCCACCACGCGGGCCCGGTAGCTTCCGAAGCACGGAGGAGCTCGAGATAGAAGATTTTCGGTCACCCATCCAATGACCGACCACTGCGAAAGTTGCTTAACTTCAACGATCGCAGCCGAACGCGCTAACCACTTGCGCCATCGAGCTCCTCGAGCAGTTACATGCTTAAAAAATTAAAATTGTAACTATAATGATGATGTTTGTCGTTTAGTCGTTCGAGTGGCGGCGGGTCCTCTCGCTGCCTCTCGGCCGCCAGTATACGGGAACACCACGACACAGGTCTGTATCAAATATATATCATTCCTCCTACAGTGGAGCCCCGGTAATCTGGCCCCTGGCTAATGCGGCACCCCCTATAATCCGACATCGTCTTAGGCTTGTTGAAAATATATCGATGTATCGATATATCGATATTTTTTGTTCGATATATCGATATTTTTTGCCGATATATTTTGATTCGATATATCGATACAAAATAACCAATATCGAAATTCGTATCAAAAACGATATTTTTTTAATTATTAGCGGCATATCACGATCTAACTGAATTCGTATCTGGAAAAATCGTAACTAGATCTCAGATTAATGATATTCAGCATATCTATGATCTGTGCTGTATTTAGTATTGTCTATTATTTGTAAATCTGTTTCGCTGGTGAATTGGTTGTGCTGATTTCCATTATATTCTGTGGAAGTGTGTGACTGTCTAGTCTTGTTTACGAAAGATGGCACCTGAGAGGCCCTGGCATTGGCATTTTCATCATTCGAAAATAGGGTCTATTTTTAGGGAGATAATTTTCGTTCCATTATTATTCCGCGTGTCATATTTCGTGAGATACTGTACTGTCATGTAGTGTAGCGGCAATTTGGTATTTTGATAATTCTTTCTTTAATTATAATTTGTATTAAACTATTATTACTATGCTAGGCTGACCTAAATATATTTTTGAAAAAATTGGCCCGATATATCGATATTTTTTTTCGCGATATATCGAAGCCGATATTGATATTTTTTAAAATATCGATGTATCGATATTTTTTTCAACTTTCGACATCCCTACATCGTCTATTAAATACAAGTATTCGCTAATTCACGATTGAACAAGTTACAACTTGTACGCACCATCACTATTGTGCTCGACGCGTAGGGTATTGTTTTTATAGATTTTTTTGGAAATTCAATAGCATTAATGACGTTACTTTTATAATAAAACGTAATCTTTCTATCGTGTTGTTTAATTTACTAAATTTGGCATACATAACGAAGTATGATTTGTAATCTTATCATTGGATCTGTAATTTGTCGGATTACAAAGTACTCTTTTGTAAAAAAAATCGGACTATAGGGGGTCTTAGGCGGTACTCTATAATCCGACAAATTCGATAGTTCGACACTGCCCTGCAAAATGTTTGTCGGACTACCGGGGATCCACTGTATACTAGACATACATTATATCAATTGAAACATTTACCACTTAATTCCTTAATAATATTGAATAAAATTGGGACGTATTCCTGGCGACACAAAATTATTTCAAAAAGATTTTTTATAGTAATTTTTTTAATAATAATAATATAACCTAATTTAAATCACTTTATATTTTTATCACCAATTTCTCTGTGGGTATGGCGTTATGCTTAATTTTTTACTTCTGTGTTTTTATTTTTATATAGTTTTAAATTAATCTACGGCCTCGATTGGATTAAGTATATTTTATTTGAGTTGTATTTGTGATAACTGTATAAGGCATATCGATGCTACATCATCTCGTTTTATCCTTAGTTTTAACATGCTGTTTGTTTTCCATGAATAAATAAATAAATAAATAAAATAAAAATTTCCAACACACACCTAATAGCCTAGCCTCAAAATAAGCACTGTAAGGCTTGTGTTATGGAATACTAGGGTAACGGGTAGAAGACATATATAAGTATATTTATATAGAAGTACATTTTAAACATCCATGACTGGAGTAGAAATGCTCGTGTTGATCACACAAATCAAGTAATTTGTATATCTCTCGGGCGACCATAATAATACAACTGTCACTTGATAGATGGTGTCGCTTTGACAGAACGAGTCGTGATATTTTTATTTGGTTATTTTAAAATATTATTGTAAAGGAAGGAATTATTGTAATAAATAAAAAAACTTTAAATGTCGTTTCTTTGTTTTCAGAGCAACACATTTGTTTAATTACTTTTACAATTCCCATTAAAAGATATTGTCTTATAAGTATATAAATTGTTTTTACAGATAATTGTAGAGCGAGCACGTGTCGTCGCGAGCCCCAGCCCCGGGCCGACGTGTCTCTGCACAGGTGAGGAATATCATTATTGTGTTTTATTACAACTCTACTATATCATTATGTTTAGACGAGTAGATTTTTCTTATTTATTTTTTTGTGTTATTCTATTGGTAGAAATTGTTACTGTGCTTTCAGAATGCATCGAGAGTTGTCATAAGTTGTTTATTTGATTAAACATGAACACTTTTATAAGTTAAACAGAGAAGTCCGTTTTTATATAATAAAAATAATGTCGGTCCCAAAGTAGACCCTTGAGGAACACCATTTTCAATTAAGTTGATTTTAACGTTGTCTTTAGTATGTATTGTATCCTAATAATATTTTAAAAGGTTTTATGGGTGTTTGTTATGCTTTAACGCTAAAACGGCTGAAAAGATGGAATAAAATCTGGCACACATATTCTCTTATTAATAAACAACGAATAAGATTGGATAACGTGTCTGATCATTGAATTACAAATGGCGCTTGAGTGATATGAACCAAACACGGCGTAACTTGTCCAAGCTTATTCGTTGTTTATTAAATCAGTTCAGCCGTTTTAGCGTTAAAGCATAACAAACACCCATACAATCTTTAAACATATTAGTAGGATACACAATACATACGAAAGACAATGTTACGATACTTCTATTGAATTTAAAAGCTGTATTTAAAGTTGATTACTTAAGGAAGAATATCAGACTATTAAACTACTTGACCGTCACTGAAAGCTTTATATTGAGATAGCACTTCCGTTTCCCGTCGAATTACCATCAGTTTCCGTACTTTTATTCACCTTGTATCCGGTCCAGTGGCGACACCTGGCAGAAGCGCGCCCATTTTTGTTTTCCTAAGTTTTGACAGCGCCATATTAACTCATTGGCGTTCTGACTCCCGTCGAAGCAACACGTGCTCAATCTGAGCGATCGTTGTGAGATTTTAAAGGTTTTATTATTATTAAGTGATAAAACTGTAAGTAAAACTATTTTATTTTAACGGTTTTTGCCGTTCGTGTTATTCCAAATAGGTACTTTACGTGTTAAAAGTGAAGGAACCGTAAGTAAAACTATTATTCTTTTTGATAGTTTTTGGAGCCCTTGTGATAAGGGATATTTAAAACAAATATGTTAAATTGTGCAATACCCTTGTTTAAAAAAGTTATAATAAGCCGTGAGTAAAACTTGACGGCCATTCAAGGTGCGTTTTGTTTAAAAAATTAAAGTACCTACATTAAAGTAAATTTTGCAATACTTTACGACTGTCTTGGTCGTTTGTAATAAAAACTATTTTAAGAGTGTTTTCTCTTGGTACTCAATTAATGTTTCCGTATAAGTAAGTGTGAAAGTAAATTGGTAAATGTATTACAAAATACTTAATTAAATTATTTTATAGTTTAGAGTGAAGGAACATCGGTCAATATTGACGTTTCAGCCGCCAACTGACTGGCATTAGTGGCAAAAACAGCAAGATGGTTGAATTTGTCATCTTCTGGTATAACGAAAGCGGCATCGCTATCTCAAGAAAAGTAAGCGAGCTTGATATTCCAGCCCTTTTATTAAAAGATTGTTCGAGGGGTAAGTGAACTATGTACAATCTTAATAAGGTATTTCTAATGTCGATATGCCTTTTTCTGAACATGGCCAGTTATCAATATCAAAAGGCTTATGAATAAAAAGTTCTAACATTTTTACTGACCAATACACGTAATAAAAATTCTCATGTGAGTCGTGTGACTAAACTAGGATAAAGGAACGCTCTGTTCGAAAGACATTCAACGTTTATTTTAAATGATATGCTGATGTAAATTGAAAATTATAATCATAGTCCAGGCTTTACCAACCTGGAAACAAACAACGAGGTAAAGAAGTATGATGATAATTTATGATATATCACGTTCCTGACATTAATTTTCTTTCAGCAATTGCATATTTCTAAAATAAAAATGAATCATTGCGGGAAGGCACCTGTTCAGTTAATTTTAATAACGAAAGTGATAAGATAACAGAATCGTTTCTTAGGTCTTTTACAGCTAGTGAGGGCACAAAGCTAAAAAGTAAAAACTAAAGCACTGCTTAAGAAGTTAGTGATCTCTGTGATGAAGCACCACTTAATAAGATACCATCTAATCACCCATAATGATTCAGAGCTTTTGAGATTGTTTTTCTCGTATTAAGTCAGAATTAGTCATGGATTCAACTCGCGCAGGGGCAAGTGATACTCATAAGCTTCATCTCATGAAGCCCAAGGCGTGTCAGGACATGCCCTCCCATGGCGTACCGCTACAGTACCGGTGGCAAATCACCCTCGCGGGGTGCATATTATATATAATTTGTTTCCACTACGTGGAATCTTATGAAATGCGTCAAATGCCTTGCCTACATATACGAGTACCGGAAGCAAATCACCCTCGCGGGGTGCATATTAAATACAATTTGTTTCCACTACGTGGAACCTTATGAAATGCTTCTAATGCCTTGCCTACATATACGAGTACCGGCACCAAATCACCCTCGCGGGGTGCATATTATATACAATTTGTTTCCACTACGTGGAACCTTATGAAATGACTCTAATGCCTTGCCTACATATACGAGTAACGGTAGCAAACCACCCTCGCAGGGTGCATATTACCAAAACTCTAATGACCGCCCCTCGCGGGGGCATATTATGTATAATTTGCTTCCACCGTATGGAACTTATTATGAATAAAGACATGCCTTCCATGGCTTGCCTACACATACAAGTATCGGTAACAAAATATCGTTGATGGAGGAATATCCTCATCAATCTTATAATCGACCTTATGGGGTCATATCACACATAATATATTATTTCCATTACGTGAAGCTCAATATATGTTTTCCTTAGAACATGTTCGCTTATGGAGTTCGTACTATTATGTAAGCACCGGTAACATACGACACTCGAGTGGAGCAAATTATGCATAATTTAACATATAGTCTATTCGTGATTCATAATTTATTTTGTGACCATGGGGTCTGTAAAAGTGTAAACGATTCGAAACATTAAAAATAAGTAAATTGAAAATATAATAAATGTCGCTTGACATAATTCATTACTTCCATCGCGTGGAAATCCATACATCAACGCAACGCAACATACCCGCTCATGGTTTGCGTACACACATAAGTATCAGCTATAAACTACCCTCTAACTACTAATAGACTATAAAGATCGAACATCGAATATTGACGTACCCAGTTGTGAAGTGCAATGTACGTGGTTTTAAAGGTGTCGCATACTCCGAGGTCTTGGGTTCACCCCGGTGGGGCAAATCATTGTATGATTAAAACAAGCATCTGTGCCTAAGTCTTGGTTGTTAACAAATATCATCATTATGCATTTCTATGCGTTAGCCCATAACACAAGTCTTTCAATGCCTATTATGAGGCTAGGCTCATTGGTGTGAAGTGTTGACTCGATCACTATGGTTGTTCTACCGTAATATAGTTATCGAGGACGTGCTGTAATACATTTCAAAAGAAAAAGGAATATCGAAACAATTAATGTTTGAAAAAATTTAGTGCAGGACAGTTGATAAATTGGTTGTACCACAAATAATTCTTAAATAAATTTAATGGTGTCGCATGCCATTCAAAAGCTTGTTTGTCTAAATCCAATATATATCAAGCTCCAATCTCAAGTGCAGTACACTATAACTATGTAAAGAATTCTAAGTTTTCTGCAATTTAAGGACTATCTGCCAGATAGATAGATGATAACATATTTTCTCTTGAAAATAACAAAAGTAAACCAAATGGGTTGCTCACTCTTTTGAGGTAATGAGAGAAACATGCAAAATTAGAAATGTCGTGTATGAGGTGTCCGAGGTGGCCAACATGATCATTTTGATATATAAGTGGTGCTATGTACTGAAGAAAAATTGCACGATCTACCAAATTCTTGAAAGGTTTTGAAGATCATTGTATGCAATTATCCACTTTATGTTATTTTTAGTAAAAAATACTGAAAACTGTTCTTAATATTAAACTTACGCTTTCTAACCTTGCCACGACTGTCTGGAATAAATATACTTCAAACCCTACGCATACTACATGCACACTTCATGTAAGCTGTGTAAATCTTATAAATAACTAAATCTTTATTTAGTATTAAGTAATACATATAAATGACTCAGATCTAAGAACTGAAAAACAAAAGGAAAAATTACAATCAATTATAGATTCCAGGATGGCAAATGAATTTCATAAAATCTGGTCTGAACTTCGTAATAGCATAATTTATCACGGCAACCCTGCAACAATATAAAAACTATACCTGAGAATTTCGTTGTAAAAACGTAAAACTTCAGAAGTTGATCGGTTTCAACATGTTTGTCATTCCGTGGGGTTGTATCAACCACTCCCTACTTCTAACAATAGTTATAAATTCATTGCAATCGACCTTGCAATCACTTCCTGCCAATCTAATATGAAAGCTTGGCAAGTATAGTTGAAGAATACGGCTCTACCACTTCACTTCAATCTCCACTCCAATCAAATAAATATGCTAGCACTACGCTTTTTATCATATTCTACAAAGAGCGACAGCTCTGTTTTAAACAGCTATGAGATGGCTCGGAAACGCTGGCTTGCGTGGTTGCATTGGTCTAGGAACAAGAATGTTTATCGGAATAATCCCGCAGGTTGTGGCCTCGGCTCTGAGCTAACACGATTTGAGACTTATTTTAACACGTGACTTATCTCAAAACTTATTTTGAGTTGTATTGTATGGTACTTAACCATTATTCTAAATAAGTCGGTAGTTTTTACATGATATACCAATGGATGATAAGTCTAATTACCTAAGCTCACCTGTCTTGGCAAACACATAATAATATTTTCTTTTCTTCAATAATGTACTCGTTATATCATAATAATCTGTTTCAAATACCTCGTCATACTAGTTGTTGTTCTGAACGTCATACAGTAATTATGCTGCGTATTATTTGGTTCAGCATGTGGTACACATGACTTGTTCCTACTTCAAATTATCCCGAATCATTGTATTTGTACCGACGAAGAATCTTTTTTAGCCTTGTTTTGGTTCAAAACAGGTGAAAGTAGTTAAAGACAATCCGATTGGTGACTTGTATCGAATAATGGTAATCGTAAGTGGGACCCTGATTTTTGGTACTTAAGTAAAAAGTACAGTATTGTAAAATGTAAGACTCAGTATCGAACAACTTTACATCTTTTTCTCGCATTCGTACGCCTTATTTGTGATATACAAAGATACAAATGAATGCTACACAAGGAAGGCGTCCGGTCATTAACAAAGCAAATATATATATATATATAATTCTCGAGTTTTAAGCAAAAGAATCTAGCGATCAGCTAATACATATGTTAAAGCAGCTTCGTAAGCGTGAAGAAATTAAAGGCGTGATTCAAATAATATTATTTGATCCATTTTTAAGCTTACTCGTTTCTTTATACAGTTTCATATAATCTGATAAATGTTAATATTTAAATTTATCATAAATTGTCACATTGGCGTATATATCTATGTACGTGGCGATCACCAGGCGATAACAAACAGGTCTCAATATAAAGCTTTCAGTGACGGTCAAGTAGTTTAATAGCAGCATTTTACCTGAAATAAAATGCATATTAAAATACTTACCTCACTGAAAGCTTTCACTTTAAATTCTGCCTGGTGAAATAATTGAGCCAATGAGTTAATATGGCGCTGTCAAAACTTAGGAAAACAAAAATGGCCGCGCTTCTGCCAGGTGTCGCCACTGGACCGGATACAAGGTGAATAAAAGTACGGAAACTGATGGTAATTCGACGGGAAACGGAAGTGCTATCTCAATATAAAGCTTTCAGTGAGGTAAGTATTTTAATATGCATTTTATTTCAGGTAAAATGCTGCTATTTAAGAAGATTTGAATGACGAAACAGCGTAATCATGATTTCTCCATTGCTTTTGCTTTGTAATTGTTTGCAGTGTCCTATTGATAAACTATTTAATTTTAGTAAATATGTTGTGGTTGATATAGGTAGTTATGGGTAGTCATTCTCTCTTAAAAGTCTCTTCGGTGGTGTCGTGTGAGGCGGGTCGTTACGTTCCCTAAAATATGGTCGAGCGAAGCGATGGTTGGTTCATGCGTCATGCTCGTGAACGGGTGCTGCCAGCGGAGATGAGTCTGCCTTAACTTTGATATTTAAGATGTAAATATCTAGTTACACATAGTATAAATAACACTATTTGTATTTATACTGTGTGATACAGCAAACAAAGTGCAGGTGACAAATTAATGTATAATTTCAAATTATGCAATGGAAGGTAGATTCATGAAACATCTCCGAAGTCATTTTTCAACTTGACGACTCTGTAAATAATAATACAGGGAGAAAAAAACAGCCCTTGCTGAGTTTCTTGCCGGTTCTTCTCGGTACAAGGTCTCCCGCCGTAGATTTACGAACCGATGGCGGAGCTTCTAGACATTCATGAGTGCTCGTAACAGCCTAAACTGAATAAATGATTTTGTTATGTTTTTATTTTTAAGCATTTAACTGCTAGATGTTTAAATCTAAAGAAAAGTTTTACTAGGAATTAAACTACGCGGCCAATTATTCTATCACGGCCCTGATGGCCGCGTCGAAATATTCCTAGCCTTAAGCTGCATGGCGGCGCCATCTCTTCGCACTGTAGGTAACCCACAATGTCAAACGAATACTTTTTCAGTATTCGACATTTGAAAGAAGAAATAGCAATTATAGTCCGCGTGGATTTTTTTCTAGTAAAACTTTTGTTTGGATTGAAATGATTTTGATTATTATTATTGAGTGTTTTGATACATGTCCGTTTGTTTGGTTTGCCTCAGTCGTCAGTCCACGTCGTCGAGTATGGGTGTGGGTCTCGGTCCCCCCCTGCCCCCCCCCGGCGTGGCCCTGCCCCCCGGTGTGGCCCTAGGCCCCGGCGCGGGCCCCAGCAGTGGTCGCCTGTCGTCGTGCGTCCCCGACGTGGCCATGGCGCCCAACGCCAATACTCATCTACTGGCCGCGCCCTACTGCAGACCCACCGCCGGTGAATATATCTAATATATAAAATTCTCGTGTCGCGGTGTTTGCGGTTAAACTCCTCCGAAACGGCTTTCCCGATTCTCATGAAATTTTGTGTGCATATCGGGTAGGTCCGAGAATCGGACGTCTATTTTTCATCCCCCTAAATTTTTTTGTTTTCGATTTTAGATATTTTATTTTTATTTTTTTATGATACATTCATATCATACAAAAATACATACATCCCTAAATTTTCAACTTTCTACCACCGACCCCTATTTTTTTATGGCGGTACGAAGTTCGCCGGGTCGGCTAGTAGTATCTATATATACGACACTCACACTGTGGTGGCTACATCTATATGCCCCACATTTTTTTATTGTGATAAAAACGACAACATTTATCACACTTTAACATTTTTCAGTATCACACATTTTAAATGATTGTCATAATATGTCATAAAACGTCAATATTAATATGACATACTATAAATAGTTTAGCATATAGCTAACATGGAGAAAATAATCTTACGCTTCCTCAAAAGATGGCGTTACCGGCGCTGCGCTCACAGCGTATATAAGGAAGCCTAAATCGCGCAAGTGAAATTCGGCGACTAACACTCGATATATACGATGCCTGGGCCGCGGTACCCGAGCTATCATCACCCAGCTCGGAGGAAAATATTCCTCTTTGGCCTTCCTCCGACACCAATAGGGTATTTGACAGTGTTAAAAATAAAGTGCCAATTGTTAGCATCTGTGTTTAGAATTAATATTGACAGGGGATTTTACTATTTCTACTAAAAAATATTCATAATTTTACTAAAAACTAACGAAAAAGATAATAGTTTACTTATCTATTATCACGTGACCCAAAACGGTTGGGATAAAATGACGTCACACGCAAGTAAACTTCCGGTTAAAGTGACATTACATTGTATCGTTTGACGTTTTAAAACATTCATGTGACGTCTCACACTAGTAAGACGCCATATTGTCCAGAGAAACGTTTTCGCGGCAACTTGAAAATGGAGATTTTGATTTGGTTATTTTTACTGAAATACACAACAGAATGATGAATATCCACTTTTCACGGACTCCATAAACATTAGTCAATGACGTGAGATCGTTTTCTAAAACTTGTCAAATACCCTATTTGTACAATATTTTTTAAAATTTAGTTTTCTTACTAAAATACACAACAGAATGATGAAAATCCACTTTTAATGGACTACATAAATATTATTAAAATGCGTACGATCGTTTTCTACAACTTGTATTGTAAATACCCTGTTATGTATTTACAATAACTCATAAGAAATCATTTTTTGTTTTTATCCCAGAATACAGCAGCGGTGTCCTACAGTTGGATTTAGGCGATGGCGCAACTCACACGCCCAGACCAGGTGAATATTACATTTCATTAAGTATTTAATAACATAAGTATTATGTTTATTCATTAATTATCATGATTTATCTTTATATATATAATTCTTCTGTGAGTGTGTATGTCACTGAACTTCTCTTAAACGACTGGACCGATTTTGATGAAATTTTTTGTGTGTGTTCAAGGGGATCTGAGAATGGTTTAGATTCACAAAGACGTGTAGACAGGACAAAGTCTGTCGGGTCCGCTAGTATCTGTATAAATGTTAGACTTAAGGTATGCATCTATGGGCTTACGTTAAAATAAAATGTAATATGACATATACGCAAAATAACATATATTATCACATACATCTAATATACATGCAAGAAAAACTGTTACATATGTATATTTACTTATAGATTTTTTTTTTCATTATTTCATCTAAGTTGTATCATTGATTTGAAAAATCTGACAAACTTTCGTTTTTGAATTAAATTTTTTTTCTCAATGGCTCTTTTAAATTACACAAATATACCATACTATTATAAAATTATTAACAATAGCCTTTTCGCGTTTAGCATTCAACAATCAACTCGACTCGTCACATCCTCCGACATATATTTTATCTAGAATTATAAAAATATATCCATGACTAAGTTACAAAGGCTCGTATTCATCATACAGTTACGTGTTGGGATGGAGTTCCAAATTATATGTCAGTTCACGCTTGACAATACTTTATTCTACCGCAGTTCATACACTCAATAAACACTATACTTCACGATACAAGTGTTTAAACAAGCGTACTTGAACACTTTAATTTCAGTTATAATTTTTTATTATTTTAAAGCAAGTAACTTGCTTGATGTTTAAATCTAAAGAAAATATAACTAGAAAAAATTCCACGCGGACCAGGCAGCAGACGGGACAATAATAAAAAATAATAACTATAATTGCTATTTCTTCTTTCAAATGTTCAATACTTGTAAAAGTATTCATTTGACATTGTGGGTTACCTACAATGCGAAGAGATGGCGCTGCCTTGCAGCTTAATAATGGCTAGAGGAATTTCGACGCGGCCTTAAGGGCCGCGGTAGCATAATTGGTCACTTTAATTTCACTTTGATCGCCTTTGGATTCGTGCCGAAATAGATCGCGCTTATATACGCCAATCGACAAAGTCACGTTAAATTGAGAGTTACCAGAGTTAACTAGCACCCGCGAGAGCGTGATACCTACTCAAACCTACTTACGTAACGCGCATAAGTTGTAAACAAGTGCATATGTCGTTGTAGTATTTACGCACCCTGCCCGAAAATAAGTTTCACTACTGCATACAGGAGCTCGATGGCGCAAGTGAGTAGTGCGTTCGGCTGCGATCGTTGAAGTTAAGCAACTTTCGCAGTAGTCGGTCATTGGATGGGTGACCAAAAATTTACTATCTCTCACTCCTCTGTGCTTCGGAAGGCACGTTAAGCCGTCGGTCCCGGCTGCATCTGCAGTCGTTAGCACCCGCCAATCCGCACTGGGCCCGCGTGGTGGGTCATGGCCCAATCTCCCTATTCCATCCATAGGTTCAGGCCTGTGCTCCAGCAGTGGGGACATTAATAGGCTGATGATGATGATGACTGCATACAGCTCCATTTATTAAAAATGTGATTACAAAATTATCGCAAGCACATAGTATTTTTATCATATTACATGTATATGTTTGTATGTATGTATCACGATATAGGATCGCGGGCTGCGCGTGCGCTGGCAGCCGGTAGAGAGAGGAGAGACTTTAGAGACTTGGCCGCTGGTGAGTGCAATACATATACAACATATATATACAGGGTGTAAAAAAAATATGACAAAGACTGAAACTACGCATTCTGTACACTGAAACAAGTCATATTTAAAAATACTAGCAAACCAGTGAACCAAATGTTCACCAAAACCTGATTTAAAAAAAAATGTATTTAATTAATTGAGAACTTCGGAGATTTTGTGTGGTTTCGTTTGAAATTCGTGTATTCTCGAAAACCGGAAGTGCTACGTTACTCGAATCCAGTTTGTAGTGTTATCAGACTATTCTTAACTTATAACTTAAATATTCTCTTTATCTATCTCTTACGGTTTGGTCGCTGAAACAGCACCACAGACAGACAGACGGACGGACTTGTCTAATAGATAAGGGATTGTAGGTGGGAAAAATTTGTATTTGTAAGTTAAAAAATACATTGTTTTTTTCCTGTACGCAATGTATAGCGCGACGCGCTCCTGTGACGCCACGTAAAGAATGTGTGTGTGTGTGTGTGAGTGCGTCGATAAAAAAGTTTCTAAATAAAGTTTTGAAAATATTAATGTATAAAATCTTGAAAAAAAAAAGTTTTGTCTTTGACCTTCAATAGCTCCATAACTATAAATTTCCCAGGTATGGTCCAGAAGAAAAAAAATATCGTCATGATGTGGAAAATACGTGGTCTTCGACTTCGTTATAGATTTTTTTACACCCTGTATATAGGCTCTAATTAATTATTACAATTATATTTTTTTAAGCATGTAACTGCTTGATGTTTAAACCTAAAGAAAATATAACTAGGCGCTGCCTTGCAGCTTAAGCAAAGGCTAAAAAAATTTCGACGCGGCCGTCAGGGCCGCGGTAGCATAATTGGTCAATGCATTCGCCCGGATTGCGAAGGGTGCGGGTTCTTGTCCCGTCCGCTGCCTGGTCGGCGTGGAATTTTTTTCTAGTTATATTTTCTTTTAATTTTAACAATTTTGAAATTTATATTTCGTGTCAAACTTAAGATAAACGATCTCGGAACGACAACTAAAATTTTTGATTCTCATTCAGTACACACTTAAAATATATATAAAAGTACATTTATAATAAAATAAGTATATTAGGTACTGAATGTAAATTACATCTTATATTTCGCTGAAAACAGATGAGGTCTGTTCTTTTGTTTTGTTACATTGTGTTATTAGTTATGAGCATATTTTGTAATCACTATTTATAATTACTAATTATTATATTGATTGCTAATCAAAATTTTGATATTTAGTTCTTTCCCTGAAATGGCTGGTTGCTAGGCGACGTTTTGACATTGAATACCTTCCTTAAACTAGTTTTAGAAATATTTTCAAAAGAAAAATGGCGAACTTCCATAAAGTTTGAGACCCAGACTTCAAGGCCCCGTTCTCGAATGAAATTTATAGATTTTCGTACTGCTAAATTAGTTGCTAACGTCAATTAGACATAATCAAATAAAGCTAGCACAAAAAAGATATAAGTATTAGGATTCATATTAAAAGTGAGGTTATGCTTTACTTACAATAGGGGTGATGACGGGGTACAGTAAACGAAATTCTATTTAGTCCGTCAGTTAGATGATCAAAAAATAATGGACAAAGTTATAGCGCGTCAAAGTTTGGGAGTAGGGGCTCGTGACGTCACTTTTAGTTAATTTTCACTTATAAGTGTACTCAAACGTGACGTCATGCGACTTTTCAAATCAATATATCTCTGCAATGTTTATATTATGTGAATAAAGAAAAAATACGTGTCCAATACTTTTTGATAATCTACCTGATACACGAAGAAAAAAATATTTGTCATCATCCCTATTATGTGTTTAAGATGTATTTATAGTGTGATTTTCATGATTTTGTTTCATATTTTCTTCTTCTCTATACAAAAACGCGATATCATAGACAGAAAAAATCACAATAAAATATTTTCCGTTTCACAGAAGTAAAAAACCAATATCCGTTTATAGTATATTAGAAAAATGTTTGAAAACAAAGTATTTTCTTCTTTATTTTGATAATGTTAACTTTTGTTTAATTTATTAAATAATTAAAATAGGGAAGATGCATATATAATATTTATGAAAATTTTATGATAAAAATGTTAAAAAAATATAAAAGAAATGCCACTGCAACGTTTTTATTTTACATAATGTTGTTTTTTAACAATTATTACGAATTAAAAATACTTGAAACGGAACGTATTTTAAAACACCAATCAGCGTTTAGTGACGTCACTCCTGTTATGACAACTTCTTTGAGGTTATGGTTGTTAAAGTAAATATTATTTTATGGGAATATTTAGTGCGTTTTTTTACATTTAATAAAAATGGAAGTTGCGTTTATCAAAGCAGACTCCAGGAATTTACCAAGAGTTAGCGTTGACATGGTTATAACTTTTTTTGTCCAAAGTGCAGAGTTTTTAAGTGTAGAAATGAAAGGGACTAAATTACTACGGTATGTAAAAATCGTAGTTGTTAAACTTCGTATTTTATTCAGCGGCTTCTACAAATCTTACGGCGATAATGCAATCGGCTATGTCCAAATTAAAAGAGATGGAAAATTATGTACAGTAAAAGGTCGAGTTCTCCGGAGCATAAAGTACGTAAAGAAGGTTATCGTGTTACAGTTATTTTAAATGAAACGCAAAGCTTGGTTCAGTCCTGCCAATGTGAAGATTGTGCCACACATTTTAAACTTTATCTAATTTTCGACGTCATTCTCCAACTGTAAAATTAAAAATATGTTATAGACAGGTTTTGTAAGTATTAGGTAGGTTACTAATGCGTTTTTACGTACAAGCAGATTAATTAAGCATATAACAAGTATATACGCCGACTTACATCAAAGTGATCTTCTCAGCATCGAATAATGGTCTTTGGAGAATAATTGTCATTTCTCTTCGCAGCTTCAAACCACTTTTTTTTCAGTTTAGGGTTAGAAGTTCCAGTCAAAAACAATTTATTTGGGAACTTTGTTGAAGTAGATTGGCACAAAACATGAGTCAACACGGCTTTTTTTCGGAATATTAGTGGTATTGTTATGATCACATGATGTTGATGGATAGTCCATTTTAAATTTTTCAAAAAAATATTTCGAAAGTCGAAAAAATATGCAAAAGTATGAAAATTTAAAGCCAGCAACGAACAATTACGACCAGTGACAGACAGGAGTGACGTCATCGCAACCATAGGTTCGTTTTCGCGCGAAAATTTAAATTGTCAATTTAAAACCGCATTTTTTCCGATAAATCAATTGTTTTAAATTTTTAATACATCTGTGGTTTATTCTACATGGAATTCTTTAAAATGAAAACAAAAATAAAAATATTGCATCTTCCCTATTATTTAGTTACATAGAGTGAAGCAATAGCTGCTATTATTGTTATTCTAAAGTGAAAACTACTGCATAAGCCGGAACTGAACCACGACACTGTTTTCGCGTTCCATTATAGCTATGGAAAATGTGATCTTTCGATGTAGAAACCTAAATTATTTTATTTCTGAATGCAAGCTTTTATAAATCTAGTTTATATTTTAAAAATTACTGTATAATGCGATTCAACTACGAATAGGACCGACCGGGCGCCATATTTTGACGTCATAGCTGTCAATTCAAACCAAATGGTAGAGTGAGCAAAAAATGGTTTTATTTAATACAACTTCTAACTAAGATTAAGTGAGAAAAAACATCAGACTTTTATATTAAAATATTTACTAAGATTGAGAAAAAAAAATAACTAATTTTTAATAATATTTATTTATTAAGACTGTGTGAGAAATAACATAAATCAGACTCTAGCTCTTCTATTCCGCTCATCTCTGCATTACCGCCTGAGTAGTTATGAATAATCATGCACTATTACTAGGTCACATACGTACATGCATCCTTTAGGTAAACGAAAGTTTATTAATAAATAAAGTGATATTAATTATCAATATTTGTCATTGTTCGTTTACAAATGTGTGGTTTTGATTCTAGAATTAGCAGAGTGCTAAAAAAGGGCTCCTAGATTTTTTTTGCAAACCGTATTTTTCAAGCGACATTTGACAGATGGAGGTTATCGGCTTTCCTATTCTTATTTGAATCGCATTCTAAGTCCCCTAATTTAAAATTTTAACGTTGCTATCATTGAACGGCTTCTAAAACATTCGGGCCTACATTCGCCGTTCTTCTTTCACTGTAATATTTTTGTTCAATCGAATACGTTTATTGCACAGTGTACTCCTCGTTTCAACCTCGAACGAATAGCCCCGGCTCGAGCGGTAGTAACCCTGGCAATTTGGGTAGTAATTCTGCCAATTTGGGCAGTAACTCTGGCAACATGGGTAGTAACTTGGGCAACATGGGCAGTGGGTCGAGCAACATGGGTAGTGGGTCGGGTAGTATGGGTAGTGGCGGGGTGGTGGGCCGGTGCCGCACGTTACCGCCCCCGTGTCGAGAGCTACCTCCCTCCACGCATCGACCTCATCATGGTGAGTTTTTTTTTTTATTGCTGTTTTTGTAGTTAGAAGTTTACTGTGTATATTTTGTCAAATGAATACTTTTACAAGTATTAAACGTTTGAAAGAAGAAATAACAATTGTAGTTATAATTTTTATTATTTTAAAGCATGTGACTGCTTGATGTTTAAATCTAAAGAAAATATAACTAGACAAAAATTCAGCCTTACAGCTTAAGAATGGCTAGGGGAATTTCGACGCGGTCGTCAGGGCCGCGGTAGCATAATTGGTCAGTGCATTCGCCCGGATTGCGAAGGGTGCGGGTTCGAGTCCCGTCTGCTGCCTGGTCCGCGTGGACTTTTTTCTAGTTATATTTTCTTTGGAGTTGAACATCTAGCAATTAAATGCTTAATTTTTTAAATTTAATTTTTATTATTTATAAAAATTATAGTTAGAAGTTGTTGGTTATTTCAATGAATAATTGAATACAGGCGGTCCTCGTCCTTACGGTATGTTAGGTTCTCGAAATACGCGACGTAAATTGAAACGACGTAAGTCGAGACATCCTCACGGATGCTGGCCCCGCGGACGTTGACCTCGCGACGAGTGAATTCTCCTATGTCGGAAATCGAAACAATTGACGTATGTTTGAATAATTTAATATAAGAAGGAGATAGAAAGCCTCTCTGAGTTTGTTTCGCCGGTTCTTCTTAGAAAGGTCTCCCAATTTTGGAACCGGTGGTAGTTTACGGTAGTTAGGGTCAAATTAATAAACACAGAATTACAAAAAAGAATTTTAAATAAAGAACTTTATTAACTAATAAATTCATACGTAGACAATAAAGTTTTAAAAATCTTCCAATGAAATATCCGAACGCTCAATAAAAGTCTTTCGAAGGTAGCTCGACAAAGTAAATAAAAAATCATTATTCTGCCGATGCAGACCTGAAAAGGCTGCGAAACGTTAAAATTATAAATAAAGTTCGTGTATTAACTCGTTAAAACTAGTTTTATTTAATGGGTGATATGCGTGAAAACCTAAGAATCAAATATTGTTTGACGTAACTTGAAGCGACGTAAGTCGAGGACTGCCTGTTCATTTTATTTCTTATAAAATGTTACACACATTTTAGGTAGGTATAGAAAACAATTTTAGTAATATTATAAATGTGAAAGTTTGTTTGTTACTCAATCACTCATAAATTACTGAACTGATTTGGATAAAATTTGGCAAGCATATAGTTTATGACTTGGATTGAGACATAAGATACTTTTTATCCTGGAAAAGTGTTGAGTTCCTGAAGAATTCTCTAAACACCGAAGTTGTTTTTTTGTTATTCGTTTAACTTATTCGTATTAATGCTGGCACTTCACTTGGCTATTCGTGTTTGCTGTTTGTAAATTTGACAAAAAGTCTGTCTTTATCATAGTTTATAAGGATTGTAAAAGATTCCTCACACATTTCATTGACAAATGTTGGACATCGTCGGTTATATTACAATCTGTTCAATTAGGGGAATTAACTTTCTTCATTATATATCCCAATTTAACAAAACAAGTTTCAATAGGGTATTTGATAGTGTTAAAAATAAAATGCCAATTGTTAGTATCTGTGTTTAGAATGAACAAGGGCAGGGGTTTTTACTATTTTTACAAAAAAAATATTCTTAAATTTACTAAAAACCCACGAAAAAGATAATAGTTTTCTTATCTATTGTCACGTGACTCAAAACGTTCGGGATTGGCGGAGCCTAAAATGACGTCACACGCAAGTAAACTTCCGCATAAAGTGACATCACATCGTATCGTTTGACGTTTTAATAACAGTCTTGTGACGTCACACACTAGTAAGACGCCATATTGTCCACAGAAACGTTTTCGCGGCAACTTGAAAATGGAGATTTTGATTTGGTTATTTTTACTGCAATACACAACAGAATGATGAATATCCACTTTTTACGGACTCCATAAACATTAGTCAATAACGTCAGATTGTTTTTTAAAACTTGTCAAATGCCCTAAAAAGGATCCGAAACGTCAATAAATAAATAAATCAGTGCATGTATACCGTTGAAACTTGTTTTATTTAATGAGTGGTGTGCGTGAAAACCTAAGAAACAAATGTATCCAAATCTGTTTTAATCGGAAATGAGATTTAATTGAACAGATGCCGTAGTGTATGTGTATATGTGTGTGTAATGACGTCACTTGGCCCCAGGCACGCGCTCGCGGTCCGGCGCGGGGGCCTCGCATGTGCAGCACGCGCCACGTATGTATATATATAATACCTTGATTGTCTATATATCTGTCTAATATATAAAATTTTATATGCATATTCAGTAGGTCTGAGAATCGTACTACATCTATTTTTCATCCCCCTAAATGTTAAGGGTCCACCCTTAAATTTTTTTCTTGGACAAAATTTTCTTGTTTTTATTTTTTTTTATGATACATAACACAAAAATACATACAACCCTCAATTTTCACCCTTCTACCACCAACCACTATTTTTTTATGGCGGTACGAAGTTCGCTGGGACCGTAACTTTATTCACATACTTAAAAATAAGCAAATTTAAATTAAGTTATTTTAAGTAAATGTAATGAACTATTTATTAAAAATTTTTGTTTTATCAAACGGAGACTTCTTACGATTCGTGTATATTCAATCTGTCTCCAAATCGTTTGTTTAACTTGCACTTCTCTTACGTTTTGATATGATATTTGAAAGATGTAGTTACAATCTTCTATCATATTTGAAGTATTTTAAATATCTTTCCATTTGGTCATCATCATCATCATCAGCCTATTAATGTCGCCACTGCTGGGGCACAGGCCTTCCCTATGGATAGAATAGGGAGATTGGGCCATGACCCACTACGGTGAGTGCTAACGACTGCAGATGCAGCCGGGATCGACGGCTTAACGTGCCTTCCGAAGCACGGAGGAACTCGACATAGTAATTTTTGGTCACCCATCCAATGACCGACCACTGCGAAAGTTGCTTAAGTTCAACGATCGCAGCCGAACGCGCTAACCACTTGCGCCTTCGAGCTCCTTATTGGACATATAAAGTTGATAAATTGAGTTAATTTAAGTTTATTCATATTATCCAATTTTTAAAAGATTAAATTTGATATTTTCTGATCTTCTGTCCTTTGACATCTTGAATTATAGAACTCTAAAGGGAGCTATAATAATTGCATGTAAAGTTCCTTAATAAAGTTATAGTCATTTTGTGTTTTTTAAAACGTACGAAAGGCGCCTTTCTGTAGCGAATATGCACAGATTTTTAAAGTGATAACTTCTTATGGGAGGGTTCACCGCTTCGTTACGTAACGCGTTACGCCGCCAGTCTGTCTGGCTTCCCCTTCATCGCGAAAGTGTGACTTGATTACAAGCATTCGGTAAAAAAATCTGTTACATATTCGGTACAGAAACGGACAAGAAATGATACCGTGTATGTAATGTATCTACATAATATATAATTTGTTGCGTACGGCAGTTTTTTCTTATTACTGAAGTGAAACTTGTTTTCGGACGGGGAGTAAATGAAAACATCCTATGGAAAAGTTGAAACGGAAATGCGTTACGACTGTCACACGACACTATATATACAGGGTGTTACAAAAATAGAAATAAAGCTTGAAGGGCGTTGAAGTACATCATATAAGGAGTCTTCTCTAATTTTCTTAAAATGTCGAAAAAATCCTCGAATCAGTGACGTGTCTTAAAATGACCGATATTTTTATTAATCATTAAAAAAACTATTTTTATACAAAGTTTTGACTTTGTATAAAAGAAAATTGGAGAAGATTCCTTATATGATGAACCTCAACGCCCTTCAAGCTTTATTTGTATTTTTGTAACACCCTGTATATATAAATATATATATGTATGGATGCGTGCGCAGCTCTTCCTGACGAGCATGTAAGTTGGAAGGTTATAAGGCTGACACGTTACGATCGTCGCACGCGATAAATATATATATCAACATATTGTTACGTGTCGGGATGCGGTTCGAAATTATATGCCAGTTCACGCTTGACAGTTCTTTATTCACACCACTCAGTTCACACAATTAACACACAATGTTTATTACAAAACACTCACTAAACACTGTATTTCACTATACAAGTCTCTAAACAATCTCACTTGAACACTTTTGTTGCGCTTTGATCGCCTTTGGATTCGCTCCGAAATCGCTGTTGAAACTCGAGTGTCTCTGCGCGGCGCCAATCGCGCTTATATACGCCGATCGACGCATTCTAGAAAGTACCTGTTAAATTGAGAATTCGCTAGCACCCGCGAGTACGTAGTATCTACTTATACCTACGCAGGTAACGCGCATAACTTGTAAACAAGTGCAGATGTCGTTGCACTTTCTTCCTTACGCCGCACTGCATAAGGCTCATTTTAGAATGAGCCGCATTTATCGACCTTAGGCTTGTTGAAAATATATCGGTGTATCGATATATCGATATTTTTTGCCGATATATTTTGATTCGATATATCGATACATCGATACAAAATAACCAATATCGAAATTCGTATCAAAAACGATATTTTTTTAATTATTAGCGGCATATCATGATCTAACTAAATTGGTATCTGGAAAAATCGTAACTGGATCTCAGATAAATGATATTCAACATATTTATGATCTGTGCTGTATATAGTATTGTCTATTATTTGTAAATATGTTTCGCTGGTGAATTGGTTGTGCTGATTTCCATTATATTCTGTGAAGTGTGTGACTGTCTAGTCTTGTTAACGAAAGAGACCCTGCAATCATTTACCTGAGAGGCCCTGCAATCATTTTCATCATTCGAAAATAGGGTCTATTTTTAGGGAGAGAATTTTCGTTCCATTATTATTCCGCGTGTCATATTTCGTGAGCTACTGTACGATATTTTTGGGAAAATTGGTCCGATATATCGATGTTTTTTTCGCGATATATCGAAGCCGATATTGATATTTATTAATATTTTATATTAAAAAAAAATACGGTTTGATATAAATAAGAAATTATGTGTTCCTATGACATTTTAATATTCATTGTGTGTATGACATTATAATAATATTAACTTGACCTTTGATTTTTAATTATTTTATTTGATGGAAATTATTAAATTTAAATTATGTAATTTATTAAATTAAATAAATGATTAGGTGTATTTTAAGAGACATGTGCCTATTTCTACAATAATTGATTATGCATTATTATTATGATTATGAGTTATGTTGCTCGAAATAAATGAATTTTATTTTATTTATTTATTTATTTATTAAAAGATCGATGTATCGATATATCGATATTTTTTTCAACTTTCGACATCCCTAATCGACCTCTATCGCGACCCACGGTGCTCTGGCATATTGGATCTCTAGCACTTTCGCGGTTACGTTTCGAGAGCGTTTGTGGCAATATATATGAGTGATGCGTGCGTTGCTGCATTCCCGTATGCCTTATGCGTCGCTGCATTCCCGTATGCCTTATGCGTTGCTCCATTCCCGTATGCCTTATGCGTCGCCTAATGTTGGGTTATTTAAGAAAACAAGTTTCACTTCGGACGTGCACAATATTATTTTTACATTATCAGCTAATTAATACCTCCCACTGTTGCGGTACACGCATCGCTATGGATGAAACAGGGAGATTGGGTTATGATCATTGCATTATTGCGTAGGCAAACTTTATTTTTTTTTATTTTTGTCGTTAAATTTGTTATATCGAATAATTATATATATTCGTTTTCTATTGTCTATAGTTTCAAAGCCACTGATAGTTCATAAACTTCATTATTTACATGTGGTTTCAGTTTGTCTTTCTGTTTGTTTGTTTAATTAAAATTCGGTCCGTCCGTACTGTCTCTCAAGCATGATGTGGCTACCTTCCCTTATGAGTTACCTCATATTGAAGGCATTTTTCAACTTGACGACTCTGTATACAATACAGGGAGAAAAAACAGCCCTTGCTGGGTTTCTTGCCGGTTCTTCTCAGTACAAGGTCTCCCGCCGTAGATTTGCGAACCGATGGCGTAGCTTTTCGACATTCACAAGTGCTTGTAACAGCCTAGGCTGAATAAAAGATATTGAATTTTGAATAGAATGTTGCATTTTGTATGTATTACTATAATGTTTAAAAATAAGATTTAATGTAATTTTCTCTGGTGGTTTTAATAAATAAATAAATAAATTGCATTGGACGGGCAACGAACCCTTATTATTTGGAGTTCCTCTTAAACCGTTGTTGAGTCATTAGCACCGCACTGGGCCCGCCGTCCCTGTTCCACCCATAGGTTGAGGCGCGTGCCCCACAGTGGGTCCGTTGATGCTGACGTGTATGCCCGGTGGGTCCGCAGTCCCGGGGCGGGGCTCCAGTCCCGGGTTCCGGCGCCACGCGCTGCTGCAGCCGCACGAGGACTACAGGTCAATATTCTATACACGATCTATATTTATAATAACAATAATATTTATAAACAATATATAACTAGAAAAAAATCCACGCGGACCAGGCAGCAGACGGGACTCGAACCCGCACCGCAGTTATATTTTCTTTAGATTTAAACATCTAGCAGTTGCGTGCTTTAAAAATTTAAATTATAACTATAATTGCTATTTCATCTTTCAAATGTTTAATACTTGTAAAAGTATTCATTTGACATTGTGGATTACCTGCAATGCAAAAAGATGGCGCTGCCTTGCAGCTTAAGAATGGCTAGAGGAATTTCGACGCGGTCCATGAGGGCCGCGGTAGCATAATTGGTCAGTGCATTCGCCCGGATTGCGAAGGATGCGGGTTCGAGTCCCGTCCGCTGCCTGGTCCGCGTGGAATTTTTTCTAGATATATTTTCTTTAGATTTAAACATCAAGCAGTTACATGCTTTAAAAATTTAAATTATGAATAATATTTATTTTCCTGAAGTGTGTATGTCTGATGGGCTAGCGGGATAAGCGATTGGCCACGTGGTTTGTCTTGATCCGCCATCTTGGGTATTCGATGTTATTTTCCCAAAATAAAACTGTAGTCTAATAAGCAAGCTAATGTTTAATTTAAATCTTTAAATCACTTTACAAAATATGTTATGATTGCAAGGGTACTAATGGATTGTTTTATGAAGCGCGGAGAGTTCTGTGCTAACGTCCGTTCACTATCGCGGCTCACGTCTGAATGCCCCTTCCAATGAAGCATAGCCCGTTAAATATTACCCTTTTTATTCTAAATAGCTTCGTTCAGCTTGTGCATTTAGCCAATGTCAAGTGTTACATATAGGTATACAAATACTATAGCACTCGTGGTCAAAGTAATAAGTCAAGTCAAAGTAAGCGGCAGTCAAGTCAATCCCCCTTTCCCCATGTTTCAGTAAATGTGTGGGGATTTACTGGAACCTCCCCGTGGACTTGTTGAGGGAACGTCGAAAGACACTTTCCGCTATTTCGTTTCACTTGCCAACACTTGTGCATGTTCCCGAACACTTAGTGGTTAATAATCCACCATTATTAGACACTAACATCCGCCACAACACAATTTTTAACAAGAAAAACAAAACTGCTAAAGTGACGCTTCCCGATCCTGCCAAAAACTCCAAATACTACCCTTAGCATAGACCGCTTCCAAGTGATGACAGCTGTCACTGTCATTACTTGACGTTTCACAAGGCAACGGTACACTGACTGATGACATTTGTTGTCGGTTTAACGTTTCGAAGGAGCGAATGAGACGCCATCCGCCGACATGTACATAATTTAGATGTTATTTTTCAAAAAAAGGTTTTTTGTTGGCGCCAATTTCCGCCATCACTAGCTTGCAAATATATTATCAGAAATGTCAAAAAAAACATGAAATGAATTATATTTTTTAACTGTTAAATCTTAAGAAAATGTTGCTAGAAAAAATTCTTGGGACTCGAAACCGCACTTTCCACTATCCGGACGGACGCACTGACCAATATACTGCCGCGGCCCTAATGGCAGTGTCGAATTTTCTCTAGTATTTCATAGGCTGCAAGGAACATAGTTACTAACTCATATTGTATTTTGATATTTACCCAATATTCCAGACACGAGCAAACGTACGATGACTGTGACCCCACGAGCCGCGGGCCGTGCCCCAACAACTACGCGTGAGACATCAACGCCCAGACACTGAAAGCATCTGAATTCATGTCAACCATATATTCTGTACTGTTGTATATGTCAGAACTTACTCGTATCATGGGGTTATATGTGTAGAAAATATATTTGACAGATATCAAATCAAATTGTTTATTTACGGGAAACATAGTCAAATTCAATTCAAATTTTTAATATTATATTCATTAAGATAATTAGCAGCATTTTTTCTAATCTGAGAGAGCAAAATAATTAATGAATTTTCTAAAACATCATTAAATAGAAATGATTTCTTTTTGGTCTTCCCGTCATGTGATTATAAACGCCTATGATTGGCGAATTCTACAATGACATCACACGCTAGTAATTTTCTGGTCAAAGCCACATTCCGTCGTATCGTTCTAAAGACAGTCGTATGACGTCACATACCAGTAACACGCCATAATGTCCACAGAGAAAAGTTTTCGCGGCAATTAAAAATGGATTTATTTTACTAAAATACACAGAATGATTAATGTCCACTTTTCATGGACTCCATAAACATTAGTAAATAAAATGGGGTCGTTTTCTAAACCTTATCAAATACTTTGAAATGTTTTAATTGCTAAATACTTACTTAATCCATCCTTATTTATAAATAAAATTAATGGTAGCCGTCACTTGACGCCTGGCAGATGTGAAACATGTACATTATTTTGTGAAAGTAATATGAAGAACAGATTGCGATAGAAACTAAATATGGCGTAATGATAAAATAAAATATATTTATATATTAAATACAAAAATCGAATTCGATTGCGCATGGCGATGCGTCGCCACACCGTACACACTACTGCATACAGATTATTTATATATACCATCAGATAGCGGCGACATGAGTCGCCACGCCAGAAATTACGGTTTTACACGCGTCTATGTTTTTATGTTTCACATCAAACATAATCTTGTTTTAAATACATCAATAATAATAATAATATTTCCAACACTCACACCACTTAACCTAGTCCCAAAGTAAGCACTATAAGGCTTTTGTTATGGGTTATTAGGGTAACGGATAGAATACATATACTGTACATATATAAGTATATTTATATAGAATTATATATTAAACATCCATGATTGGAGTACAAATGCTCGTATTCATCACACAAACATCTGCCCCCACCGGGATTCGAACCCGGGACCTTTCGAGTCGGCGACACCATGAATACCGGCGTACAAACCACTCGGCCATGGAGGTCGTCAAATAATGAATTTATATTCTTTAATGTTAGTATTACTCATGTCATTAAGTAAAGAATCGCAAATTACGACGTAAGAGATTCTGCGTCTCTCTCAGATGCTATCCTAACGTGCGACAGAGACAGCATGTCTTGCGTCGGCATTCGAGAATCCTTTCTTTAATGACACGAGTTATAGTGAAAAGTGTTGGTCAACTTTGACCAGCAATGGTCAAGAAAAAAAATTTGTTGTACCTTTTAATATTTAGCTACATTTTGCACTTACATTTTAAAAGGAACAACAAAATGCGAATACTGCATAATTATTTAAATTTCAGATATTTTGTAAAATAAAAAAAAAAATTTTCTTTCTTTTCCTAAGAGTCAGAAAATTTCTTTTTAAAGTTAAGTTTAAAGTTTAATAAGATTTATTAAGGGAATTTAGTTTTCATGAATGACCTTGAGAATTAAGAGAAAAAAAATGTATTTTCAAAACTAAGTAATATTTCTTACTGTCGAAAATATATTACTCAATCCAATAATAGTGTCAATCTAAAGATGTTTTTTTTTTCTAAATCCTTATTATTTTTGTTTTATTTCTAGTCGATATTCTTGTCATATCTCATAAGTTCTACTTTCTTATAAACGCATCATGAAAGAGCCAATTTAATATTTTAAATGAAAGCGTTGTGAATTTTAAAATATTTCTCTCATGATTAATACTCCATTTGTTTTTTTTCCTTTAATTATATTATTTTTTCACACTTAACCCGATCATATAGAACAGTTCTGGCAAAAAAATACTGCGATATAAAAATATAGGTACTGAGTTGTGACAAATAAATACAAAATAAATGAATATATATGTAGTTGTTCATTTATAAACATTCATAATGTCACGAGGTAACTATGGACAGGTGTGTCTCTGACATACTTAAGTTGATATTTTTTTTATGCTGGCACTTCGCTCTGCCTAAAGTATTTGCTTTTTGTAAACTGGACATCAGTCTGTCCCTCCCGTTCCTTACAAAACATGATAAGGACAGATTGTTGTCAAGTTTACAAATAGATAATACGAATACACAAGTGATCTGTCAATATTACAATCAAAAATTGTTTGTAAACTATTCTGCATTTGCTGTTTGTAAACTTGACAAAAGTCGATTTTACTTCACTCGCTGTCATTTGTCAAGTTTGACAACTTGCTGTCATTTTGTCAAGTTTGACAACTTGCTGTCATTTTGTCAAGTTTGACAACTTGCGGTCATTTTGTCAAGTTTGCTACTTGCTGTCAGATTGACAAATAGCAAATGCGAATGGCCATGTCAAGTGCTAGCATTGTATAATTCCATGAATAGTCGAGTAGTGAAGTCGTACCGCCAGTATCATACACGTTGTATGGCCGTGTATGGATGAGAGGACCACAGTAGTGTTGTGATCGCGGTGTTACATACAAACATACATATAATCATACATTGATCTCATCTTGCGAGCGTGAATCGAAGGCTATATCTTGTAAGACCATACAATATTGTTCGTGCAAACACTTTGTGTATGACACAAATTGTGGGTAATATTATTTATGTGTTTAACATTACTAAAATTTTGTTTAAAATTTTACTATAAAAGAACAGGAAAACTTTATACCTATATGACAATAAAAAATGTCGAAAGAATATTGCTATTGGATTATTGTCAATAATTTATTGATTATTTTGTTGATTTTTATTAGTATAAATTATTTATGTTAATATTGTTTGGCCGATGGAGATGGAAGAATTCATTTTTTTATTCACTACGTAATCGATTTTATATTTTAGGAATATTACAATGAATTGTGTCATACACAAGCGTGCTTTGGTCATGCGTATAATGTTATAAATAAATACTGTAAATAGTTACAAATTATTGTTAAGTCAAGGCGCGTCATTAATTGTATATTTTAAACGCGGCGTCAATACAAAAATGGAATATATTCATTTTGTTTCTAAATATTTTTTAATCTTATTTATTTTTCCTATTTATTATAATCAAAAACCATTCCAGATATTTACTACCTAAAACTGTGCTACTTAAATTGTTTTAATTATGTAAAAAAAAAAAAAAATTTTGCTGAACTGAAAATGATGTTACATTTCCTGTTTTTGTTTTTTCTCCAACAAGACGCCCCGTGTGTATAATGTTGAGTAGTGGTAAGAGTTAGTCGACCAATCCTGTGTATATATACGTGTATATGTGTGTATAACCGGGGTGCGAACACTGTTTCAGGCCAAACAAGGTTGTTTTAGGCCAAATTAAGTTTGAATCACGCTACATTAGTCTGACTTAAATTAAAATTATTTTTAATGCAAATTGCGAGCTACTACGAATTTTTTGGATACATTTTTAATTTATTCATTTAAAGAGAGGTTCGTTCGTTGATACTATAAAGGCTTCTTATTTCACCGCCCATTTGGGAAACAAGCTCCATTTATACAAGGCCATGATGAAATAACACTATATTTATGTGATACGGCTATATACATTATATCTTGCTGGCCATACATCCAATAAAAATATCTAAAGCCTTTTAAACTAATTTGGCCTAGGCCAAAAGAAGTTCGACCTTAAATAAGACTTACACCGTTTAAACACACACAAATATGTACACAAGCATATTATGTATAAATAATGAATAAATAAGAAATAGTGTAAGGTTTATTCCTGTACAATATTATACGTATGAGCACAGGTATCATATCAGTGGATATAACACGCTTGCCATGCGAATATAGACTTTATTCCAATTATAATAAGAAATGCAAAAGCATATTGCATCCGTTGATATGGTATTTACTGTTCTTTATACAGGGCGTCCCGCGGGTTTGTGACAAGGAGGGAAAGTATATAATATTGATGATTGAAAACGTAATCATCATGATTTACCCTTTCGACGGTTATCATACTATACACGTTTTTTTCTAAAGAAAATATAACTAGAAAAAATTCAACGCGGACCAGATAGCAGACGGGACTCGAGGCAGCGCCATCGCTTCGCGCTGCTTTGCAGCTTAAGAATGGCTAGAGGAATTTCAACGCGGTCCGTAAGGGCCGCGGCAGCATAATTGGTCAGTGCATTCGCCCGGATTGCGAAGGGTGCGGGTTCGAGTCCCGTCTGCTGCCTGGTCCGCGTTGAATTTTTTCTAGTTATATTTTCTTTAGATTTAAACATCAAGCAGTTACATGCTTTAAAAAATTAAAATTATAACCATGTTTTTTTTTAAATTTTCCCAGTTGTAGCAGGCGATTTTTTTTTAAATTTCTGAATGCAGTTCTAATAGTGATTAAAAATAAAATGATGTCTTCTTTCAGTAAAATATCCTATCTTCAATATTTAACATACCTTTCCCTCCGTGTGAGTAACCCGTGGGACGCCCTGTATATAGCCTGTTTCAATAAAATTTATATACAAGATTCAGCTACGACTTTTAAGACGGAGCCTTTGCATCGGTTTGTCCTTTTCATTCCTTATAAAGCTTGACAAGGACAGACTCGTATCAAGTTTACAAAAAGACAAAAAGACATGATAAAAAAGAAGTTAGGATCTTTTCTTTTAAGTATGGAAACCTTACCCTTATACTTGTAGAAAAATATTGTAATTGGATAATTTCTTATAAAAAAATTCAGACTCAAATACCGAGCGCTGTCTCGATAAGTTATATTGAAACGGGCTATATAATTATGATGTGTTTAACAGCTCGGCGGGTCAACAAAACACTGTTTTGTAAGCCTATTCAATTTTATACTCTATCGCGTTGTGCGTAAAGTTTAAAATCGTCTGGGAGGTAACTTTGTTACTCGTAAAGCCAGTTCGTATATGTATATATGGCATTCCGTTGGTTGCAGCAACGATCAGAGTTGAATAAACTGTATATATATATATACATATATATTCATAATTATTATTGTGGTTGTTCGGTCGAGTTGAATGTATTCGCTAGATGGCGCTGTTGTTATGATGGCGCTTGTCAATTTGTTTTTATAAGTTAAAATAAAATTTGCTTAAAATAGGTGTATGTATATAAATTAAAATTTCCGGAATAATTACTGTTTTAGGTTATATTTGACGTATTTATGGACGTAATTGAAGTAAACGTATTTAACTGCCACTTTTATTTGCGCTAGCTTAATATTAACTTAACACGTCACTTAGCGAAGTGTTTTATGTAATTGACAATAGCAACATGTTGTAAAGCGTAAGGGATACTTACTAACATGTTATAAACGAATAAAATGAATTTTGACGTTCATGTGGCGATAAAGCCTTAGAAATTACGTTAAAATTTTTTGTATGAAATTAAATGAAGTTATGGTTTATTCAAATTGAAACTAAACTAAATACACCTTTACCAGTATTTTTCCCAGATATTTCTTTATTGTATTTAAAAAAATGTGAAATTGTAACAACAGCGCCATCTATATTATTGCTACGAACCGCCTGAAATATATTTTTTATTTGTGAAATCCATGTTTCCGAATTCGGTTTATGAAATATATTTATTATGATTAATCATTATTAAACGTTAATAGCAATATTGTTCATATGGTTTTCTTTTATTTTATTCCTATGCAAAATCTTTTCTGACATCGTTTAGGTAACTAATGAGAAAATTGCACATCCTCTGATGCTTTTGAAAACAAGTATCTTTGTGGCGTTATAGTAATGCATTAGTGCATTACTATATAGCTCTGTGATTATTATCTCTTTCGGCCAACGATATGAAATACCCTAGATACACAACGTGCGCTCAAAATGTGTCCCAATCAAGAAGTGCTTGAACATGACTAGAGCACTTCTTGGTTCACAATCACGCGCGGACCGTTGAAAAGCCATCGTGCTGCTGAGCTCCGTGAAAAAATGCGAAATAAATACTTATAGTATGTAAAATGTCGTTTTTTCGACAGGTATCAAATCAATGTTTGTTAATTTAACGCATCTGAAGCAAATTTTGTTTTAATACATACTATAAACTGATTTCATAGAGAATATTTGTGATATTCAAATGCATGGTCGGTAATAAAGCTGTCTCCTTTCCTCGCGGTCCGTACCCGCTATATTGCTAACAGCGCATTCAGAGTTGCGCGTAGAGTCAAAGAAATAAGGTCTATATTCTTCCGCATATAGCAATAAGTCGTAAAATTTTACGAGTTTGCATTTCGAACTGTCATAACTCTGACGCATGCGTTTTATTTTGGACCTTATAGAATATGCTTTAAAAGTGATTTTCAATGTTTGAATTATGCCTTATATTGTTTTAAATAACGCGATCACCTGACGGAGCTCTGGATCGGCCAATGTACCTTTTGGACAGGTTTCGGGCACGATTTTGTTCGTGTTGGTGTATCTAGGGTATTTAGTATCGTTACTTTCAGCTGCCAAACGCAGTTTGCGTAGAAGCCTACAGGATCCTTATTAATTAAAAACGACGAAAATATTATTGATGTAAATTGGTCTGTCATTTGGAGCTAAAAAGCTAAACTTAACTTGAAACCATCATCATCAGCCTATTAATGTGGGGACATTCATGGTGGGTCATGGCCCAATCTCCCAATTCCATCCATAGGTTCAGGCCTGCTCCCCACAGCAGTGGGGACCGCTAGGGCACAGGCCTTCCCTATGGATGAAATAGGGAGATTGGGCCATGACCCACCATGAAACAGGCATGATAAATGAAACACAAGAGTAAATCATAAACAGTAATCTTTATTATGAGATTATTCAACGGACCAGAGCACAGCTTCCTTGCTCCCCTGTCTCCTCTATTATCGTCAACTTCACTCAACTCTGTACATACATTACATTTATACAACATTTTTGGTCTGTCCCAATCATGTTTGTTTAAAAGGTAAACAATATATATCAATCATCAATTAAAATATACTAATACTGAAAATTCTATTACAAAAAAAGTGGGCTATCTACATGCGAAGAGATGAGAGCTGCTTTGCAGCGTAAGAAATACTTGAGGAATTCGACACGACCATTAAGGCCGCGGTAGCATAATTGGTCAGTCAGTGCATATGCCCCGATATGGGAGAGTACGGGTTCGAGTCCCGTCTGCTGCCTGGACCTCGTGGAATATTTTCTAGTAAAATTTTCTTTAGATTCAAAAATGTTAAATGCTTAAAAACGCAATTGCGATCGTTTTAAATTGATCACGTGAACTGATCACTACAGTAATAAAATTAGAGTTGTTTTATCGAAAACGTATTTGGAATTTGTATTCTATTTGGAATTACATAGAATATCAATAATACCAAAATCGTTTACCTTATACACAAACAGAATTGTAATTTACCTTGGAAGCCAACCACACAATATGGCTACATATTCGCACGGAATAAATAAAAAAGTTTCTTGTAAACGGTAGTCAAGGCCATAAGTCATATTTAAAACCAGCGAAAATACGGATGTTTTGTCTATAATGCTTAAATGCTCTGATTTATGCTTAATATTTTTATGCTTACGTCTAATCCAACCTTTTTTATCTATTCCGAGCTAATTTGTCTAATGGTAGCGACATCTATTAATGCCCCACGTTAACTAAACGGAACAAAATTTGCACTTTATCTCAACAGATGGCGTTAGTAGCTTATTCTCAAAATCGCTTAGAATATCGAGTTTTGATATGCAAAGCTTACATCACTGGCATAAAAACATATAAGCAACTCACTCAGTATCGTATTATTTATGATTTCAATAAATGCATTAATATTTACTGGAAAATTCAATTCCTACTTTAAAGGTATTTTTCAAATTTGCCGATCCATCATAATACGGGCAAAATTCACTTTGACTTTGTTATAAATTAAAAGATATTGATAAAACAGCGTTAGTATAATAAAACTATAATTATAATAAAATGGGAATTATTTAAATGGTCATCGGAAAAAAATAAAAATATATGATCACCTAAAAAAATCAATGTTTGAGGATAAAACACTCCATTTTTATTACCATTTAAATAAGTGCCTAGTCAAATCAATATTAATAAAATTGAACACATGGCAATGCAGAGATTTCTGTGGCTATACAAAAAACAATAACGGATAAAATATGTAGGTAGGATTTAAAGAAGCTTTCAACAGCTGATTTCAATAAAATTCAGTTTCATCTCACAACGATGAAGCCACGGCAAAAACAAGTTTTTATATATTTCATATTTTCGATATTTAATAATCTACAGAATAACATCTCAATATAATTATTAGTTCCATTAAAATTTTAATATTAGTACGGTATTATTAGTTTAGTTTTACATAATATTATATAAATTCTATTTCGTATCGAGACTGGCTGTTTATGGTTCAAGTACCCTTAGCACGAAACAATATCGAATTCGAATAGTTTGCGAGTGCGAAATGTCATTGTCAAATGTGTACTAACTATTAGTTCTCGTTACGTCCGTGGCGGCGCTGCTGTTCAAGTTTCCATACTATAAATACCGAGCAATCTCTCTCATATCGTGTCTCTCTCACTACGGGATATTGGCGAAATTTCTGTGTAAAACGGAAACAGCCACAGAACAAAAAAAAAAGTTTCCAAACTAAATTTGACAATGACATTTCGGACCCGCAAACTATTCGAATTCGATATTGGTTCGTGCTAGGTGTACAGTTTTGATTCTGATGAAATTGCATTACTTATTCATGTTGAACTGAAACTTTTCATTCATCGCTACAATTTTTTTCTTTCAACTTTAGGACATGCAAAAATTGCATTACAATTTTTAACAGGCTATTGGTCAGCATGAAAATTAATTTACCAATTGTTGGCATCTGTATTTATTGAGAGAACAAATAATTAATAACTTTGACGAAGACACGTGGCCGAAAACGCCTGGGATTGGCCAACACTAAAATGACGTCACACGCCAGTAAACTTCCGGCCAAAGTAACATTACATTGTATCTTTGACGTTTTGATGACAGTAGTGTGACGTCACACACTAGTGTGCCGCCATAATGCCCAGAGAAACGTTTTCGTGGCAACTTGAATATTGAATTAAATATATTTTTTTTAACGATTTTACGTTATTTACCAATGTTTCTGGGGTCCATAAAAAATAGATATTTTCCAATTCTGTTATGTTATTCAGTAAAAAAAATTAAATTAAAAAAAAAACAAGTTGCCGCGAAAAACGTATCCGCGGCTCGGGTTTGATTCCCAGCCAAGGAATAGCTTTTTTATCATTTTCCACTTTTCATAAGTCGGAGTAACATCACCTTCGAAAACTTTTCCGAAAATTTTCAACTAATTTATATAGATATGTATTATATATAGTATATATAGCTATACTTTAATTGTAATAAATATTTTGATGATTTCTTTGCACTATCTTCTTAAGATCTTTGCTAAAATTCTCCGGTTGACTGTTAGATAATGCCAAATGGCATTAAGTCTGCCACTTATTTGTGCAATAAAGTAAAAATATATAAATAAATGCCTCCAATCCGAAAAAAATGAGGTGATGTACATTTTTAAAGTTTCACTGGGATCGTGTATTAATTAGATACCATAATTATTGTTGTTGGAAAGGGTCATAACTCTTCAATGAGTATAACTGTATCTTTTTAACATACATCTATATATAATAACTTCGATACAGCAACATAATTACTCTAACCTATTTAATATCATTATTTACATGCATCAGGCGATTGTGACGCGCTAAAAAGCACCTTATTTCATAGCACTAAATCTTATATTACAATAAAATTGTCGCATAAAGCTTTAATGTCACTGGGAGTTGGTGACAAACGATTTTACTCCTTTCATCGACACAATAAGGGATATAATCCAATAATACGTACACATTATTATGTCTCACGAATAATTTAACAATTAATATTCTAGCTAGTTTGATTATGAACTTTCGATTTAATACAGATGCTAAGCAACATCAGTAGAATTGTCAACAGTCTGCGAATTTTATAATAGCTTAGGCAATTAGGTACACAAATTGTTTTCAATTCTATAACCTTTTTTGATATTAAGATAAAGGGAAACCTTTTGGTGAGATGGTATTACAAAAACGCATGGCTTATGCACTAACTTATGGCATAATAACTTGGAAGAATTAAGTGATTTTAATTTGTAATGTCAAGTAAAACGTTTCAGACCATACCACTGCCCCTCTAGCATGAACCACTTTAAAAAAGTGGCTATTAAAAACAAAAACAAAAACTTTATTTTAACTAAAAAAAAATTTTTTTTTTACTGTTTCGTGTGAAAATTAAGCCAAGTACTTGATGCCTAGCCATTTATGTGTATATATTTTTTTTTATATGTATTTTTTTGACAACTTGAATTAATTCTATAGATCAGTTTCTGAAGTGTGATGGCGCCACTGTCGCTCGCGACGACGACGACTGCGGGACGACTCGTGCTGGACATCATTAAATTAATAAAATACATAAATATTTTATTTAGCATGCAACTCTGCTCGATGTACAAATCTAAAGGAAACATTACTAGAAAAAATTCCACGCGGACCAGGCAGCAGACGGGACTCGAACCCGCACCCTTCGCTATCCGGGCGAATGCACTGACCATTATGCTGCCGCGGCCCTGACGGCCGTGTCGAATACTTTCTAGCCTTTCTTAAGCTATTTCTTCGCATTGTAGGTAACCCACAATGTCAAATGCATTTACAAGTATTAAACAATTAAAAGAAGAAATAGCAATTATAGTAATTTGCAATTTAAGAAAGGCTAGGAAGAATTCGACATGGCCTTCAGTGCCGCGGTAGCATAATGGTCAGTGCATTCGCTCTGTTATCGAAAGGTCCCGTCTGGTGCCTGGTCCGCGTGGAATTTTTTCTAGTAAAATTTTCTTTACATAAATAAGGTCCAGAATAGCAAAACAAGTAAATACATATGAATTTCGTGAAATATTTATACTAAAACAATATCCATTTGATTAATAGGCATGATGACGGGGTACATTAAACGAAATTATATTTAGTCCGTCAGTTAGATGATCAAAAAATAGTAGACACGTATTTTTTGTTTGGGCAATCAACCAAAACATGACAAAGTTATAGCGCGTCAAAGTTTGGGAGTAGGGGCTCGTGACGTCACTTTTAAGTGAAAATTGTACCAAAATGTGACGTCATGCGACTTTTCAAATCAATATATCTCTGCAATGTTTATATTATGTGAAAAAAGAAAAAATACGTGTCCAATACTCTTTGATAATCTACCTGATGAACGAAGAAAGAAAAATTAGTCATCATTCCTATTTAAGATTACTATTAATTCTCTAGAAACAGAGATATAAATCCAAGCAACTTCGGTGGAGCTCATATGCGGGATGGGTTACAAAAACAAGAATCATATTCAAGTAGTAGTATATTTTGTCTGTTTAACACGCAAAACGGCTGAACAGATAATGATAAAATTTTACTGACACGTAGTTTATAATATTTTCTGAATTGAATAACTACATCATAATCATCATCATCATCAGCCTATTAATGTCCCCACTGCTGGGGCACAGGCCTGAACCTATTGATGGAATAGGGAGATTGGGCCATGACCCACCACGCGGGCCCAGTGCGGATTGGCGGGTGCTAACGACTGCAGATGCAGCCGGGACCAACGGCTTAACGTGCCTTCCGAAGCACGGAGGAGTCAGAAATAGTAAATTTCCGGTCACCCATCCAATGACCGACCACTGCGAAAGTTGATTAACTTCAACGATCGCAGCCGAACGCGCTAACCACTTGCGCCATCGAGCTCCTCTACTAATCCTAACTTCAGAAATAGCCTCTAAGAATAACTACACACGTACTAACAAACAAATTCATATACGCACTTATAATATTAGAATGACATAAAATTGGGAATGCAATAGGGATGATGACGGGGTACAGTAAACGAAATTCTATTTAGTCCGTCAGTAAGATGATCAAAAAATAATGGACACGTATTTTTTCTTTGGGTAATCAACCAAAAAATGACAAAGTTATAGCGCGTCAAAGTTTGGGAGTAGGGGCTCGTGACGTCACTTTTGAGTGAATTTTCACTTATAAGTGTACTCAAACGTGACGTCATGCGACTTTTCAAATCAATATATCTCTTCAATGTTTATATTATGTGAAAAAAGAAAAAATACGTGTCCAATACTTTTTGATAATCTACCTGATAAACGAAGAAAAAAAATTAGTCATCATCCTTATTATATTACCTTGTGGTCAGCGTGTTCGATGCCCTGTTGAGCTCGCTCCATGTTAGACACGCGGACTGTCAACATTTCCTGATGGGAGACAGAAACAAATCATAATGAGCGTATTCCGTAATATATACCAGTATTCTGGCCAGTGCTGATGACGTCATGAATCGACGCTATACTGGTGAATTGTTCCGAAATATACTGGCCAGTGCACTGGCGTCATAAATCGACGAAATATTTAAAATAGTGCGAATAAAGAAGATTTTTTATTCACCTCATAAATTAAAAGGAATTCTTTTTGTTCGGATGCCATTATTGTTCTTCAAATAAAAAAAATCAATTGTGTGTGTCAGCTCCGACGCACGACCGGAGTTTACATTCTAAAAACGATTGTCTTTGAACAGACACAAAACAAAATCAAGTCCGAAGAAGTCGGTTACAAGTAGAGATGCCTCAGGAATCGTCCCATGGTTTCGACTATCATAGGTTCCATGTCACACATTTTATCATCTAACATCAGCGATATTCATCATAATATATTTTATTATGTATTTCTGGAAACGCACAATTTCAAAAATATCACACACTAGTCATCATTTTGTAAATATGTATTATAATTCCATCTGTACTGAAAATCACTATTCCAGAGTGCTGGACACTTACCGGCATTTCTCTATATTCTGTTATTTATTTGTTTTCATTAATTTTGCTCAGATTTTATCTATTTTTAGTTTATTTATTTTATTGACATTTGTGACAACTTTATGTTTTTATCCGTTGCCATGGCTAAAGGTGAAAGGTGCGCAGATGAGGTTGCGCACAAAAACGTAACGAGGTCATTAATGTCATTCATCGATAGATTTCACTCCTCACATTTTTCTCATACCGGGCCCCTTATATATGCAAATCGATTCTTAAGGAGTAAACTCCAAAAATAATAAAATTCGAATGTATCTCACGCACGCTCGGTCATACGTCATATCCGTTTTCCCGGTAAAATATGGTAGCATACCAGTACAAGATGGCGTCGGATTCGTGACGTCATTATCACTGGCCAGTATACTGATGTATATTTCGGAATACACCCAATATGTAACGAAATATCTAAACAAATGCGATGACTGTCTTTAAGCAACTTATGAAACGGCTGATCAATGGATGGGTGACCAAAACTTTATCATATCAACCCTTAGAGCAAAAGAAATATTTCAATTTCCTACTTATATTGAATTTCAGTTCTTGACAATAAAAAAATGAGGAAATAATAATAATAACAAATTCTTTATTTATCTATTCACATAAGTAGAAACAAAACTCATTTATAATAAAGTGCTTTAGTTAATGCTGCTTGCAAAAGGATAAACTTGTTCTAAAAGACACCAGGCCTCCACTGCATAAACTACATGAGCAGAGCAAGCCAACTTTGAACCATTTAAGTGATCTATGTATTAATTAATTAATATAAGAAGTGTTTAAAAAACAAATAAAAAACATAATAAGAAAAATAAAATAAAAAGTAATTGTGTGTGTGTGCGTTTTTGTGTGTATCATCATCATCATCATCATCATCATCATCAGCAGCCTATTAATGTCCCCACTGCTGGGGCACAGGCCTTCCCAATGAATGGAATAGGGAGATTGGGCCATGACCCCCCACGCGGGCCCAGTGCGAATTGGTGGGTATTAACGACTGCAGATGCAGCTGGGACCAACGGCTTAACGTGCCTTCCGAAGCACGGAGGAGCTCGAGATAGAAAATTTTTGGTCACCCATCCAATGACCGACCACTGCGAAAGTTGCTTAACTTCAACGATCGCAGCCGAACGCGCTAACCACTTGCGCCATCGAGCTCCCTTATTTTGTGTGTATGTATTTGTATTTAACGTTTTTCATATATGTTTTATTTATTGTTATTCTGATCTGATCGCTTAAACTGACCTCTAACAACACAATCTTACATCACAGGATTCTCACATTTATTGAATACAATATAAGGCTTATAATTGCGTGCACTAACCTCTAACATCACAGCCGCCTCCATATCGGCCATGCTGAAAATTCCAGCTCCTGTGGGGATGTCCTCCTCGTCGATATCTGATACGAGATAATGTGCTTTATTTATTACACGTTAAGACTGCTTATACAGACAACTTGTCATAGCATCCCTTTATAAGCACAATTAACTCATGAAGGGGCGGAAAATTTTGCTTTATGAAAGGAAGGAATACAGAAAGTTGATATTTTTTATATAATAAATATTTTATTTCCAACACACACTAATTAGCCTAGCCCCAAAGTAAGCACTGTAAGGCTTATGTAATGGGATACTAGGGTAACGGATAGAATACATATATTCCGACGGCGCATTCCTGAAAACGATGCGAAACATCAATAAACAAATAAAATCATTGCATCTAACCCGTTGAAAGTTGTTTTATTTAATGACTAGCGGCCCGCCCTCGTTTCGCTTCGGTGTAAAGCTGTAGTGTAGACTACAGTTTTTGTTCTCAGGCTTGTATTATACACAATGACATTCATCCATGATTCTTCTTATACCTGCATGCAAAGTCTCAGCCCGATCGGTTTAAAATTGACAAAGTTTCATACAAGCTTTCATTCCCTATTTTATCCCCTTGGGGGTAGAATTGATCAAAATCCTTTCTTAGCGGATGCCTACGTCATAACATCTACCTGCATGCCAAATTTCAGCCCGATCCGTCCAGTGGTTTGGGCTGTACGTTGATAGATCACTATGTCAGTCAGTCAGTCACCTTTGAGTTTTATATATATACATTTATGTGTGTGAAAACTTAAGAAACAAAAAATTCAAATTAAATAGACTTTGGTGTCGATTCTGGCGTGATTCTCTAAACCTAAACTTAAATTTGACAGCAGCATATCCTTGTCATTCTCTATACAGAATGAAAAGGAGAGACTGATGTAAAATTTAGTTTTTAAGTTTAGAGAATCACGCCAGAATCGACACCTATGTATGGGTAATGTCGTTAGTGTAGAATCGATACTGCAAATATATAATTTGTTGATTTTATTTTGATTTTAATAAATGTTATTATTAGTTATCAAATGAATTTGAAATGTTAAAATGTGATTATAGTGTAAATTAATGTTCAAATGATTTACTATATTCTCAATTGTGTAAATAATTGTTTTGTTTTTATATAATTTTAAATAAATTTTATTTACGTATATTCTATATAATTAGTTAGTATTATCTTTTTTACAATTAATGAATTAGTATACACATTATTATTATTCGTGATTTTATAGAATCAAATAAAATTTAATACCTATTTTAATTTATTATAAAATGTCATGATATCTGGGGTAAAAATGTAATAATTTCTGGGGTGAAAAATCTGAAAATTTCTGGGGTAAAAAGTATGATAATTTCTGGGGTAAAAAGTATGATAATTTCTGGGGTAAAAAGTATGATAATTTCTGGGGTAAAAAGTATGATAATTTCAGGGGTAAAAAGTATGATAATTTCTGGGGTAAAAAGTATGATAATTTCTGGGGTAAAACGTATGATAATTTCTGGGGTAAAAAGTATGATAATTTCTGGGGTAAAAAATGTGATAATTTTTGGGGTAAAAATGTGCAAATTTCTGGGGTAAAAAGTATGAATATTTCTGGGGTAAAAAATGTGATAATGTGAGATTTTATAGAATCAAATAATATTCAATACCTATTTTAAATTATTATAGATAGATATTATATAAATTCTAAATTGTAATAGTCAGCCATGGTACTTATTAGCGTTTTCATGTAATCAAAGGTGTCACTCTCCCTCTGTAATTGATTGTTGTGCCCGACGAGGTCCATGATTGTACATATTATTTTGTAACATCTTGTATAACTTATGGAAAGCAATAAAACATTGAGTATTAAGTATAGTGTATAATGCGATTCAAATAAGAATAGAAAAGCCTATGACCTCCATCTGTCAAATGACACTTGAAAAGTACGGTTTGCAAAAAATCTTGGAACTTTTTTTTAGCACTCAGCTAATTCTAGAATAACAAAACCAAACATTTGTAAACAAACTTGACGACGATGACAACTCTGGTTACTAGTTACGCAGTTACGCAGAGCTGAGCGGAATCGAAGAGCTAGACTCCGATTAATATTTTTACTTACACAGTCTTAATAAATGAATGTTATTAAAAAATCGGTTGTTTTTTCTTCTCAATCTTAGTAAATAAAAGAGACCCGGCACTTTTCATAGAAAAAATGCTAAACTTGTATACAGTTGAATTTGGTCTCAAAATAAAGCCAAAATTATTTGCTACATAAAACTACTTTTGCCTTTTTAGTGAATCGTGGAAAGAAGTTATATAATAATTAATATTTTTTGATATGGAAACCCTAAATCTTCAAGGAACAGAATTTTACTTCAAAATATTGCTCAAGTGATTGTAAAAACCATGATTCCTTTGCTTTTTCTAAATAAAAAAATCAAATGTCAATTTGACAATCCTAAAATACAAACAAAAAAATCATTTGCATCCGCTCCCGCGTGCTGTGATTGTGAACGTTCTCTGCTGTGATTGCCTTTTTATCCGTCATTTCTCTCGACGATCCGGCTACAGACTACGTTACCCAATTATGAAACACAGAAAAAAAATAAAAAAGTATACAACTTTGGCACAAAATGCCGCGTGCTCTTTATTAATAAAATCTGATGTTTTTTTTCACTCAATCTTAGTAAATAAGTTTTATCGAAAAAAGCTTTTTTGCTCACTCTAGCTGTTTCGTTTCAACCGACAGCTATGACGTCACGAAACGGCGCCTAGTCGATCCTATCGTTAGTCGAATCGTATTATAGATCGAGTCATCACCGTGATGCGAGTATAGCACCGGATGTTGAGCATGCCGCCTGAGGGCCACGGTCTGCGCCTTGAGCGCGGCGGCGTGCTGCCGGAGCTGAGTCTCCTGCTCCGCGCCCCACGGGGGAGGGGGCGATGGGGCATGCTCCTCCGATTCCTTGTCTCTATAAATAAATAAATAAATTTGTCGGATCTGTCTATAAAAAAAAAAAAAAAAAAAAAAAAAAAATGGTTGCCTGTAAAGTCGGTTTTACGGGCGAAGATTTTACGTGACAACGTCTTTTTCTCGGTAGAATATTTATTGATATGAATATAATTAAATTGCACAATAGGAACAAGGAATTGAATGAAAATAAGAATTGCACAAATTTTAACTATAGAAATATATTTTGTTTACTAAAACATTGTACATGTAAACTTAAACTTAACACGAGAGACTCATCGTAACGTTACCGAGCGTTACACTTTTTCATAAGTGACTCCCAGCCGCAACCTAATTTAAGACGTTGTCACGTCAAAAAAAGAAAAAAAAACTAGTTTTTACGGGTTAATGCACGAAACTTTATTTATTTATTGACGTAAAGGCTACGAAACGTCAATAAATAAATAAAGTTTCGCGCATCGACCCGTAAAAACTAGTTTTATTTAATGAGTGATGTGCGTGAAAACCTAAGAAACGAATAAATAAATATTTCCGACACTCACACCGATTAGCCTAGCCCCAAAGTGAGCACTGTGAGGCTTGTGTGTTATGGGATGCTAGGGTGACGGATGGAATACATATACTGTACATATATAAGTTTATATTATATAGAAATACATATTTAACATCCGAGACTGGAGTACGAATGCTTGTATTCATCACGCAAACATCTGCCCCCACCGGGATTCGAACCCGGGACCTCTCCAGTCGGCGACACCGATAAACCCGGCGTACAAACCACTCGGCCGCGGAGGTCTTCAACCGTAGTATGCGTCTCTGACAATGGACATATAATTATAACGTTCATTATTTCCAGGATTATACACATACTACGGTTTATTACGGACATAATTGTTTACTAATTAAATTCTTTTGTAATTTTGACGTGACAACGTCTTAAATTAGGTTGCGGCTGGGAGTCACTTATGAAAAAGTGTAACGCTCGGTAACGTTACGATGAGTCTCTCGTGTTAAGTTTAAGTTTACATGTACAATGTTTTAGTAAACAAAATATATTTCTATAGTTAAAATTTGTGCAATTCTTATTTTCATTCAATTCCTTGTTCCTATTGTGCAATTTAATTATATTCATATCAATAAATATTCTACCGAGAAAAAGACGTTGTCACGTAAAATCTTCGCCCGTAAAACCGACTTTACAGGCAACCATTTTTTTATCTTTAACTGTACTGTATATTGCGATACCCTGACAGGGTTAAAAAACGTGATAATTTCTGGGGTAAAAATGTGATAATTTCTTCATAATAAAGTATGACAACAAAACTACTGAAAGGATTTTGATGAAATTTGGTAAACATATAGTCTGAGACCTGGATTGGGACATAGGACACTTTTTATTTTGCAAAAATGACAGGTTCCTATGAAATTCTGAAAAAAAATTAAGTAAACGCAGACTAAGTCGCGGGCGACGGCTAGTAGATACATATACACATATATTTATATATATATATATGTTACGGTTATATGTATATAATGCCTCACCGCTGCAGCCAGGGTCCGGGGGACAGCGTGGGAGACCCCACGGCATCAGCTTCATGTTCCTTCAGCCGCCTCAACATATATATATATATATATATGTTACGGTTATATGTATATAATGCCTCACCGCTGCAGCCAGGGTCCGGGGGACAGCGTGGGAGACCCCACGGCATCAGCTTCATGTTCCTTCAGCCGCCTCAACATATATATATATATATATATGTTACGGTTATATGTATATAATGCCTCACCGCTGCAGCCAGGGTCCGGGGGACAGCGTGGGAGACCCCACGGCATCAGCTTCATGTTCCTTCAGCCGCCTCAACATATATATATATATATATGTTACGGTTATATGTATATAATGCCTCACCGCTGCAGCCAGGGTCCGGGGGACAGCGTGGGAGACCCCACGGCATCAGCTTCATGTTCCTTCAGCCGCCTCAACATATATATATATATATATGTTACGGTTATATGTATATAATGCCTCACCGCTGCAGCCAGGGTCCGGGGGACAGCGTGGGAGACCCCACGGCATCAGCTTCATGTTCCTTCAGCCGCCTCAACATATATATATATATATATGTTACGGTTATATGTATATAATGCCTCACCGCTGCAGCCAGGGTCCGGGGGACAGCGTGGGAGACCCCACGGCATCAGCTTCATGTTCCTTCAGCCGCCTCAACATATATATATATATATATGTTACGGTTATATGTATATAATGCCTCACCGCTGCAGCCAGGGTCCGGGGGACAGCGTGGGAGACCCCACGGCATCAGCTTCATGTTCCTTCAGCCGCCTCAACATATATATATATATATATATATGTTACGGTTATATGTATATAATGCCTCACCGCTGCAGCCAGGGTCCGGGGGACAGCGTGGGAGACCCCACGGCATCAGCTTCATGTTCCTTCAGCCGCCTCAACATATATATATATATATATGTTACGGTTATATGTATATAATGCCTCACCGCTGCAGCCAGGGTCCGGGGGACAGCGTGGGAGACCCCACGGCATCAGCTTCATGTTCCTTCAGCCGCCTCAACATATATATATATATATATGTTACGGTTATATGTATATAATGCCTCACCGCTGCAGCCAGGGTCCGGGGGACAGCGTGGGAGACCCCACGGCATCAGCTTCATGTTCCTTCAGCCGCCTCAACATATATATATATATATATATATGTTACGGTTATATGTATATAATGCCTCACCGCTGCAGCCAGGGTCCGGGGGACAGCGTGGGAGACCCCACGGCATCAGCTTCATGTTCCTTCAGCCGCCTCAACATATATATATATATATGTTACGGTTATATGTATATAATGCCTCACCGCTGCAGCCAGGGTCCGGGGGACAGCGTGGGAGACCCCACGGCATCAGCTTCATGTTCCTTCAGCCGCCTCAACAGCTGCCAGGCCACCGCCTCCGCTGCGTTGCGTTGTATGCCGTTCTAAAAAACAATTGGGTGACTTACAACAAACGATATCGAATACCCAAGACACACCACGTGCGCTCAAAATGTGTCCCAATCAAGAAGTGCTTGAACTCAAGCACTTCTTGGTTTAATCACGCGCGGACCGCTGAAAAAATAAGTAACCGAAGAGCTCCGTGAAAAAATGCGAAATAAATACTTATAGTATGTAAAGTGTCGTTTTTTCGACAGTTATCAAATCAATGTTTATTATTTTACCACTTTTTAAGTTCTAATACTTATTGTTCCGTTATCACTTAATCGTGGTTACTTATTTATTACTAGTGGCCCGCCCTCGCTTCGCTTCGGTGTAGAGCTGTAGTGTAAACTATAGTTTTTGTTCTCAGGCTTGTGTTATAAAGAATGACTTTATTTATATAATTACACGTGTTATTGTGAGTCAACCATAAAAGATAGACATATGCTGTTGCGGGATATTTTTTAGACAGTTTTATGTAGAATATTTCCGTCATACATGATTTCTATGTAACTTTAACCATTAAGGCTGCACCCGCGACGGAAGCTTAAAAAATGGAGTAACTTCTCCCGTTTTCCCAACATTTCCCTTCACTACTCTGCTGCTTTTGATTGTAGCGTGATGAAAAGCATACTATAACCAGCCCAGGAGTATGAAGAATAATTGTACCAAGTTTCGTTAAAATCCGTTGAGTAGTTTTTGTTTCTATAAGGAACATACACACAGACAGACAGACAGACAAAAATTTTACTGATTGCATTTTTGGCATCAGTATCGATCACTAATCACCCCCTGATAGTTATTTTAAAAATATATTTCATGTACAGAATTGACATCTCAACAAATTTATTATAAGTATAGATTTTAAATGTGGGCAGGTTCGCAACGAGAACGATGGATCTGCGAATGTGGTTTTTTACTAGCCTAACGCAGACGGTTAGCCACCGATCACACGAGAGGACCTACGTCACTCCGTTCCGCTAACATCGTATAAACATAATCTTTACGAGCGGCAGTGGCGGACTAAGCTCGTCTGAGGCCCGGGGCGGCAAAGCTGAATGAGGCCCCCCAAATGAAATTTAAATTCCAATTAAATTATTTCGGCTAAATAAACATACATACCTACAATATGGTACATATTGACTAGAAACGTAGGTGCATATTGACCAGAAACTACGGATTATGATTTCTAGGCTAAATTATACGAAGAATTACTTACTTTTTCCAAATACTTAAAAATGCACTAACTCAACTCTAAACTCATTTACTTTTATACCGCAACAAAAATCAAAAACACTACATATTACACTTTTTAATGAGGTTACTATGAACGGATTTTAAATGAGGCCAATGTTTATTTTTCGACGTAAATATAGTGAATGTTAGTAAATGTAGGCGTACAAGAGTGAATTATTTGTACTTTATTCATTCAGGGATTCCTGAGGAAGTATTCGCTACAGAAACGGGAATTCCCCCAGCGTATTGGACACGTTCAGCGAAGTAAAAAGAATATTAGTACCGCGTAAAAAGTCTAGATGGCGGTAGTGTTTTCATCTTGATGAAATTATGTAGGTACTAAGCACATTTTTAAAGTCTAGTTTAGGATTTGATCAGGGGAACGCGGAGGCATTTGGGGGCCCCCAAGATCGGAGGCCCGGGGCGGGCCGCCCCTTCTGCCCCCCTGTTAGTCCGCCACTGACGTGCGGTATACCGAGCAAGTGTAATTTCGTCAACGATAAACTGTGAATTTCTTATGTGACTGTGTGTGCTGTTCATGTGCCCCTCTAGCTAGAAGAATACGCGGACCACAAGCTTCCGACGAAGGTTTCAAACGTGAGTACGTTACGCTGTTATCAAACCCATTCGTAATTGTGTATTTATCGTTATCTCGTTGCAGCCCCTTCTCAATCGTTTTAATTACTTATATCGGCTGCCCCCAATATGTATTTGCAATAACAATACACTTATTATAAACTGATTTAATAGAAATGTGATATTCAAATGCATGGTCGGTAATACAGCCGTCTCTTTTCCTCGCGGTCCGTACCCGCTATATTGCTATAAGCGCAGAGTTGCGCGTAGAGTCAAAGAAATAAGCTATATATTCTTCCGCATAAAGCAATAAGTCGTAAAATTTAACGAGCTTGCGTTTCGTACTGTCATAACTCTTTGACGCATGCGTTTTAATTAATACCTTATACAATATGCTGTGAAGGTGACTTTCAATGTTTGAATAATGCCTTATATTGTTTCAAATAACGCGATCACCTTACGGAGCTCCGTGGATCGTCCAATGTACCTTTTGGACAGGTTTCGGCCACGGTTTTGTTTGTGATGTTGTATCTAGAGCATTTATTTAATATCGTTGGTAACTTGACAAAACAAGTTTTAGAAAACGAGCTCACTTTTTGTACTAATATTTATGGAGTCCATAAAGTGGACATTTTAAATTCTGCTAAGTAATTCTCATTAAATTTTCAAGTTGCCGCCAAAACGTTTCTCTGAACATTGTGACATCATACTAGTGTGTGACGTCACACGACTGTCATTAAAACGTCGAACGTTTCAACGTTATGTTACTTTGACCGGAAGTTTACTAACGTGTGACATCATTGAAGTTATACTTCTTTAGGCGCGTTATGAAAAAATGATGAGAGTGAAATTTTTAGATGCGCGCGCATCACTGTAACACAATAGTAACACCATGAAGTTGGCCGCGGGCGCGTTATGAATGTTAGTGTCTAATAATGGTGGATTATTAACCACTTATCTGTTCTTATCTGTTCGAAAGGTACTTTGAACGATCCACGGAGCTCCATAAGATGATCGCGTTGTCAAAAACAATGTCGGCACGCTCGTCGCCTCTGATCACTGTTTTCATATTTATAATATTTATCCACATGTTTCTAGTTTCTATATAGACACAACGTGTTTTAGTTACTTACAAGTGCTAATTACATATTGACTAATAACTTAAATTCAGTAGTGATTTTAATTGAATATTTTGTTTATTTATTTAATTTTTTAAATTAAAACTGAACTTAATTGACTGTGTTAACTATCCTTTTCCAGTCCTTTTATTATTTTATTGTAATTATTAATTATTTGCATGCAATTAAAAAAATATTTTTAATGATGCTAAAGAAGTATAACTTGTCACGCGCGTACATAAGTTACACGCATCCATTTTTTTATATAGTCTTGGCCAATTCCAGGCGTTTTATAAATGACTTCTGTTAAATGATTTCCTACTCAAACTTTCGAACCAGCGATTTCAGTAGTAAAGTGTAGTTTTATGTTGTCTAATATTCTACAAATAAGCATTAAAAATATGTATGAATAATAGTTATAACATTTGCCACTAGATGGCGTTGTACCGATATGAATCGCGCTAAATTTTCCCGTTACTGTTTTATACAAAAGTCATTGAGAACGAACAAATCCTTCTTGTTTCGCCTTGGCCATAGTTTTGTTTTTATTTCATCTACTTATTATTCAAAACGAAAAAGTGCTAGAAAACTTTTCATTTTTTTTCATTCATTCGAAAAAGACATCGATATATCGGACCAATTTTCCCAAAAATATATACAGTATCTCACGAAATATGACATGCGGAATAATAATGGAACGAAAATTATCTCCCTAAAAATAGACCGTATTTTCGAACGATGAAAACGATTGCAGGGCCTCTCAGGTGCCATCTTTCGTAAACAAGACTAGACAGTCACACTTCCACAGAATATAATGGAATTCAGCACAACCAAATCACCAGCGAAACAGATTTACAAATAATAGACAATACTAAACACAGCACAGATCATAGATATGTTGAATATCATCAATCCGAGATCCAGTTACGATTTTTCCAGATACGAATTTAGTTAGATAGAATATGCCGCTAATAATTAAAAAAATATCGTTTTTGATACGAATTTCGATATCGGTTATCTTGTATCGATGTATCGATATATCGAATCAAAAAATATCGATATATTTTCAACAAGCCTACTGTGGGATGGGATCTGTACAAATCTCTCATCTAATAGACAAGTCCGTCCGTCCGTGGTGCTGTTTCAGCGGCCAAACCGTAAGAGATAAATAAAGAGAACGTTCAAGTTATAAGTTAAGAATAGTCTGACAAGACTACAAACCGGATGTGAGTAACGTAGCACTTCCGGTTTTCGAGAAATCACGTGATTTCAATTTCAAACGAAACCACACAAAATCTCCGAAGTTCTTAATTAATTAAATACATTTTTTTTTGAAGTGAAACTTCTTTATCGGCGTTGGAAAAAAATTTACCGTCACATTTTTTCGGTTACGCGTCACGTTTTTTGGTTACGCGCCATCTTTTTTTTAAAAGAGCATTATTTACCTCATCCGAACAATTGCTTCTTCCGTCAATTTAAAAAAAAATAAGTATCGACAGCAAATATTCGTGTTTCACACAAGGTAAGGTAAGGAAGGTAAGGTAAGGTGTAGTTACACCCCTTTAGTGGGTGAGTTTTTGAAAAATCTTAGCGCACGCCTATATATATATTTCTGGAAAGTTGCATGTAGATCATTTTTCGAAAAAAATAAGGCCATAAAGAAGTTTCACTTCTTACGCGTGTACACTAGTACACGCACACATTTTCTTTTTGGTGAACATTTGGTTGACCGGTTCGCTAGTATAACGATAATATGTGAACACTCACGGGTCTAGTCTCGGCCAACGCCAGCAGTACATCGTAAGTCTCCAAAGCCCTGTCGGCGGCGTTGAGCGCGTGAGACAAGGAGGCCGTGGAAGCCTCGAGCTGTGCGCAGGCGCAGTGCAGGCGGCGCGCGCACTCCCCGCACCGAGACAGGGCTCCGCCCACCACCACCAGCGACGCTTCCGAACGTAGCCAGCGGGCTCGCCAGATGCATTCTGTTCGCGACAAAATACCAGAGATACAGGTCGCTTTCCAATTACAGAGCATAATGCGACTCAGTGCCGCACGATGCCCAATTATGCTGATGCTTAATTGGAACGTGAATTAGTTTTCAAATGCACCAGCAGAGTGCGCTAAGTTCAGTGTTGAAAAAAAAAGTCAATGTTTGTACCGCTTCATCCATACTTATATTTATTTTTTAACAGCTTGAATGAACTTTGATTATTTAAAAAAAAACTATTTAATGAAACGAAAGCTTTAATAATTTTTCAACAATAAATAACATTACTAACGATAACATATAAATAAAACATTTCGATCAATGCCAACTTAAAGAAAAAACACTTGTTACTTTTCTGTCTCTGAGTTGGTACGATTGCACGCATCACACGAAAGCATCGCTTTTGAGAGTGCTCAATTGTGCGAAGCGTTGCTGTAGTTGGAACACTCAACGTTAAGCATTATGCCGCATAATGCGCTATAATGCTGTAATTGGAAAGCAACCACAATAGACGGGCCGTTCAAGTATTACGTAAGAACTATAGGGGGGCAGGGGGGTCTTTGCTTTGCTTATTTTTGATGACTTGAGGGGGTGGGGGTTTTTTTTTGTGGTTGTTGTGAGATTAGCTTAAGAAGATGCTAATATACCGCGGGCGCTTACGGACTGCGCCTTTGGTGTTAAGCTTGATTTAAGTTTTCGCTATTATTTAGGGTTTTACTAAGTGTATTTAATGATTTTAATAATATGGAACAGATGCTTTAAAAATAGTTGACTAGTGTCATTTTTTGTAGCTATGTCGTTGAGGTTTTCATTATTTAGATTGTGCATGCTGCATAAAATATTAAAATCAGTCCTAGTTGACTGGAATCTTGGGCTACGGTAAAGGAAGTGTTCAAAGGTTTGGGAGTTAAGCTAGATTAGGGGTCGAGATAGTGATTACGTCAGCATCATGGATTCGGGTGTCATGGACTGAAGACTGTTAATTGGAGTTAGGAGGATTAGGATTGAGGAGCTGGATGGCGCAAGTGATTAGCGCGTTCGGCTGCGATCGTTGAAGTTAAGCAACTTTCGCAGTGGTCGGTAATTGGATGGGTGACCAAAAATTTACTATCTCCCGCTCCTCCGTGCTTCGGAAGGCACGTTAAGCCGTTGGTCCCGGCTGCGTTTGCAGTCGTTAGCGCCCACCAATCCGCACTGGGCCCGCGTGGTGGGTCATGGCACAATCTCCGTATTCCATCCATAGGGAAGGCCTGTGCCCCAGCAGTGGGGACATTAGTAGGCTGAAGATGATGAATTGGAATTCATATGTATACCAAAAATTCGAAAGAACTTTGTTTTGTTCGTAATAGTACATAAAAAATGATGTGGTGTCGTGGGACACCAGGTAGGAACGAAGTTCTTTCTCTTTCGAATCTAAAGAATGACACTTTTCTTCGATATGAGACTTAATATCTCATTTCCAACTGCGAAAAACGCAAACAAGCCATTTATTAAATTGAAAGAAGAAGAATTATAAGGGGAGAGGAAAACCGAAAAAGATTCATAATTTGATCCTATACCAATAACAATTTAGTTTGCAGAAAGGATTTGAACCACGTGACATATTGTAGTTAATTTTATTTTATTTCCTCACGTGGCGGTTTGTACGTTTACATTCTTAAATAATGTTACCTAAATTAAATTGAAACTTTTCTTTGTAATTGTTTGAGAGTGTTTAAATCCATTTATTTATCAGTAAATTAAGCAACAAAACGGACTCAATTGATTAACGAAGTAATGAGTATTCGAAATACCAGGATCGCATAAGCTCACACTAGGTATACATTATCAGTCCTACGGAATTCGGCCGCGGTGCGCCCGTGTCGCAACCAGCTGCGTAGCCTAGGTGAATGAGCGGACGTTCGAACTTCGAAGTGTATTCGATTTTTAAATAGGTTTTCGAAAAAGTTTCTAACAAAATAAAAATTCCACGCATGGACACACCATCATATCATCATAATCATAGCACATCATACACGGTACGATTCATACTATTATTACAACGCCTTTAAGATTATGTTGTCCTGGTACTAAGCCTTATAAATATAATCGATAATCCACTACATTATTCGCTGTGAGCTGGAAAGCTGCCTGGTCGTCTCCCTCGCTCTAGAAAGACCTCACAACCACCACCATATGATTTTGATATCCTGGTACTAAACCTGCAAGTATAGACTACTGAATAGCGAACATCGTACTCCGTCACCTACAACTTACTCTTGTACCACCTTTATGGTTATGATATCCTGGTACTTAATATTCAAGTCTCATTTAACGGTTTTATTCCACGCATTTTTTCTTACGGTTTTACTATCACATTTTTTTCAGTTCGGCCGCGCAGCAAAATCCCTATCCTCCAAGCCTGCCATAAGGAACTTTCGTTCCAATAAGATTAAAATACCTTTGTACCTTACTCTATGTTGAATACTATGCCAAAAAAGTTCATTTAAATGATATCATTATCATATCATTTGCGTTAAAATCCTTTATCCTAAGCCTATTTAAGTACTGCTGCTCATGAAGCTCATGAAAGCTCATGAATCAATATAAAAAATCACATTAAAGGCAAAATGCATATAGGTACTAATGTCTACGTAAGCATCGAAGGGGGGTAAGAGCTTTGCTTACTTTTGCTGACAAGAGGGAGCGAGTAAATAATTTGTTTCTTAGGTTTTCACGCACATCATTATGGAAACGTCAATAAATAAATAAAGTTTCGTGCATTAACCCGTAAAAACTAGTTTTATTTAATGAGTAAATAATTGTAATAAATCTGCTTACGTAATACTGGAACGGCCCCAGAGTCTATGCGGAAAGAGAACGGGCGTGGCGTAAAACGGAACTAACATTAAGACTTTTTTAACATGGCAATAAAACCAGGTATATTGTATATTTAACGAAATGAATCCTAATGTAAATCATTGAAATATATGAATTAAAACACTTTTCGAATTTGGAAAAACACTTACCATTAAAAACAATCAATAATATAAGGGATTATCCATTAAACAAATTGGAATACAAAATGACCATCCTTTGGTCTAAAAATTACGTCGTGAAGTGAAGTGACAGTAGTGACATTAGTGACATTAGTCTTTTCTCAAATTTGTTTTCTCTCGCCGGAAGGCAAAGAGAACAACGTCCATTCAGCCTACTGCTTGATAAAGTTAGCAACATAATTATTCAAAAGTGCACAGATTACAGAAAATGGGCGCGAGATAAAAACGACCAGAGAGACAACCAAAAAAAATCTTCTATCTCGCTCTTCGAGCGAAGGAGATCCATGTGACGTTTTTAACACGTTACACTGTCAAACGTCAAAGTTTTGTATTGATACGGATTTGTATGTTGTTGTTGTGATTTCTTGTGGTTTTTGATGTGTAACATCTTTCCTCTCGCTTTCCCGCAATTTGTGGGAGTGATTTTATGAAATGGGACGAAGTGTGTAACAGGGAGTCGCGAAAGCGCGCGCTGTTTGATTTGATTTTAGAACATAATATTCAAATGGCTTTTTTTTTCTAAATGGCTTCGCACGGTTTGTGCATTTAGCCAATGTCAAGTGTTAAAATGTTTACAAATACTATTATAGCACTCGTGGTCAAAGTAATAAGTCAAGACAAAGTAAGTGGCAGTCAAGTCAAACCCCCTTTCCCTATGTTTCAGTAAAAGTGTGGGGATTTACTGGAACCTCCCCGTGGACTTGTCGAGGGAACGTCGAAAGACACTTTCCGCTATTTCGTTTCACTTGCCAACACTTGTGCATGTTCCCGAACACATAGTGGTTAATAACCCACCATTATTAGACACTAACATCCGCCACAACACAATTTTTAACAAGAAAAACAAAACTGCTAAAGTGACGCTTTCCGATCACGCTAAAAAGTCTTTCAAATGGCTCATTCCTTTTGTAGTAGATTTTATTTCTTTTTTTACTAATATAAAGTGAGGCTTCAAATGTTACACATCATACGCGACTACTGTAAGGCGCGCTCGTATTTTTTTGTATTTAATCATGTCTGAAAGGAGTAAAACTTTACGAATACGGTAGAAAAACACTACAGCGCCCTCAAATCTAAATCCCATTCTCTTTCCGCACAGACTCTAGTTAATTTTTATACTTTTTCGATGAGTAATTTATATTACAGAATTCCCAAGAATATGAATGAGAAAAGTCGCTTTTCAAACAGTCCTTGTCATTTGTAACTTGTATTTTATTAAGAGCCCTTTTACAAAATTGCGCCTCTCTTGTTTAGGTAAATACGACCGCGAGCGTGTCCGAGTCGCACGAGCGAGACATCGACGCGGCGATGTTCAGTATAGCGCGCTTTACCAAATTGATACAATAAATGCCATTATAAAATAAAGTTAATTTGAAGTGCTAAGATGGATCCCTACTGTAGCAACGAACGATTCTAGATAAGAATCCTGAGTGGAGCAAAGGATACAAGGATTAAGTTTTTTTACTATTATGAGAAAATAAATAATATATTTATAGTACCCATTGGTTGTGTTTTGGAAATGACAATAAAGATTAATTATTATTGTAACTTTATATGTATACTTTGTATAACTTCTGTTTGTGCAAATTTTTTTTTATTCACTCAGTAATGAACTAATGGGGCCGTGGTAGCATAATGGTCAGTGCATTCGCCCGGATTGCGAAGGATGCGGGTTCGAGTCCCGTCCGCTGCCTGGTCCGCGTGGTTTTTTTTTCTAGTAAACTTCTCTTTAGATTTAAACATCTAGCAGTTAAATGCTTAAAAATAAAATAAAATCATAACTATAATTGCTATTTCTTCTTTCAAATGTTTAATACTTGAAAAAGTATTCATTTGACATTGTGGGTTATCTACAATGCGAAGAGATGGCGCTGCCTTGCAGCTTAAGGCTAGGAAAATTTCGACGCGGCTTATGGGGCCGTGGTAGCATAATGGTCAGTGCATTCGCCCGGATTGCGAAGGATGCGGGTTCAAGTCCCGTCCGCTGCCTGGTCCGCGTGGATTTTTTTCTAGTAAACTTTTCTTTACATTTAAACATCTAGCAGTTAAATGCTTAAAATAAAATAAAATCATAACTATAAATAGAACTGTGAATTTCTATTCTAAATATATTATTTTGTTGTGCCAATATGTACTTTGGCGGCCCACGAGCTTATACTTGTTATACTTGATCGAAATGCAACATTTTACCGTACTCTAGCTTTTTTTTACAGACATAAGGGTAGATTGTAAGAAGCTTAAGTTTAAATCGGGGAATGTAGGGTGGCCACAACTGGCCGCTTTATTGGAAAACGCGTTAATAGCTATATCTCCTAAATTATTGACTGTACGGAAAAAATGTAGTGTTTTTTTGTTTATTACTAAATTCTCTAACTTCTTTCTCTCAAACTTTTTATTGTAACTCTTATCGTTTTTCAATTGTTGTTGTTTATTTGAACATGTTTGTAGTTTTTCCTTTATAAAACCTTAAAAATGTCATTACCTAATTGATAAAAAATGTCGTATACAAGTTATCCCTGATTAAATTCCCTACAAGTTTAGTATATTTTATTTTATTAAATAAATACTTTTGAAGTTAATAGTCGTTAATGTGTGCAAAAACGGGCATTGAAATGAAATTATAGAAGTATCCGATAAAATCACTTACTTTCATACAAATTGAAGCTTGAATCATCATCGATTTGTGTTGGATTATTATAAAATTAATGAAAAAAAATGTAATAAAAAAAATAGGGGGAAAAATATAAATATTATAAATAATATTAGTGATGAGAATCAATTGCACGTATACAAAACTCTGATATACTGCGTAATTGCTACGTTAACGACTCATAACTTTAAAAGTATTTATTTAGTAAAAAAAAGGGTTTATGCAAAAGTTGTAGGAAAGGAGACCCGGCATTTTTCATAGAAAAAATGCTAAACTTGTATACAATTGAATTTGGTCTCAAAATAAAGCCAAAATTATTTGCTGCATAAAACTACTTTTGCCTTATTGTTAGTGAATCGTGGAAAGAAGTTATATAATTATTAATATTTTTTGATATGGAAACCCTAAATCTTCAAGGGACAGAATTTTACTTCAAAATATTACTCAAGTGACTGTAAAAACCATGATTCCTTTGCTTTTTCTAAATAAAAAACCAAATGTCAATTTGACAATCCTAAAATACAAACAAAAAAATCATTCGCATTTCGCATCCGCTCCCGCGTGCTGTGATTGTGAATGTTCTCTGCTTTGATTGCCTTTTTATCCGTTATTTCTCTTGACGACCCGGCTACATATAGAGGTTATATTGACAAACCTACGTATTTGACATTGACAGCTAGCTGCTGATGACAAATATTGCCAGACTACGTTACCCAATTATGAAACACAGATAAAAAAAAAAAGTATACAACTTTGGCACAAAATGCCGGGTGTCCTTTAATGATGAATAATTTTTTATCAATTAATGGCATTTTAAAGGCTTTAAAAATAAAGCGAAATGTTATAAGCATATTCAACTTGCTTCACTAGCTTTCTTTATGGCTGCATCATTCTTTCGTTTTCTTTTTTGACACAATGGTAAGCAGGAATTTTACGCCCCATTGTAAAAGCTAATAACAAAAATATATGTTGAAGCAATGATAATTAATAACTAGGGAGATACTTATAATAATAAAAATTAATACGGTTGTGGAAATTTACATACATCCAACGATTAAAGTTTTGCGGTCGTAGTATATCCAACCAGTTTTACGATGAATGCACTCGTAGCGTCGCTCGGGACGCGTGCGGTACAAAGCGACACAGGTCCGACCTCCAAAGGCGCTGGCGCCGTACTAAACGGCGCCTAGATTTGCACTAGTATATATGGCATTTTACGGGTGATGTTCAGAGTCTTATAAAATAATAATTAATGAACTTATTATATAAATATATACATATTTCAATAGTTCAATGATTGTAGATTAGTTTTATGAAAGTTTTTTATAGCAATTCTATTTAATTCAATATCAAAATACGAGGTAAACCTGCGTTATTTTTTGGGGAAACTCACGGAGGTTAGATGTTTTTTTAATAATTAATGAGATGGAAATTCAAGATTCTAATACATTACGTTGCAACAAAAACATATTTCTGATGTAGTAGTAATTAATTTGATCTAATTTGTTGAACATTATTGTGAGATTTAGGCGTTTTAAATTGTGCATATTATCGTTTTTTCCGTAAACTTGCTGCGGTAGAACGATCAGTACAAAAAAATGAAAATACTATTTGCGAATATTCTACATTAATTTTCAATAGGAAGACTAAATCTACTGTTTACTTCTATTGGAAGTAGTCAAAACCTCTTCTAAGGGGGCAAACGAGGCGCTCAAAAATTACGATTTATTGCAAAAAATGTGAAAGGGCTCTTAAGTCTCGTACTACAAATAAGAGGCTTTGAAGCTTAATCAAACTACCGCGGATACATAAAAGCTAGAAAGAATTCGACACGGCCGCTACAAATTTGATAAAAAGTTAGGACCCTTTAACAAAGTCGCTATAAATTTGATAAATAGTTAGGACCCTTTAACAAAGTCGCTATAAATTTGATAAACAGTTAGGACCCTTGAACAAAGTCGCTATAAATTTGATAAATAGTAAGGACCCTTTAACAAAGTCGCTATAAATTTGATAAATAGTTAGGACCCTTTAACAAAGTCGCTATAAATTTGATAAATAGTTAGGACCCTTTAACAAAGTCGCTATAAATTTGATAAATAGTAAGGACCCTTTAACAAAGTCGCTATAAATTTGATAAATAGTTAGGACCCTTTAACAAAGTCGCTATAAATTTGATAAACAGTTAGGACCCTTTAACAAAGTCGCCATAAATTTGATAAATAGTTAGGACCCTTTAACAAAGCCGCTTTAAATATAATAAATAGTTAGTTCCCATTAACAAAGAAGCTATAAATATAATATTTACCGTCAGCGTCGGTGGCAGCTAAAGCTTCTCTAAGATCTGCGTGAGCTCTCACTTCTCTAGACAAACGTTCCGCTTCTGCGCACCAGGTCTGTGGATATACGGCATATATTAGTACTTATGGAAGTGGTAATAAGGTCGATATTTCAATGTAACAGGGATATAGTAGATCTTTATGTATTTGTGAAAATTCAATATAGTTTTAATAGGGATGATGACTATTTTTTTTTCTTCGTTTATTCCGCAGCACGGATGAGTGAGAGATAGAAGATATTTGGTCACCCATCCAGTGACTGACCACTGCGAAAGTTGACTAAGTTGCTAACTTCAACGATCGCAGTCGAACGCTATAACCATTTGCGCCATCGAGGTCCTCAGTAAGTACTTATGGAGGTAGTAATAAAGTCAATATTTCAATGAAACAGGGATAATGTTCTAAACGAAATTGTATTTAGTCCGTTAGCACAATATTTTATTTCTAAAATATTTAATTTTATCAAATTACTTAGATCATTACTAATTCCTATTTAAATCTATAAAAACATTGAAAATTAAATAAACAATAAATGGCTTTATAGCCACTTAACCATAGAAGTAAAAACCATATGAAAGCGCAGTAAATTGATTGGTCCAACAAATAAATTGTACATATTTAATTACAATGGTTTTGAATAAAGATTACATACTGAAAATGAGCTACTGAAAATTATATATTAAACTAAAATGTCAGCTACGAATGTAATTTTGAAATTAGCCATACTATCATATTCTGCTATTATCTTTATATATATAATTCTTCTGTGAGTGTGTATGTCACTGAACTTCTCTTAAACGACTGGACCGATTTTGATGAAATTTTTTGTGTGTGTTCAAGGGGATCTGAGAATGGTTTAGATTCACAATTTTGTCCGCTGGACAACCCCTATTTTTTACGGCGGTACGAAGTTCGCTGGGTCAGCTAGTACATATATAATTGGTGAACATTTGGTTCACTGGTTTGCTAGTGTATATATACACTAGCAAACCAGTGAACCAAATATTCACCAAAAAAAAAATGTATTTAATTAATTGAGAACTTCGGAGATTTTGTGTGGTTTCGTTTGAAATAGAAATCACGTGATTTCTCGAAAACCGGAAGTGCTACGTTACTCACATCCGGTTTGTAGTCTTATCAGACTATTCTTAACTTATAACTTAAACATTCTCTTTATCTATCTCTTACGGTTTGGCCGCTGAAACAGCACCACGGACGGACGGACGGACTTGTCTATTAGATAAGAGATACTAGCTGACACAGCGAACTTCGTACCGCCATAAAAAAATAGGGGTTGGTGGTAGAAGGGTGAAAATTTAGGGTAGTATGTATTTTTGTATGATGTCTTAAAAAAAATATGTAAAATTGAAAAAAAAAATTTAGGGGTGGATTACCCTTAACATTTAGGGGGATGAAAAATAGATGTTGTCCGATTCTCAGACCTACCCAATATGCGCACAAAATTTCATGAGAATCGGGAAAGCCGTTTCGGAGGAGTTTAACCACAAACACCGCGACACGAGAATTTTATATATTAGATGAAAATAAAACTCATTACATACATGGTCGGAATCCAAGTTGTTAGAATGTGAATCTGTCGCGCGCCGGAGTCGAACCCGCGACGCCAGCTTGGCCTGCCTCACCCCACAGCCTACTGGAATACAATAATAATAATAATAATCTTTATTTGCAGAATATGGTTACAAATGGTGATACAGAGATAAACAGCATCCTATATTCTTACCCAATGGGGTGTGCAAATTAATTGACATGTCGAGAAAAAAAAAACTTATTACAATTATTCCATTCATTGAGCATAATATAAACAAATTCACATTATCATTGTCAAACAATATAATAATCTCAATGTCAAACAATATAATAATCTCAATATTCAATACAACAATATTCATGTCATACGATGAAAATAACTAGTGAAATGCGTATGGTGTTTTAAAATATCATCATCATCATCAGCGTATTAATGTCCCCACTGCTGGGGCACAGGCTATTGATGGAATAGGGAGATTGGGCCATGACCCACCACGCGGGCCCAGTGCGGATTGGTGGGTGCTAACGACTGCAGATGCAGCCGGGACCGACGGCTTAACGTGCCTTCCGAAGCACGGAGGAGTGAGAGATACTAAATTTTTGGTCACCCATCCAATAACCGACCACTGGGAAAGTTGCTTAACTTCAACGATCGCAGCCGAACGCGCTAACCAGTTGCGCCATCGAGCTCCTCAAATATAAATAGTAAAAAATGTTGTATTGAGTATTACTGTACTGTGGTCTTGTCGAATTTTCTATAGTATTTCTTAGGCTGGAAAGGTCTGCCCTTATTGCGGATTCGACTCCCGTATGATGCTTGAACTGCGTTTCTTCTAGTAAAACTTTCTTTAAGTTTATAAGATATAATGTAATGACAATTTTACTAGAATGCGTCTGGTTAATTGGTGTGAGTGTGTGAAATATTTATTATTATTATATTGAGTGTCTAAGTCAACTAATATTAAATACCCTAGACACACCACGTGCGCTCAAAATGTGTCCCAATCAAGAAGTGCTTGAACTCCACTCAAGCACTTCTTGGTTCACAGTCACGCGCGGACCGTTACAAAGTCAAGATTCCATAGAAGTCTGTGAAAAAAATCGAAAATTATACTAAGAGAACGCAAAATGGTCGTTTTTTTTACAGATATCTAATCAATGTTTTTAACGCATTTGAAGCAAATTTTGTTCTAATACTTACTATAATCTGATTTAATAGAAAATATTTGTGATATTCAAATGCATGGTCGGTAATATAGCCGTCTCTTTTCCTCGCGGTCCGTACCCGCTATATCGCTAACAGTTAACAGAATTGCGCGTAGAGTCAAAGAAATAAGGTCTATATTCTTCCGCATTAAGCAATAAGTCGTAAAATTTTACGAGCTTGCGTTTCGAAATGTCGGAACTATTTGACGCATGCGTTTTAATTAAGACCTTATACAGTAAGCATTAAATGTGACTTTATATCGTTTTTGACCACGCGATCATCTTACGGAGCTCCGTGGATCGTTTAATGTACCTTTTGGACAGGTTTCGGGCACGATTTTGTTCGCGTTGGTGTATCTAGGGTATTTAATATCGTTGGTCTAAGTGCATTTTATGGTGGAACTGAGTGTTGTAGTGTAGTGAGTGTGTAGTCGAGTGATGAGTATAATAACTAGTAAACCAGTGAACCAAATGTTCACCTAAAATTGATTTAAAAAAAAAACATGTATTTAATTAATTGAGAGCTTCGGAGATTTTGTGTGGTTTCGTTTGAAATTCGTGATTTCTCGAAAACCGGAAGTGCTACGTTACTCAAATCCGGTTTGTAGTCTTATCAGACTATTCTTAACTTATAACTTAAATATTCTCTTTCTCTATCTCTTCCGGTTTGGCCGCTGAAACAGCACCACAGACAGACAGACGGACGGACTTGTCTAATAGATAAGAGATACTGACCCGGCGTCGCGGGCGCATACAGTGAGGGAGAGCCGCGCTGTCTCTCGCAGCTGGCCACACTCTCCTGGCCTTCTCTCTCTCTGCACCCGTCTCTTTCCACCGAGTTACAACACCTGACCAAATACATATGTCGTTATGATTTTATTTATTTTTAAGCATTTAACTGCTAGATGTTTAAATCTAAAGAAAAGTTTACTAGAAAAAAAAACCTACAATGGATTACCTACAATGCGAAGAGATGGCGCTGCCTTGCAGCTTAACGCTAGGGAAATTTCGACGCGGCTAATAGGGCCGTGGTAGCATAATGGTCAGTGCATTCGCCCGGATAGCGAAGGATGCGGGTTCGAGTCCCGTCCGCTGCCTCGTCCGCGTGGATTTTTTTCTAGTAAACTTTTCTTTAGATTTATACATATGTCGTTTCAAACATAATCTTTATTAAAGAAAATTCTCTTCGGATTTAAACCCTTCAGCAGCTAAATAATTCATCACCATCAGCCTATTAATGTCCCCCTGCTGGGGCACAGGCCTGAACCTATGGATGGACTGGAGAGATTGGGCCATGATTAGTGTTGCCAGGTCCGATTTGTTTTAAATCGGTACGAGATGTCAAAAAATCGGGATTTAGAGTTGCAGATCGGGATAGTTAACAAAAAACAAGGAGTTTTTAAGTCTGGGTTAAATTGATTACGTTTTTAACTACTAGTGCAAGTATAGTATTATATTAATTAAATAAATTTCATGTTTTTGATTAATCGGGAAATTTAGCTTCCCGATCAGGTACTAATCGGGACACCTGGCAACACTAGCCATGACCCACCACGCGGGCCCAGTGCGGATTGGCGGGTGCTAACGACTGCAGATGCAGCCGGAAGCAACGGCATAACGTGCCTTCCGAAGCACGGAGGAACTCGAAATAAAAGATTTTTGGTCACCCATCCAATGACAAACCACTGCGAAAGTTGCTTAACTTCAACGATCGCAGCCAAACCTCCTCTATCATTTATAGGGTTGAGGCCTAGAACTCACTGTTTATCATATTGACAGGGAGAATCATTCGGCTCGCCATTCATTTTTTGTCAAGTCAACATCTAATCATACGCCAAATAAAAGGGTGTTTAGCGTCATATACATGTCGCTTCGGCGTTGTGAACAATAAAATCTTCAAAAAAAATTGTTGCTTAAGCGCCAAAAAAATCACTGACATCTTCAAGAAATACAAACAGATCGACGCATAAAAAAATCTGACAATAATGTGATTCGAATAAGAATAGGAAAGCCAATGACCTCCATCTGTCAAATGTCGCTTGAAAAGTACGGTTTGCAAAAAAAACGCGGAACACTTTTTTAGCACTCAGCTGATTCTAGAATTAAAACCAAACATTTGTAAACAAACAATAACAAATATTGATAATTAATATTAGTTGACTTTTTTTTTCATTTATTGAGTTTTGGCTATGAATGGTTGATAACCTAAATCGTCAACCAAATGTCACTTTATGTTGCGTTCAGAAACTCGATTTAAAACTTTCGTTTACATATAGGATGCATGTTCGTATGTGACCTGCATGATCACTAATAACTTCACGGATCACTAATGACTTTCCCGGTGGGTAGTTGGAAAAGAAGGTGTATTAAAGCCTCTCTTAATTAAAATTATTTATTTAAATACAAATAGTAAATCAACGGTTGTGATTCTTATGCCAAATTAATATATAGTGCACTGTACCTGCCGGCGAGTGTTATCCTCATTATTTATTATCATTAACACTGATTATCTCCATCAACATAATGGACAGCATACAGGAAACACTTTCTCAACTGCAAAATATGTTCACGAAACGGATGGATGCCTACCAGAGTGAGCTACAGGCTGCTACTCCATCAGCTACTGTTTCCAGCCTGGCCGCAGACTTCACAACATTTAGAAGTTTCATCATATCCTCCATTCAAAGTATTCAAGATCAGATGAACCTGCTGGCTCATCAGGTTGACAGCCTGGAGATGCATAGCCGCAGGAAGATACTCCTACTCCATGGTCTGCCGGAGTCATCTGAGGAGAATGTTACAGCTGCTGTTGTGGGGGCTGTCACCAGTCAGCTGGGGCTGTCGACCTTTTCTTCTAAAGATATTAGTCGCTGTCATCGGATGGGTCGCTCTTCTACAGGTCATCGTCCACGGCCAATTGTGGTAAAGCTAAGAGAATTAGCCGTTCGAAACAAAATGTGGTTCAGCAAAACCTCTCTGAAGGGCACAGGACTGACACTAACGGAGTTTCTCACAAAAAATAGGCATGATGCTTTCATAGCTGCACGAGAGCTTTTCGGTATAAATAAATGTTTCACGCGGATGGGTTATGTGTTTATCATTGGAGGTGACGGTAAGCGACACAGAATCAGCAGTCTGGCCGAGCTGAAAAATATCCCAGCCCCAAAAGAGGTGAGAGCTGAGTCGCCTAAGCCGAACAAGCTCCCGGCACCAGTAGTGACGAGATCCGAGTCGCCCGAGCTGAATAAGAACCCAGCACCAGTAGTGGCCAGAGTCGAGTCACCAAAGCCTGCAGTTTCAGTATCTTCCAACATTGCCAAGACCAGACGTGCGGCAAGCAAGAAATAAGTTTGTTTTTGATAACTATTATCTTCTTGTTCAGTGTTTGTTTTCAAGTTTCTCATAATTTGCATGTTTCAAAATTAGTTGCTTGTCTGCTATCATAGCACCCTGTTGTGTCGGTATTAAGCCAATTATTATAAAATGAGGGTGTAATTTTTATAAAACGCTAAGCTTATTTTTCTTGTGCTAACCTCAAACATATATTATAGACGGACCGACTATGACAATGACATTTCCATTTTACTTTTTGTCCTTAACCTATAGCATAAGATCTTAGTTCTGTACAGCCTTGTAAGTTTTATAAATTGTATTTCGATTAAATTAAAGTAACTTTGGTTTGGATCCGCAGATAGTGCTGTAAATATTCCGACATTAATTTATAAGTTTATATGTGTAATCTAATTGTGTTTTGTTTTGATTATGCGTTCTGTTCTTGAATTATTTTAAATCATGTTATTTTTGATTTTTTTTTATTCCACTCAACCGGCAGGTGGAGCCAATAGACGGTTAGTTTTGAGTAATAGTTATATATTTGTTATTTTTATTTGTATTATATATTATTTATTTATTTTTTAAGTATATAAGCTTAAATTGTATGTCCAGTTTGGAAATAGATAGTGATGATGATTTTTTCCAATCTGTATCACCAGCTAGCGGCAGCACTAGCAGTAGTTTTGTTAGTATACCCTCTCTCTCTGAATACCTTGATAACCAGTTTTCTGATGTACCTAGAAATTTTAACGTGGTTCATATCAACGCGCAAAGTATTCCGGCTCACTACACTGATATGTTGGCGTCTCTTGACAATAAAAATCTTCATGCCGTTTTAGTCTCCGAGTCCTGGCTTAAACCTTCACTACCTTCTACTTCATATTCTTTACCTGGTTTCCAGTTAATACGCAACGGCCGTGTTGGTTCTCGAGGTGGTGGAGTTGCTATTTATCTGCGTACTGAAATTCCCTATACTGTCATTAGCTTCTCCACACAGCCTCCTCCAACTAATGCTGGCGAGCATTTGTTCGTTGAGATACTTCTCTCACACACCAAAGTCCTCCTCGGAGTCTACTACAGCCCTTCCTTAAATGTAAACTTTTTCAGTTCTTTTGAACAGCTTTTAGAAGATTGCGTCCCTTCTTACGACCATTCCCTGATCATGGGTGACTTCAACACTTGTCTTTTGAAAGGTGATTTTCGTGCCACCTCCCTCCAATCCGTTGTCAGTTCATGTAATTTACACATCCTTCCACTTAGCGCTACTCACCATTTCCCAAATACTACTCCTTCACTTCTAGACTTATTAATAGTGTCTTCTCCTCAACGTGTTATGAAACATGGTCAATGTTCGGCGGATGCATTTTCATATCATGACTTGGTTTTCTTATCATACAAGATCCGTCCTCCTAAGTCCAAGCCCAAAGTCATTCTTCAGCGGAATTTTGGTGGTATGGATCGGGATGCGTTTCTCAAAGACGTGCATGGAGTCGACTGGTCGTTGGTGACTGATGCCGTGACTGTGGACGAACAAGTATCTGCTTTTAATAATATAATAACCACACTTTACAATAAACATGCACCGTTTCGTCCCATTAAACTTAAGCACCATCCAGCACCTTGGCTAACACCAGATATAAAAGCATTGATGCTCAAGAAGAACGTAGCTAAGAGTAAATATAAAATTCGTCCGACAGACTCCTATAAAACTAATTATGTCAAGGCTCGTAATCACTGCAACATGGTGTGTAGGGATGCTTTACGTCGCCATATTCATGCTTCTGTCAGTAATAATGATTCTTCTAAAGTGTGGAACTTTCTTAGGTCACTTGGAATTGGTAAAGCTCGTCAAAAGTCTATTCCTAGCAACGTCGATATAAATTCACTTAATACTCACTTCTCTTCATCGTCTAGTCTTAGTGATTCACACAAGACTAATACTTTAAATTTTCTTTCATCTTTACCAGTTCCTGACTACTCACCTTTTGTCTTTACTCAATTCACCGAATGTGACGTTAGGAAGGGCATGCTATCCATATCTTCCAATGCGGTAGGTAATGATAGCATAAGTCGTAATATGCTGATACCTATCCTAGATATAATCCTTCCTATACTTACCTTTCTTTTTAATAGCTCTTTAGCAAACGCTGTTTTTCCATCGGCTTGGAAAGAAGCCCAAATCATCCCTTTGCCCAAAAAATCCAATCCTCAATCTTTTGCCGATTTTAGGCCTATTTCTATCCTTCCCTTCTTATCTAAAGTCCTCGAACGTCTGGTTCATAACCAATTAAATACATTCCTGTCTCGTCATGACCTTTTAAACCCTTTCCAATCTGGTTTCCGTCCAGGGCGCAGTACTACGACTACCCTCTTGAAAATCACAGATGACATTCGCCTTGGGATGGATCAAGGTCACCTAACGGTACTGACATTATTGGACTTCAGCAATGCCTTCAACACTGTTAATTTTGACATTCTTCTGGCGTTGCTGCGCTCGCTTAACGTATCTCCATCGGTGATTGAGTGGTTTCGCAGTTATTTGCAGGAGCGCAGGCAGAGGGTTCGCCTCGATGAGATTTTTTCCTCATGGTGCGACACTTCCGCTGGTGTTCCCCAAGGCGGCGTTCTATCTCCTCTTCTTTTCGCTATATTTATTAATTCTATTTCCAAAAATATTACTTCTTCCTACCACCTGTATGCAGATGATCTTCAAATTTATAGACAAGCCCCTCTTGATCAATTATCTGAAGCAATACTGGCCACCAATAATGATTTGCGACATATTGTAGAGTGGAGCAAATCCGTTGGACTAGAGATAAATCCCTCCAAAACACAATGCATCATTATAGGTAGCTCAAGGTTGATTGCCAAAGTGAAATGGCAATTACTTCCTAACATAACTCTTGCTGGCACCAGTATTCCATTTAGTGTATCTGTTAAAAATTTAGGAATAATTGTCGATAACCGTTTCAGTTGGGATCCACAGTTACAAGCTGTTAGCCGAAAATTGTTTGCTTCAGCAGCTTCGCTGAAGAGACTCCGTAATTTCCTTCCAATTGCCACCAAAATTGCCCTAGCACAGTCTCTGCTACTTCCTATTCTTGATTACGCTGACGCCTGCTATCCTGATCTCACAGAGGACCAGCTAAACAAGCTTGAGCGACTTCAAAATTTCTGCATTCGGTTTATATTCTGCTTACGCAAATATGACCATGTATCTCAATTTCGATCACAGCTCAAGTGGCTACCTATTCGCCTTCGCCGGAATACTCACATCCTCACACTTCTTTACAATATATTGTTCAATCCTTTGTCCCCGCGCTATCTCAAGGAATGCTTTAATTACCTTCATAATTCCAATGCGTTATCTCTAAGGTCATCAGAAAATTTAACCCTAAAGATTCCTATTCATGACACGACCTTCTATGGTCGTTCTTTTAACGTCCAAGCTGTACGTCTATGGAATTCTCTTCCTGTATCCATAAGACAAGCGCAATCTGTTAATGTCTTTAAAAATCTAGTTGCAAATCACTTTTTGTCTATGTAGCTGCATTTTTATCTCTGCTGACTGGACTAAACTTATATATGTGTAGTCTATGTATTGTATAATATGTATATATGTATGTATATATAATAAGTATATTTAATTCATAAATTCGTTCATATACCTTGTTTCTTTTACTGACACCGCCGACTCTAGCTTTCTTTCAATCCTCTCCATCCAAAGGTTGTCTGGAAGAAATCGCTTTTAGCGATAAGACCGCCCATTGAAGCACTTTGTTTTTACAATTGTAATTTCCCTCATTTCTGTTCTGTGTTGTGGTGTTTTCAATAAAGTATTGTGTATTGTATTGTGTATTGTATTGTATTGTAACTTCTCCGGCGGTAATGCAGAGATGAGCGGAATTGAAGAGCTAGATTCTGATTAATGTTTTTTCTCACATAGTTTTATTAAAGAAATATTATTAAAAATCGGTTGTGTTTTTTCTCAATCTTAGTAAATTAACTTTAATAAAAAAAAATGTGTGCGTGTACTTATGTAGGCGCGTGAGAAGTTATCCTTCTTTGGCATCGTTTAAAATTAGTTTTTAATTGCATGCAAATAATTAATTACAATAAATTAATAAAAAGTCTGGAAAAGGACACAGTCAATAAAGTTCAGTTTTAATTTGAAAAAATAAATAAATAATCAAAATATTCAATTAAAATCGCTACTGAATATAATTTATTAGAACATATGTGATTTGCACTTGTATGAAACTCAAACACGTATTCCGAATATACAAACTAGAAACATGTGGATAAATATTATAAATATGAATACCTATAACTGTTACTTTATTACAAAAAATAAAGATGTGGTTTTTGGTTCTACTACACCAATGGTCAAGAGATGGCGCTGCAGTCTCCTGAATCGCGCTTTGGTTCCGTTGTTCCAGATTAATAAATACTTTTGATATTATAAATATGAATACCTATAACTGTTACTTTATTACAAAAAATAAAGATGTGGTTTTTGGTTCTACTACACTAATGGTCAAGAGATTGCGCTGTAGTCTCCTGAATCGCGCTTTGGTTCCGTTGTTCCAGATTAATAAATACTTTTGATAGGCCTTCACAATGCAGTCGTTAGCACCCACTAAATAGAGATTCTATTTCTATTTTGTTGGTAGATTTTCTTAATGTGCGGTAAACACAAAAGTAACCCATGAAGTTGGTCGCTTAGCTGTTAAAATTTTGTGTTACAGTGATGCGCGCGCATCTTAAAATTTCACTCTCATAATTTTTTCATAACGCGCCTAAAGAAGTATAACTTCAAAAAATTGTCTTACTTAATCTTAGTAAATAAGTTTTATTAAATAGCAACATTTTTTTGCTCACTCTACCTATTTGGTTTGAATTGACAGCTATGACGTCAAAATATCGCGCCCAGTCGGTCCTATTCTTAGTTGAATCTTATTATATTGAAACTATTTATTTATTTATTATTTATATAACCCATTTTGGACCAAAGTGGCCACTGGTTCTAAATATACATCGTATATCGCCACACTATAAGACATGAGGGTAGTTCTCACCTGGCAGGATGCTGGTCCGCATCAGAAGCCATGGACAACCGCAGACTGGGATCTGATGACGTCACTGGGTCTATATATACTTCGGCGGCATCCACACTAAAAATTATAATTCGTAAATTTTAAGCTCAACTCACACTGGCGTCGCGTCTCGTCATGTTTTCGACTTGGAAAAACTTGCTACAGACAGAAATCATGAAACTTCGTCGTATTAGTGGTTTTTTTGGGGTTCCGTACCTCAAAAGGAAAAAACGGAACCCTTATAGGATCACTTTGTTGTCCGTCCGTCCGTCTGTCTGTCTGTCAAGGCCGTTTTTCTCAGGAACGCGTGGAGGTGTCAAATTGAAATTCATATCTAATACTCAACTCTACTGTCCCTTGGAGCTGTGAAAAAATCAAACTTGTAAGCCAAAGCAATCAAAAGATACAGCCGTTTATGCCGCAAAATTCCGCAAATTTTGGAAACTCGCACGGGAATCAAAACCTACAGGGTACTTCCCGTGAACTTAGAATCTTGAAATTTGGTACGAAGTAACGTCTTATAGTATAGATAATAGAAAATTTACCAAACCCGTAAATTTTTAGTTACATCTATCTATCTATATATATAAAACTGAAAGGTGACTGACTGACATAGTGATCTATCAACGCACAGCCCAAACCACTGGACGGATCGGGCTGAAATCTGTCATGCAGGTAGATGTTATGACGTAGGCATCCGCTAAGAAAGGATTTTGATCAATTCTACCCCCAAGGGGATAAAATAGGGAATCAAAGTTTGTATGAAACTTTGTCAATTTTAAACCGATCGGGCTGAGACTTTGCATGCAGGTATAAGAAGAATCATAGATGATTGTCATTGTGTATAATACAAGCCTGAGAACAAAAACTGTAATCTACACCGAAGCGAAGCGAGGGCGGGCCGCTAGTCATATAATAAAAAAGATATTTGAAAATTCGGGTTTGTACGGAACCCTCCGTGCGCGTGTCCTACTCACACTTGGCTAGCTTTTTTAATGCTTAATAGGCATGGGATTTGACAACAATCTCGCCTGATGGAAAGCGATGATGAGGCCTACGATGGTACACGCCTGCCTAAAAGATGCCTGTTCACTCTGGCCTTGAACATGTCCAGATTATATTGGTCCGGGAAAACAGACCTCGGCAATGAGTTCCAGTAAGAAAAAAATGGGTGCGTGTACTTATGTAGGCGCGTGAGAAGTTATCCTTCTTTGGCATCGTTTAAAATTAGTTTTTAATTGCATGCAAAGTCTGGAAAAGGACACAGTCAATAAAGTTCAGTTTTAATTTGAAAAAATAATAAATCAAAATATTCAATTAAAATCGCTACTGAATATAATTTATTAGAACATATGTGATTTGCACTTGTATGAAACTCAAACACGTATTCCGAATATACAAACTAGAAACATGTGGATAAATATTATAAATATGAATACCTATAACTGTTACTTTATTACAAAAAATAAAGATGTGGTTTTTGGTTCTACTACACCAATGGTCAAGAGATGGCGCTGTAGTCTCCTGAATCGCGCTTTGGTTCCGTTGTTCCAGATTAATAAATACTTTTGATAGGCCTTCACAATGCAGTCGTTAGCACCCACTAAATAGAGATTCTATTTCTATTTTGTTGGTAGATTTTCTTAATGTGCGGTAAACACAAAAGTTAATTTTTTGTATTACAGTGATGCGCGCGCATCTTAAAATTTCACTCTCATCATTTTTTCATAACGCGCCTAAAGAAGTATAACTTCAAAAAAAGTCAAACCCATAACTTTAACACGAGATTTAAGAACAAGCTTGCCGTTCCTTGTTTCAGACTCCAAAAATAAAGAGGTTCATTTCTGGGTTGTAGTATTGCATTGTTTAACAAAGTTCCCCAAGATCTGATTGAGCTTCCACTAACCAAATTTAAATCTCAGATTAAAAATACTCTTATGAATAAGGGCTTATTATAAAGTTAATGATTATCTAAATAATCGTAATGCATGGACATAGTGTTTCTTGTAATTTGTTATTTGATGGGTATTAATCAGTTTTTGTAACAGTTATATGGTACATATCTAATGCCGCTTCCTATATACTAAATATAAAAATATTATTGTAACTGTATATATCTATATCCTAAATAATGTAATGGAAGGTGACTTCAGAAGTATCTCGGAAGTCATTTTTCAACTTGACGACTCTGTATATATCAATCAATACAGGGAGAAAAAAACAGCCCTTGCTGAGTTTCTTGCCGGTTCTTCTCAGTACAAGGTCTCCCGCCGTAGATTTGCGAACCGATGACGTAGCTTCTAGACCTTCAAAACTGCTTGTAACAGCCTAGACTGAATAAATAAATGACTTTTCATTTCATTTCAATGAGTTCCAGTAGAAAATAACTTATTTGTAGGAAAATAGATATGAATTTGCTACAGGCGGAACGCGTCGTGTCGCTTCGACTCTGCGCCAGTGTTAGTAGAGCCTTAAAGCCAGATTTACATTGATACAGTAGCTGGCGCCAGTTTTAGGCGCCAAAAAAACGGTGCCAATAACTGGACTGGATTGTATCGTTTACATTTTTGCCAGCAGTTGCATTTGAGGTTTAGTGGTGACTACACGTTTGGGAAAAAAGTGAACACTGATTTTATTTTCGCTTTCATTTCTTCAATAGTTAATCTTTCCATATTCATTGAAGAGCAAATCTTTGACAGGGCGGTTATTCGCGGTATTTATTTCTATAAATTTGCGAACGAATGTCCCATAAACACTCCTCATTTCTATATAAACTAGCTGACTCGGCGAACTTCGTACCGCCCAAAAGTAATAATTTGCAATAAATTAAAATTGCGACTATAATTTGAGATTTAAACTATCCTATCTCTCAAGTTGGATCGAACTGCACATGGTGTGCGAATTTTATTATAATCGGTTCAGTGGTTTAGGAGTCCATTGAGGACAAACATTGTGACACGAGATTTATATATATTAAGATGTATAAATTGTAATGCGTTATCATCACCCCACTTTCGAGACATTTTCTTGTCGAAAGTTTCAGCAAATCAATAACACGTGGTGACTGGCATGAACGTGTTTAAAAAGATCCAGTGACGCTGGCAAGGGGCGCGGGGGATGCGGGGTGTGGGCACTGGCATGAAAAGTAGGCCTTCGTTCTACTCCATGCCAGCGCGGGACTGGCGAGAAAAAAATTTTACATGGATCCAGTGCTGGCATGCCAGCGGGACTGGCGCCAGCTACTGTATTAATGTAAATTTGGCTTAATGTCCTTTCATTCGGATCAAAATTACGGCTAAAATCATACAAGAGCTGTTTAAACATGGTTTTAAAACGTGTCATCTTTCTGTGGCACAACCCATTTTCTCCGAAATAAGGCTAATAACGAAATGACTTTCATCATCATCATCAGCTTATTAATGTCCCCATTGCTGGGGCACAGGCTTTCCCTATGGATGGAATAGGGAGATTGGGCTATGACCCACCACGCGGGCCCAGTGCGGATTGGTGGGTGCTAACGACTGCAAATGCAGCCGGGACCAACGGCTTAAGATGCCCTCCGAAGCACGGAGGAGCTCGAGATAGTAATTTTTTGGTCACCCATCCAATTACCGACCACTGCGAAAGTTGCTTAACTTCAACGATCGCAGCCGAACGCGCTAACCACTTGCGCCATCGAGCTCCTCAAAATGACTTCACTGAGAGAATATTTAGAAACGAAAATTGACTTGGAGAAGAATAAATTAAATGACATAAGTAAAGACATACATATAAATATTACAATTAAATTAAGTTGCACTTACACGCCTTGTCGAACTTAATCAATAAAAAAAAATCCACCAAAATGTATTTACTCTGTATTGTCTACGATCTCCGTGGCCGAGTGGTTTGTACGCCGGGTTTCATGGTGTCGCCGACTCGAGAGGTCCCGGGTTCGAATCCCGATGGGGGCAGATGTTTGGGTGATGAATACGAGCACTCCAGTCTTGGATGTTTATTACGTATTTCTATAAAAATATACTTATATATGTACAGTAATTACACACATCAAAAGTGTCTAGGGATCAAGCATTTTTATGCGGATTTCTTGAGATTGAGATGTGGCTTTGTAATAAATTTATGATTTTATAAATTTATATGGATCCTTTTTGGTGCATTTCATAATTTGAATCAGGAACTGTGAATCAAATTCGAATAAAAGATGAAAATCAGCTGTCAATATTTTCCCTATAAAAACATACAACGCATTGAAGACATTATTAGTGCTACTGTTTCCCTACTACTGATTAAAACCAACGTTATTATGGAGCGGCGACGTCATTTAAGCAGGGAAGAAATGCTCAGAGCCGTGGGAATGATAGAAGCTGGTTCCCGGCAACGTACTGTGGCTTTAGCTCTGAATACAAGTCAGAGTGTTATCAGTCGACTTTGGACACGATACCGAAGCACTGGTACCGTGGCTGAGCGCCATGGAGGACGGTATCGCTGCACCACACGGAGACAAGACCGATACATTCAAATCTTAACTCGAAGAGCTCCAACAATAACCGCCATGATGTTAGCCGTGAGGCTTCATCACTCTTCAGGGAACTTAATTAGCGACCAAACAGTCAGAAACCGCTTGCATGAAGTGAACCTTCATTCCCGAAGACCGCTACGGGTACCACCTATAGCAATGCACAATCGTAGGATTCGATATCAATGGGCTCTTGAACACAGAAATTGGGCAGAAGAACAATGGCGTTTCGTGTGCTTTTCTGATGAGTCTCGTTTTGGTATGAGACCGGATACAAGACGTATACGACACTGGAGAACCCCTGGACGCCAACAGCGATTAAAATCCTGCCAGGAAGTCCATCCTTATAGTGGTGGAACCATCATGGTATGGGCGGGTATTTGGATCGGCGGAAGAACTGAGTTGATTTGGATCAGAGGCAACCTCAACGCTCAAATTTATGCTGAGACGATTGTATCAGACGTCATCGTTCCTCTACAAGTGCAAATCGGTCCCTTATTTCAGTTAATGCATGATAATGCACGACCGCACACCGCAAGAGTTGTAAGACAGACTCTCGCCGCAGCTAACATCAATGTCCTGCCCTGGCCTGCTCAGTCGCCAGACTTGAACCCGATTGAGCATGCATGGGATATGCTACAGAGAAGAGCTCTGCCGAATATGGAGGGTATCCAGTCGCAAGAAGACCTTTTTTTGTTGTTGCAACGAACATGGGCGGCCATTCCACAGCGTGATTTGGATGAACTCATTTTGAGTATGCCAAACCGATGTTCTTGTGTTGTTAGTGTTCGCGGTAGAAATACGGATTATTAATTGTTTAAGTTACCCAATAAAATTTTAGAGAAAACTGTTATTTCAGTCTTTTTTTCGAACTTTTGTGTTAGTGGTTCAAATGTCAAAAATCCCTTTATTAGGAAAATGGCAAATTTCTTTATTAATGCAAAGGTGACTTGGTTTATCGTTACTGTGACAAACGAAAACACTTTATTTGATGAATCCTTAAAGAAAATTTTAATTAATATCAATCAGGAGAAAAGTTATTGCAAAAATATATGTTGATCCCTAGACACTTTTGATGTGTGTATGTATTCTATCCGTTACCCTAGCATCCCATAACACAAGCCTTATAGTGCTTACTTTGGGGCTAGGCTAATTGGTATAAATGTTGGAAATATTTATTTATTACTAACGGTCCGCCCTCGCTTCGCTTCGGTGTGAGCTAAAGTGCAGACTACAGCTTTTGTTCTCAGGCTTGTATTATACACAATGACATTCATCTATGATTCTTCTTATACCTGCATGCAAAGTCTCAGCCCGATCGGTTTAAAATTGACAAAGTTTCATACAATCTTTCATTCCCTATTTTATCCCCTTGGGGGTAGAATTGATCAAAACCCTTTCTTAGCGGATGCTTACGTCATAACATCTACCTGCATGCCAAATTTCAGCCCGATCCGTCCAGTGGTTTGGGCTGTGCGTTGATAGATCACTATGTCAGTCAGTCAGTCACCTTTGAGTTTTATATGTATAGAAGATAGATAGATTGTGTAAATAAATTTCATTTGATTTCAATTCTTTGGATAGAATATAAATGAAGGGAATAAGGTGACATAACTGTAATACCTTTCGGACGGTGGCGCGGGAGGCGCTGGTTCCTGCGGCGTGGGCAGCTCCGATGGACTCAACGCTGACGAGCTGTCGATCTAACGAACATCATTAACAAATGTCAGTACATTCCATCCCAGTGGATAACGGAGCATAGACCACATAAATAGGTTACAGGGGTGATAGTAGACTATCTACACTTCAATCTTGAACATAACGGCCAATCATACGACGCGACATCAAAAAATTAACCAATCACAGCACACCTGACAGCAACGACGCAATCAGAAAAAAAGTGTTGTTTTTTTTATAGATAGGTCCGACAAATGACTACACCCCACCTGATGTTAAGTGAAGGTGAAGTCCAGACGCGAAGATAGCTGGTACAGCAGTTCTACCTGCCACACCAGCCATCCTCACCCTGCCGGCCTGCATGTTGCTTCTTCACGCCTCTTTTAAAGGATCCCAGGTTGTAAGAGGGAGGGAACACGTGAGCGGGCAGAGCATTCCATTTACGGATAGTGCGACAAAGGAATGAGTCACCAAATTTCTTTGTACGCGTTGGAATTGTGGCCACAGTTGACGGTGACAACGTAGGCCAGCGCGCGTGGTCCTCTGAAGGAAAGGGGAAGGTGGGATAAGAGAGAATAACTCCTCAGAACACTCGCCGTGGTACAAACGATAGAACGCGCTTAGTGACGCCACGTCACGGCGTAATTGAAGAGGCTCGAGGTGTTTAGTCACCTCCTCATCGCCTATGATGCGGATCGCGTGCCGCTGTAACCTATCCAAAGCATCTATACATCCTCTGAAGGAAAGGGGAAGGTGGAATAAGAGAGAATTACTCTAGTGTTGGTCAGCTATGAGCATTTGCTCACACATAACTGTGGCGCGCCTGCCCCGCCCACAAGGCAATTCTTACCTCTTTCTGTATTCTGTGGTACGGAGTCATTGAACATAGAGGGAGTGGTTTAAACGCCGGGTTTAATGGTGTCGCCGCCTCGAGAGGTCCCGGGTTCGGTGTTTGTGTGATGAATACGAGCATTTGTACAAGTCAGGGATGTTTAATATGTATTTCTATATAAATATCCTTATGCATCTATATGTATTCTATCCGTTACCCTAGTATCCCATAACACAAGCCTACACAGTGCTTACTTTGGGGCTAGGCTAATTGGTGTGAGTGTTGGAAATATTTATTTATTTATTAATAAGGTTAAGTCGAGTATAATTCGAAAGAAAATATTACTAAAATTCTACGCGAACTAAGTAATATTTTTATTTATTAAGTTTTTCAAGTAATATTTTCTTATGATTTAAACACCGGGAAGTTACATGCTAATAAAATCAAAATTAAGTCGAGTAGTTTAGATTGCTCATTACCTGTTCAGTCCTGGATTGGTCTGCATCATTGTCCAGTTCTCCAGCCGGCTGCGTGGTGGATTCGCATTCATCTGCAAAACGGGGGTAAATATTGTCACAAACGATCACGAACCAAAACCGCGAAAATACTAAATAAATAATAAATATCTCTTATCTATTAGACAAGTCCGTCCGTCCGTCCGTCCGTGGTGCTGTTTCAGCGGCCAAACCGTAAGAGATAGATATAGAGAATTTTTAAGTTATAAGTTAAGAATAGTCTGATAAGACTACAAACTGGATGTGAGTAACGTAGCACTTCCGGTTTTCGAGAAATCACGTGATTTCTATTTCAAACGAAACCACACAAAATCTCCGAAGTTCTCAATTAATTAAATACTTTTTTTTTTTTGGTGAACATTTGGTTCACAGGTTTGCTAGTATATAATATATTGAGTTGAGTTATAGATACGTCATTCATACGCGCTTCTAATTTGGCAATACGAAAGATACGTCATTCATACACGCTTCTCATCTGGCAATACGAAAGATACGTCATTCATACGCTCTTCTCATGTGGCAATACGAAAGATACGACATTCATACACGCTTCTCATTTGGCAATACGAAAGATACGTCATTCATACGCTCTTCTCATGTGGCAAAAGGAAAATACGACATTCATACACGCTTCTCATCTGGCAATACGAAAGATACGTCATTCATACGCTCTTCTCATGTGGCAATACGAAAGATACGACATTCATACACGCTTCTCATTTGGCAATACGAAAGATACGTCATTCATACGCTCTTCTCATGTGGCAAAAGGAAAATACGACATTCATACACGCTTCTCATCTGGCAATACGAAAGATACGTCATTCATACACGCTTCTTATTTGGCAATACGTCATTCATACGCTCTTCTCATGTGGCAATACGAAAGATACGACATTCATACACGCTTCTCATTTGGCAATACGAAAGATACGTCATTCATACGCTCTTCTCATGTGGCAATACGAAAGATACGACATTCATACACGCTTCTCATTTGGCAATACGAAAGATACGTCATTCATACGCTCTTCTCATGTGGCAATACGAAAGATACGTCATTCATACACGTTTCTAATTTGGCAATACGAAAGTCAAGTAATTGCCCGACTTGCACTCAGTCATGCACACTCTCTCGCCGCGGCTACGCTTCGCTACAACGTGTAAATATATTCTGTTTTTCCAGACAAAAAGCCCTTTGTGTATTTTTAGATAGTACACAAATTACACGGGATCTATTAGAGCTTTGGCTGCGGTGGTCGCTGATTCCAACATTTTAGAATACCATAACTTAGAGAACTTACCAAAAAGTTCTTCTTCCGGTAAAGCAGCACTTTTCTTATGTGCCGCTCGTGTACTGAACACCTCAATCTCATGATATCAGGTAACTTGGGTAAGACTAGGATGTTCTTTAAGAGAATTATAATTTTTAGTTTCCCATCAGGAATTCGATATTAGCTCCTCTTTTAGCCAATTTCTCTGGCTCCACCACGCCATCTTTAAAACCATCTGTAGCTTACCAGAAAGGTCTTTTTCAGGAATAGCAGCACTCTGCTTATATGCTGCTCGTCTCCTTACCAGCTCGGCTATGACCCCGTGTCTCCGTTAGCACTTACCCTCGTTTACCCTGACTACAGTAACCACTATCTGCCGAATGCTGACTCCACTGCTCTCATCTACGCAATCTTCCATCTCTAAGGCGTCTATTAGATGCTCATGCAGCCGTCAATCTATTCCATTAGTCGTGAATGATAAAACACGGAAGGCGACGAAGAAGTCATCAGTCACCCCCTTACACGATGAGTTATTATACTGGGTAACTTATCCAGCAGTCAAAGATTTGATTGCCAGCAATATAAAAGCAAATCTAATGGACGAATTACTTTACCAGAAAGTTCTTCTTCAGGTATAGCAGCGCTCTGCTTATGCGCCGCTCGTCTCCTGACCAGCTCAGCTATGACTCCATGTAGTTCAGCAAGCCTCGCATCATGAGCTCTCGCCGCAGTGGCCGCCCTCTGCCGCTCGGCTGCTAGAGCCCTGGCTAGGGCGTCCCGCTCAATCTTTAGAGCGGTGACGTCATCACGACCGCTGGTCGAAGAAGCTACCTGTAAACAAGAATAAATAAATAGATGGTTGTTTGATTATTTTAAGAAATATGAAAGCTTGATGATGATGATGAGATAGCGCAAGTGGTAAGCGCGTTTGCCTGAGATCGTTGAAGTTAAGCAACTTTAGTAGTGGTCGGTGATTGGATGAGGGACCAAAGAGGGTTACTATCTCCAGGTCCTCCGTGCTTCGGAAGGCATGTTAAGCCGTTGGTCCCGGTTGCATCTGCAGTCGTTAGCACCCGCCAATCCGCACTGGGCCCGCGAGGTGGGTCATGGCCCAAACACCCTATTCCATCCATAGGGAAGGCCTGTGCCCCAGCAGTGGGGACATTTATAGGCTGATGATGTGGAAAGCGCGACTGAAGGCCAGGTACTTAAATAGTTGATGTTACTCTGGCCTGAGCGGCTAAGAACTCTTGCGCGTTTTTCTCTGGAAAAGCTGTTCTATTGATTGCTACGTCGTGAGTTCTTAGCCTAAAGAGTATGAAAAGACTTGTTAAAAAAAAGCTTTGTTCAGGAGTTCTTGAAATCATCGCAAACATACAGGCAGATACATGGGAAAAGGGTTTTTTTTTTCAATAATTAGTTTAGGCGGTTATGTATCTTCACCACGAAAAATTGAGTCTAACAAGCGAGCTTTGGGTTCTAAGTGTCTAGAACTATTAAGTGATGTCAGTGAACCATCAGTTGAACCTGCTACATTGAAAACAGCAGCATCTCTTTGTATTCCTGCGTGTCACTAATCGCCTACATCTTTTTTGTATGCAAGACCAAAACTTACAATTACATCATTAACTTTATATTTCTATATTATATTGAGTTGAGTTATAGATACGTCATTCATACGCGCTTCTTATTTGGCAATACGAAAGATACGTCATTCATACATGCTTCTCATGTGGCAATACGAAAGATACGTCATTCTTACCCGCTTCTAATTTGGCAATACGAAACATACGTCATTCATACACGTTTCTAATTTGGCAAACCGAAAGATAAGTCATTTATACACGCTTCTTTTTTGGCAATACGATACGTGTTGTCATCTAAAACAGTCTAAGTTACTACTATCTTATTATATTTAATTAGATACTTAAAAAAAAAATTTGTTACACACATATTTTAATCATAGTCATGATTTATATTATGTTGTTGTTCTTTCAGATTTATAAATAAATCAGGTTCATCTAAAATTCATTGCAAAACTACCTTCAAACAACCTACCACGTGATGGAACCCGTTCTGTCCAGGAGCCGGTGGCGCAGTCACAGGCCTCAGACTCGAGTACCGCCACGACGACTCCCTGGACATCTCCTCGTCAGCAACGTTAGGGCAGCACAGATACCAGCTCCTACTCCTCCTCACACCTTGTGAAGAATCCAGCTCCGTCAACGGCAGCCTACCTACAACTTCCAATTCTGCAAGCAACGGTTCCTTCTCCTTAGGCTCGGGCATCGGGAAAGTCCCCGCTGTGGAATAGGTCTCCTCAATCTTCCTTCCATTTTCTGGAATATTGTATTCCGGTAAACTCCACTGCCTGTCTCTGAACGGTGGAACTTCTCTTACGGCGCCATCGTTCACTACCTCATTGGATTCGACGTACTCACTGAGTTCATTCGGATCCTTTTCTTGGACTTCGGGTGGTCTGGTCTTCTTAAGCTTTTCCAAATCGGCGTAATAGTAAGCTGTGGAGCGTGGTAACTCTACGCTTTGAGTTCTGATACTCGCCATTCTTCGTTTTCATACCATTTTTATCGGTATTTATGAGTCACCTGTTCGTGGTCTTCATGGCATCAGCTGGACTTTATGAAACTTTAGAACTGTGGTTTGTGGTTGTTCTGTTTTTGAGATATCCATATATATGGCACAGATTACGCACTGTCAGAGTAGCAAAATTACGGTTAAAACGGTGTGGATTTCACGCTGTTATCTTCAACTTTAGTCAAACTTCTGGAGGTTTTGTTAAAAAACTGTCTGTTAGGATTATTTCTTATGATAAAACATATTTGTAGATGAATAGGAGACTGTTGTTATAAGAAATGGATCAATTCTAAACTAGCAGAGTAATGTTAGATACGGTTAATTAGTGAATGAGGTGCGGTCAGGACCCACGATATTCACTCCTCACGCGCCACTGACCAAATCCAATGGAATCGTCTGTTGACAAATTCTTAATCAACCCCTGCGAACGCTTAACTGGCAACCCAGAGAAACATCGGCTTTATGTATAAGCTATAAAGCTTGATATCCCCTTGTGTACTGAATCCCCACAGCCGAGAATTCACACACAATTTGTTGGGTTGTCGAGCCACCCGTCACTACGTGTAATGTTATCATGTTTGTGAGTCATTGCGAAATTGAATGTTGGCTTGTTTGAAGAAAGGTCGGCCATCCATGTCAGTTTAAATCATTCAATTAATTCTCTTTATGTAGGTCGTATGTTTGTGACAGGTCGATTTAATGTGGCAAAGTTCTACAGTATTCATATGTTATAATTTTTATTATTTTTAAAGCATGTAACTGCTTGATGTTTAAATCCAAAGAAAATATAACTAGAAAAAAATCCACGCGGACCAGGCAGCAGACGGGACTCGAACCCGCACCCTTCGCAATCCGGGCGAATGCACTGACCAATTATGCTACCGCGGCCCTCACGGACCGCGTCGAAATTCTTTCTAGCTATTCTTAAGCTGCAAGGCAGCGCCATCTCTTCGCATTATAGGTAAACCCACAATGTCAAATGAATACTTTTACAAGTATTAAACATTTGAAAGAAGAAATAGCAATTATAGTTATAATTTTTATTATTTTTAAAGCATGTAACTGCTTGATGTTTAAATCCAAAGAAAATATAACTAGAAAAAAACTAGAAAACGGACGGGTTCGAGTCCCGTCTGCTGCCTGGTCCGCGTGGATTTTTTTCTAGTTATATTTTCTTTGGATTCATATGTTGTTATGATTCACTAACTATAAAGTTTGTAATAATATCATTTAGTTTTCAAAGTCATCGATAGATGGCGTAGCTGTTGTGTTCTATCTTTTTCTATGATAGTTCTGAATCACGGTATTTAGTTTGTTTTGAATACGCTTAAGTTCGTTATTAGTTTGAAATAGACACCTTGGCCATAGATCTCGGTGTTTTATTTACCTTACTTAGGTTACTCGCAGACTTTTGGGATTTGAATTGAACACTAAATTTACACGAGCAGCTCAATGGCTGTCCTTACTCACTATTAAGCTAAAAGGCTTGTGTCAGGGGACACCGCTCTTCCATACCTTAAGTAGTATATTTTTATTTCCTAATTAAACAGTATTTAAGAATGTTCATGTAGCCGGTGTATGTGTGCGTGCATGTGTATGTGTTATGATGTGACCAAGTGGTTAGCGCGTTCGGCCGACGATCGTGAGAGTAATTTTAACCTGACAAAATTTGGTCCAACTTCGAAGACTTTAGGCCTTAGATGTGGTGAGACCAATGAGACCCCATTTAATGTCCTTTGCTCGCTTTTCCTAGTGGATTTAAAGGTCCACTGATAATGTTTGAGACGTCATCTTGTTTAAATAGTTACGAATTTGTGCCAATAGATGTCTCTGCACGATCGTGAATCGCAGATGTTGACCACAGAACAACACAGAAAGAGGTTAGAATGGCCTTGTGGGCGGGGCAAGCGCGCCACAGATATGTGTGAGCAATTGCTCAAACTTGACCAAAACTTAGTTCTGATTGCGTCGTTGTCGTTTGATTGGCCGACTGCTTGAGAATTGAGTTATAAAAAGAGAGGTTTTTTTTCGAGTGATTATGCTGTTGGTCGCTGGTGACCTTTACAGCGTCACCGGGTTTGGGGACGGCGAGATCCTAAGGGGACCTCAAGCCGAGAATTGGCGAGTGCCTCCAGAGGTATTCCAGGCGGATGGCAACTCCCCACGGGGGGAGTCTCCTCTCCGTCTGAGAGACCACTAGAACCTGAGGAGACCAGTAGAGGTGTCCAGAAATGTAGATACGAGTGCCACCACAATAGTTTTTTGTGCTTAAGAACAGAAGCGAGATGAGATACATTTGAGTAATAGGTATTTGAAAAAGTGTTGCTGTCCCGCATTTACAAATACCGTGTGATAGGGACAACAGTAGATAACGCTGAGCGTATAAAAATTGCAAAATTTGAGGTTTGGCTCTCGAAGATTTCTTCCTCGAAAATTAGATATATGTAAAAGTACACAAAGAATAATAAGTAGTTATACTATGTCTCATTTTTTGATTTTTTTGTAAACGCTTATTAAATCTCCACACTAGACGTCAAAAATTTGTTTATTTTTGGCTTTTTTCGAGGGCTTCTACTTACTTTGAAACGCAAGTTATCAAAAAAAGGAAGACATAGGAGCATAGAATGAGTAAATTTTATAATTTATATATAAAAATTAATACTTAAGTGCTAAAAATCATGGGGGAATCAGCCGAGAACGTTTGTATGGAAAAACCATAGCGCGTCTCTTCTCTTAAGCCAATGCCGAGCGTTGACATGAGATCACCTTCTGTATAATGCGTTTCAAATAAGAGTAGGCAAGCCAATGACCTCTATCTGTCAAATGTCGCATGAAAAGTACAGTTTGCAAAAAAATCTCGGAACACTTTTTTAGCACTCAGCTAATTCTATAATAAAAACCAAACTTTTTTAAACAAAAAATAACAAATATTGATAATGAATATTGGTTGAAATTTTTTTCTTTTATTGACCTTTGGCTATGAATGGTTGATAACCTAAATCGTCAACCAAATGTCAATTTATGTTTCGTTCAGAAACTCGATTTAAAACTTTCGTTCACATAAAGGATGCATGTTCGTATGTGACCTGCATGATTATTCATAACTACTCCGGCGGTAATGCAGAGATGAGCGGAATTGAAGAGCTAGATTCTGATTAATGTTTTTTCTCACACGGTGTTATTAAAGAAATATTATTAAAAATCGGTTGTGTTTTTTCTCAATCTTAGTAAATTAATTTTATTAAAAAATCTGATGTTCTCTCTTACTAAATCTTAGTAAATAAGTTTTATTAAATAAAAACTTTGTTTTGCTCACACTACCTATTTGGTTTGAATTGACAGCTATGACGTTACAATATGGCGCCCAGTCGGTCCTGTTCTTAGTTGAATCGCATTATATTAACAATTTTGTGCCCTAACTATTCCGTTATGAAACTTCCGCGTCCCAAATCGAGTGGAAAAAAAATCTATTTCTCTCACCGAAAGCACAACGATGGTAGCTAAAGGAATCTCACACGATTAGTGTCTTGGCAAAATGCCGAATCTCTTTCGAAACCATCGTAACCACACCTTTAAAGAAAACTGACCAGTACGAGTTTCGTAATACAGGTTAAATTCGCTTATACGCATCGTGAATACATCGTTAAAATGAATGGATGGTTGTCGTATAGATTTTTGCATAATGCCGATGTTGTTTTGTAAACAAAGCTTTTTTTATAACGCAGGTTGGCATGGCGAAATTATTCCACCCCATCACCTACCCCTCCACCGCGTAACTTCATTAACATAAACTTAATGTAAATTTTAACATTTCAAACCCATTATGCTACCGCGGTCCTAATGGCCGTGTCGAATTCTTTTTAGTATTTTTATTGGCTGCAAGGTAGCGCCATCTCTTCGCATTGTAGGTAACCCACAATGTCAAACGAATATCTTACAAGTATTTAACATTTGAAAGAAGAAATAGCAATTGTAGTTATATTTTTTCGAGACCGTCCGCCTGCTGCCTGAAGATCTACTCTATTTCAACGAGAAACGCAATTTCGCACGTTCCTTACTCTGTTTCCTTCTCATTTCGAAAATTCGTTCGTCCGAAAATGTTTGACAATTAAATCCTGCAAGCCTACTCTATATTGTCACAAAACTTTCGAATGAAAAGTTGAATTTGACATACAATTGTTTGAAACTTTAACCGAAAATTGACGAAATGAAAAGTGTTGCCTCTTCATTTTCATTTTGAGATTTTTGTTTAAATTAAGCCTAAAATGCTTGCATGAGTATTTTTAATCAAGGCTGCTTAGCTCGAGGAACAGTTTTTAGCATGTAAAATTAACAAATAAACCAATTTTTTATTATTTATTGTGATTCCAATACTTTTACAATTTAAGTTGACATACAATTACAAATTAGTCGGCTAACACTGTCAAAGAAGGTTCTTTCAATGTCATCAAAAATTTTGCGATAAACTACTTAAATATTGTTTCCATGTAAAAAAAACGTAATCTCAATCATAGAGATGAAAAGAACTCACAAACATGACTCATTCCATTCGTTCACGAAAACTGTCTGTGGTTCCGAACTTTATGTGCCTGTCCGAAAATAAATTTTCGTTTAAAATTCGTTCGTTACCGAAATTTCGTTGCGGAGAAAGAGAGTTAAGCTCCTGGTCCGTGTAGATTTTTTTCTAGTAATCAGAAATCAGATATCAATATATATTTATTCAAATTGGATGTATAGTACAACTCTTTTGAATCGACACGAACCCGCACCCTTCGCTACCCAGGCGAATGCACTGACCATTATGCTACCGCGGCCCTTTAGACCGTGTCGCATTTTCTCCAGACTTAGGCTGCAAGGCAGCGCCATCTCTTCGCATTGTAGGTAACCCACAATAACTATTTAAACATCTAGCAGTTAAATGCTTAAAAAATCTTAATACAATTTTCAAACCCATTTTTTTATTGAATGGTCGTAGCCGGAAACGGGAAGGTTTTTAATGCAATTCCCCCATTTTTATCAGCAAATACTTCAAAATTATTTTCAAAAATAGACTCCAGTCCCCGTAGCATGAGCACCACAATTTACTTTATATCACGTTTTTTATCGCGTCTAACTGTCAAACTCCATAGTAATTTTTTCACGGTGTTCATGCCTATCTTA